TGTTACCAACGGGCTCACAGGCTCCAGTCCCATCATTTAGCTAGCTGGGAACAGTGTGGCGCTACTGCTATCAAGTTTTAGGCCTCATTGTGGATAGTTGATTTAGTGCGCTCCGTTAAATTAGGGTTACTCATTGGAAGAGGAAACAGTTTAGGTTGAGAGAATATTAAATAGTAAAAATAATAATAAATAACCAAACTCTATAAACTTTAAATATTTAAAATATCACCATTCTGTATATATCAGTATGTTTGGATAAATAAACTCTTGATTTTAACTTATTTACATTTATTTAAAAATGAAGCAAATTATAATTTTTTTAGCTTCACCCGTTTGAGAACATATTTATAAATATTATCAGCAAGTTTTCAATCCGAAAACATGATCCGATTTAATTTATTGGCTCAGTATATAGTATTTAAGCATATATGTTAACATGAATTATTAATAATTATTATCTTGAGTCACCCTAACGCAAGCAGCTGCACGCCGTCCGTTTAATACTCGCCAAATCTTTGGCCATTTAGGCTGCCTCGCACAATGATTGCTAACAACATCAGCAGTAAGGAAAACAACTCAATTGCCAGCCACGTGTTGCATGTGGCACGAAATTGTTGTTAATAATATTTATGTTGAGTGGTTCAACACCTCCAGTTACAGCAATAGCGCTTTATGGCCAGCCACTGGCCGCAAATGCGAGCTACTTAAAGTCGTCTCATATATCAGTGGCTTTATTACTCAAATGCGTTATAATTCAAGCACAGAGTCTATGGGCCACCTGTTCGGCAGGCGTTGAAGTCGTTATCACGTCTCCGATTCGGGCCGCATTCATATGCCACATACGTGTGCACAGTTCAAACTGTTACCTTATATAAAATGGCATAATATATTTCAATTATATACAATAAAATATTAAAAATATGTATACCATAAAAATTTAATGTTGAGAAATTATAATTCACAAGAATTGTTTTACATGACGCATGTATTTATCATGGTTATGAGTCCAGTTTCACTGGATAAAACAGACATTTTCATAAGATATGTGGGCTGAACTTTGACTTGCATTAACTGGGCTTACAGTCATATCTGTTTGCTTGTAGTTGGCTAACCATTTAATGTTTAATTGTGTGCATTTAAATCGTTAAGTCGTTAACTCTGCACTGCAGAAGCTATGAAAATTGTTGGCCATTAAGTTCGTGGAAATGTCGCTTGCGTTTTGGCCACAACACGCACTTAATGAGCTGCCAACTGGGCACGACATTTTCGCGTGGTTTATTTATAGACAGCGGCAGCAACAAAAATTATGCGCCATATTATGTTGATAATCGTCTCCGAAGCAGCTTAGAACAGCAGCAACAGCAATATACAACGGCAACTGTTGCTCTGGCGCCAGGCAATTTTCTGTTGCTGTTGCACGACGCCACAAAGTCTGCGATTTTTATCTGTAACCTGGCAACTTATCGCGTATTTTGCCTCCTTATGCTGCCAAAGTGGTTGTTGTTGTTGTTATTGCTGCTCTCCTTGGCCATATTTCAGCTTACAAATTGTTCGCTGTCGTGTGCAACTGCGACTGCGACTGGCTGCATTTGCATTTTACTTGCCACAAAATGGTATGCGGCACTTTGCAGTCGCATAGCCAACTGAGCGCTGTTTACAGTTGAGAGAATTGCATCTTATTTGTAATCATGAAAAGCTGTTGTTAAATATATTTGTTGGTTGGTGTAATTTAAACAATTAAGTCAATTTAGTCATATCTAAAAACTGTAAATATTTCATAATTGACAAGTTTTCGGAGCCTAAAACATAAATCTTGTAGAATATATTAGCCAAATGGCAAGGGGCGTGTTTGAATTCATGATCGGTGACTTCATTCAAAATATAAAAAAAAGAAGTAATATTTATAAGTAATATTTTTTCTCTGGACAAACCAAAATGATTTTTTAAGCAGAAAATAATTTTAGTTATGCTTTTAATCAAATTATTTGTGATTCGTTTCACATTAATTCAAGGTTATATATATATGCATATATAACAGAAATTCAGTCTACAGTTTTCTCAAAACAATCTACCATTTTGATTAAAATGCAATTCATTGCTTTTCTTGTGCTCTCTCTGCTGTCTATGGGTGCCTTAACTACGGCTCAATTGCTTTGCAAGTGTCCACTAATACTGCTACCAGTCTGTGGCAGTAATGGGATCACCTACAAAAATGCTTGTCACCTGAAATGTGCCAATAAGGATGGCTCACTAACAATAAGCAAAGACGTAGCTTGCTAGCCAAATTCTGAAGATACCATCTACAATGTAGAGGAAAATTGTAAAGGTTGCCTCATGTTCATATTTAATAAGCATTAAACAAGCAGTGTTTAACAATTTGAAACTTATAAATTATTGTATTTTCACGTAAGCTGTCAACAATTGTCCTCGGCTAAAAATGGGTTGAACATTATTTGATGGCTCATAACGTGCCATTAACTGCATTAAGATGATGGCAATTGTTTGTTGGTTGCTTTCTGTTTTGGTTTTTGTGCCAGGTTAACAACTTAATAATTTATTTGCCCCTTGGTGGTTTTGTCACATGTGTCACGGGCATGTCACTTGAGGCAGACTGTGACTGAGCTGCCACCGCTGACCAAATCGGAGAGGAGCTGTTGGTGGAGACTCTTAAATTATTTATATGCATCATCCACGTGATTTGCATGCGTGGCAACTCCCAAACTCTGACTCTCTGACTGTCTTCGGTGTCGCCGCGTGGCGTCGCGACTGCTTCTGCTTCTGCTTCAGTGTCTGCTGCGCATAAACATGTCATATTATTTTTTTTACTGCCTGATAAGAGCTATGGCCCAGTCGGGCCAGTCAGCCATGGCCAGTGCCCGTGCCGGTGCCGGTGCCTGGCATTTGGCATACTGCACACTTGATACTCGTATTTTTATGATGATGCGTCATAAAAGGGCAACAGCGAAAGCAAGAAGAAAAAAACAAAATAATACGAGAAAATAAATGCAAAGTGAATCGTACACAAATATTTGAAAGGACTTCTGAATTTGAGGATGAGGTTGAGTGGGTGGCGTCAGCTTATCAATGCAAAACAGACGCTTGGCATTAGCTGGCGGCCGACGCGTCCTGTGGGTGGCGGGGTACAGCATTCAACTTTCCACTTCGTATACACAATCACGCCCCCTTGCCACCACTCTCCTCACCCCGACCCGCCTAACCCGTCCCTTTGCAACCGCTCCTTTTTGCCACTGCTGCATTGTTCATGGCGCGTTGAAGCAACCCTTGAGGGATTAAATTTCAACAGTTTTGCCGCGTATTGCGCATTCTTGTCTACTACTTAGCCAGATTCAGAGCTGCACCACCCCTCCACCGTGCCACAAACTGTAAAGTGGCTGCATCTTCTCTATTGCCGACTTTTCAGCGCTCAGCTAAAACTGTCTCTCGCCCGCCCGAAATGTCAATCCCCCTCTGGACTTGAAAGTGGATCTGCTGGCTGGCATTCAGTTAATGAATGTAATCGCCATAAGCTGCCTCATACTCTTAGATGGGGCGAAGTATTTTCCGAGTTTTCCTAATGAGAGTTGAGTGTCTACAAAATATTTGCTTGTAATTTGGTTCCTGAAATAAGTTTTTTTTTTGGGCGAACAGCCACGGAAACATATTTTGAAAGCATGGACTATTCATTTATTATTTAAAGCACTTTTCTGTTTGGGTTAATAAAATGATGCTACGCTCGTTTACATAAAATGTTTTTTGTATTAAATGGAGGAATTATGTTTACCGTATTTCTTTGCTATTTACTTATGATCGTTATGAAGTAGATATAAAATCAAAATCAATTTAATATTGAAAATATCTTTTAAGTCCCGGCAACAACTGAATAAAAATGTTTTACTTTTAAAGTCGTTTAACCAAATGTTTACTGCTGCTTCATTTCTTAATGTCACCGGCAGCAAAAGAGCAGAATGGGAAAAGCAAATGGAAGAGCGACGAATAACAAATACAATAAAATAATCAACAAACAAGACGCAACAAATAAGGTAATGAGTATACGCCGCGTCTGACAAAACAAGATACAGCTGCCCAAAGGGGCGACGTTGAGTAATCAAGGAGTGTGCTGCTGCTCTCTCGTCATTTGTTGATGTTTGTGTAGAAAAGTGAAAAGCATGTAAATGCCTGAGGCGGGTATTATGTGGAAGGGATGCTATGCTATGCTATGCGTCGTCTGGCAAACACTTAAGCAGCTGGACAATGTGTTTGGGTTCATGTCACAGGAAGCGAGAATAATTGTGAGAGTTGACGTCAGACATTGTCAAGGCAGGGCCTTGGCACGTTTCAATGCCAAGTGGGCCGCGGGGCAATAGCAATGGACAACAAAACAGTCGACATGCCTCATTACCAAGAGCAGGAACAGGAAACGAGTGCTCGAGCTGAAGCTGAAGCTGAATCTAAAGTCGGGGCAATTTTAATGCTAATGAATTGAAATTGTTAAGCGTCGGCTGTGGAATACACGGCGAATGAGCAATTTAATTGTTGAAAATGCAAATTAAAATTAATTTCGTCGCATGTCAATGTCAAGTGCAAATGGCGCAATCGTTGCACCGCAACAATAACAACAATGTCGTGTTGATATGGTGTAAAATAGAACTGAGGTTTTCCATTGCGGATTTTCATCATTTGGGACATTCTTTTGGGGGGAATTGGAATTGGTTTTTGTTGGCCGCAGGGCGTGTAACTCATTTGCTGTTGCCAGCCCTTGACTTTGACACGAGCTGAAAACTATAAAAATATATATCATCACAAATGCCATGGTATAGGTATGTGTGTATATATATGCATATAAAATGCGATCCCGCAGGCGTGACTAAAGTCAGCCGCATGTCACTCCATAAAAAACTCTCTTTCTCTCTCATTCCATTGTAAATTGTATTTTTCTCTTCTGTTTTTGTTCTTGGCTGATGTCATTGCTTTATATATAATTTTTTTTTTGCATTTTGCAGACGGAACTCTCACACAATCTGCAACAATTGTCGGAGAAGGCACGTTCCACAACCGAGTTCATACAGCGGCTCAAAGGCATGAGCGACAAAGTAACGGTAAGTTGCAAGTAACTGCGAAATGCAGAAATATATATATATAATGCTTAAATTTATAATTATTTATTTGCTCTCAATTGTTTACCAGGAATCCTGCATTGAATTCGAGCGCGTGGTGCACGCTCAATGCGACGCATTGATCCAGGCCATCCACGAGAGACGCGAGTATCTGTTGGAGGCCATACGCAATGACAAGGATACCAAAATCAGAATACTTAAGGTAATTCACACCTTGAGAATGCTCACATATTTCGTTCTTTCATTTATAAATACTTTTTGTTATTTTTTGCAGGATCAGCAATCGAATTGCACTGGAAAGTTGCAACAGACAACGGGACTCATTCAGTTCTGCATTGAGGCATTGAAAGAGACTGACAGCGCCGCTTTTCTACAGGTTTGTTACAATTGCAGCTATATTTACATATATCACATATATTATTGTAATTATCTGTGTCGAACAGGTCGGCTCTATGCTTATAAATCGCGTGGCCAATACGGATATGACCTGGCACCAGGAGGTCACCAATGCTGCCCCACGTGTCTCGCCCATTGTCGACTTGACCCTAGACGATGCTGCCATCACACGCGCCATTGACAATCTGAACTTTATTCAAATGAAAGGTGAGTAACTTACTAGAATTTAATATTCTACGACATTCCATAGTTAGAATAACCAATCAAAGTTGCTAAAAAAAATGTTGTTGCAAGTAAATAATCCAAAAGTTAACATTAATTAGTTAAGATGCGAGTATCAATTGTGGAAATAATAAATAGTTTTCATAGAATAGTATTATTAATGGTGGTTTCCGTGACTGCCATAACTTTGTCAGAATTGAAACGATTTTCACAAAGAATTCCTTTTTAAATTCCATATCAAATTGTAGTTTTAAATAGCTCTTTTTGGTACTTTTGTCTTAGCTGTAGGGCACCGCCAAGTTATTTGAATGACTCCAAGCTCATTAGACTCAAATAACAAAGTATATTCAACCCCTTTTAGTTGAAAGTTCTTATCTCAAACTGTATTGCTTAACCAGACAGTATCATAAATATTGTCACTAATTGCTACATGATAAAGTAAACTTGCACATGTAAATATCAACACTCTCACACTCTCACACACACACACCCATATAAATTCACACATACTCCCGTTCTCGACGCACTCGAAAGTGTTGAAACAATAGAGTGCACTCATTAAGTGTCATTGGAAAGTACGCTCCCGAGAGTCATATAAAAATTGTTGAGATATTTGGGGGTATTCCCAGGAGAAAAACATACCTAGACTGTATTGTATTTTAAATATAGAATATTTGGTGTAAAGAAGGGGACAAAGTGCAAAGTGTGAAGTATGAAGTGAAACGAACCGCAGTTTCCTTTCTTCGCCTGACAAATTTCTAAGGAAAGAGCCCACACACAGGCACAGAAACACACACACTCCAAAAATAACACACATCACAGCAATTAAAACGAAAGTGTTGAAACTCAATATATTTTTTGATGCGAGTCTGTCTCTAATTTATGAGCGCAACTCAGGCATACAATAAAGAACACCATAATATTAATATGAGTATAAATAATATGATACCTGATATAGCTTATATAATGTGCATATAGATCTGTTTTAAATGTCTTAACTTATTGTGCTTCTCTTTTATCTCGCGCCTGCCCACACATTACACAACATTTTTATGCGCTGCTTGATCTCTCATAAATAAACAAATAAAAACTTTTAAAAAAATATCACATTAGCAGTCAAAGATGAGGATGAAAGATGTCCGGCAGGTGAGCAACTAAAAGCAACAAACAACAACAATAATTAAACAACAATTTACAAAAAACACAACTTTTTTAACTGTTTTTCGTTTTAAAGCATAACAGTTTTACAATTTTTCACTTATTTTCGTTTACGATCAAACAAAATGTTTAATAACAAAGCAAAATATTAAAACCAACAACTTCTTCTTTGGTGCTATAGCTATCACACACACACACACACACACTTTCACACACAATGCAATTTTCATGGTTGGCCATCTTGTGGGCAATTTTTTTTTATTATTTTCTTTGTCTTTATGTTTTTTGCTTTTGTGCCTACGCATAATAATTTTCGCATATTCATTTCAACCACAACCAGAGTAAGCCACAACAAAATTTAAAACAAATAAAAAATTTTGCATTCCGAATTACCCGACAGCACTATACACTGTTCAAAATGCAAAAACATTTGAAATAATAACCATTTTAATGTCAATTATAAAGCTTAAACTGTCAATCTGTGGGAGATATCGGTTTCTGCGCTTTACAACCTCCCTTTGGAGGATAGTAGCAAATATACTTCGTTTCTCTTTTGGAGCACAGTATGAAGAATATAAAAACATAAAGAAGAAAATGCTGTCAAAATATTTCCACTTCCGTTGCGTTCCACCACAAACTGTCAACGGGGCCGACCTCCAAGTGACATAATTTTTTATACGCACATTTATTTTATATTTTTATTATTTTTGCCTTTTGCCCGCCGCACTTCCCCGCCGGCTCCGTTGGCAACTTTATTATTTCACGCTTTGGCTTTCATTTTATATACTTTTCTATGGTATTCTGTGACATTTTTTGGGGTCCTACTGATTCGCCTTGGGCAAGCGCATAGCTGCTGCTTTATCCTTATGCATGGGGTAATATCTTTTTCACTTCTCCCCATTGCCTCGTGCGTTCTACGTTTTCTAATAAATTTCGAATGCAAAACTTTTTACCTGTGCCTCTGACATTTGACAGCTTGGCGCGTTCTTAATTTGACGTCAGCTCCAGTCGCCATTTTAAGACTTATTTTGTGGCATACTTTCGGGAAGCCCCAACGCCAAATTGCTGCCTTTTTCTCTCATTTGTGTCATTCGTGCCATAAATTTTTATTGACAGGCGTTGCTTTTATTGTTTTTGTTATTTTATCGGGCGCGGTACAATTAGTATATGTAAGTACTATATAAATAATGTATGTATAAAGCTTTGAGTTTTATGTGCAAATGGGACACATTTTATGTTAAGAGAAAAGTTCTTCAGTATCGTCCTGTTTATTTTGGTTGTATGTTTTCACTCTTGTTTAATAATTATTTTTATTTTCTTTTTCGAAATCCTTAATTATTGCCATACTTTTCACTCGCTCCATCATACAATTAAACTGATTCAGTTCGAATTGAATCTGCATTTCACAAATATTCATTTTTGTATCTTCAATTATTTATATTGTGCATAAATATACGTACATATTCACCACATTTTCACAATTATTAAATGGTAATATTTTAAATTTTAATTAACTTTTGTTAAGTTATTCAGCACTTTTTATGGCCGGCTGCTTGTACTTATCCCGTTTCTTTCGAAATCTTTCTAGAACACATTTATTTTGAAATTAAATTTATTTTACTAACAAACACAGAAACCAAAATTTGTTGTCCTTATGTATTGATAGAGATATATGTTTAACTTATCTTTCGATTCCCCTGCCGCACTCACAGCCCCCTCGACGCCCAGCATTTTACCAAGCGATTGTTCAGCGGAGAATAATTCAGTGACCGTTGCGTGGAAGCCACCGAATAATCATTGCTTTGTCGAAGGATATGTCCTCGAGCTGGACGATGGCAGCGGCGGTGAATTTCGAGTGAGTGGCCCTTGAGTGTTTTAGTGAATGCAATGAGTGCAGCTTTAACTTTATGTATTCGACATTTGGCATTTGCAGGAAGTTTACTGCGGCAAGGAAACAATTTGCACCGTTGACGGTCTGCACTTCAATTCCATGTACAATGCCCGCGTGAAAGCCTTCAACAGCGCCGGCGAGGGTGAATACTCTGAGCTGATTGGACTGCAAACAGCGGAAGGTGAGTTTGCTATACCCCAATCCCTGCCCGTCACACTATCCGGTACTAGCTTTTTCAATTAAACTCTCTCAGCTTCAAGCTATATCGGTGCTTAGTTCCAGAACCTGATGGCGTTTCTGTTTTGAGCTACTTTGCCAACTCTTTTATAATTTAATCCTTTTCGGTCATGCGCCGAGCCCCTTGACGACTCTTCCTGCCGCCTCCATCAGTTCCATCAGCTTTTTACTCCCTGTCGTTTGTCGTGCTTTGCATGTCAAACAGCCATTGACCCCTTTTGCGCCTGCCGACCAGAGGCGGCTCCATTCGCAATCCAATTCTCACTTGATTGATGCATGCGCCACCTGACAAACACCCCCTCTCCGACTCCGTTCTTTCCCCATTTTGGCCCCCTCCCCCACGACTCTGTCACACTCACCCACTTCAACCGCAGTGCAAATGAAACAGACGCTTCAAGTTATTTAATTTATAAAATTGCTAGCACATTCCTGGTCGTGTTCTGTTTCCCGTTTTATCCAGGCGTTTTATTAGTTGCTCCACGTTAATTTGAAACTTTTAATTGATTATTGCTGGGGTCGCCAGTTGTCCCCGACCGACCAGAAACTGTTGTACACAAGGAGCACGCTAAGACATCGGGCTGCCTAATGCAAATTGTTATTTTATAGAGTGTTTACATTGGGCGCGCGTACGCCTAAATAATTAACGGTTAACCGTTGACGCTTAATGACGCATAACGCTTTTTACGGTGGGTGGTAGATGGGGAGGTGGGCCATCTAAATTGCTAATGGCTCTGGTTCTGGTAATTGAGCTGGGTTAGAGCACTACAAACACCTTGAAAAAAAAATAATTATTGGTAGAATTGAATTAGGAATTTCAGGCACCTAATTGAAGATATTTTAAATTATTCAGAAGGGTTAGTTATTAGATAATACACGGATACATTATATCTATTCCGATACTTTTATATATATTCTGCATAATATACATCGATAGAAAAACAAAGAGAGTGACGTTAAAAAAATTACAAACACTTCAAAATAGTACATGTATTTTCGATCCTATGTCAAATTTCATACATATAGATAATGGATAAAATACTTACTAGTCCAAAGGGTACTATAAGATAACTAATAGATTGTAAACATAAAACTATAAAATAACTGACTAAATTATATATGTGCGTCAATTAAGCGATTTAAAACCCACTTCCAAGACTTATTTATTATCGATAAATGATTCCTAATCATCATAAATTCATATTTCGACCTAAGCAGAGGTAAACAGTAAACTTCTAGCAGCTTTCGACCACACAATTATCTTGAGTGGTCCATAAAAAGACGAGGTTAGCTTTACCAAGAACCATTAACTATTCAATGCAGGCCTCGTTGCAAGCCGCATCATCATCACCATCAACATGATGGTCATAATGAACAACAGCAACATTCTCATGTTGCCTTAGTTGGCTTTAGTGGCATTCCCTTGGCGACTTGGCTTTGGCCACTTAATGCGCCACAACAATAAAAGTAAATTTAATAAAGTACTCGGACTCTGCTCGTGGCATACTTTGCGGCGCATAACAGCACAAACTATCGGCGACTACATCGGCCATTGCAATGGATCCAATGCCTGCAACTGGACCTACTCTATGCACCAAGACTCTCAATTCCCAGCCACTGGCCACTTGCCACTCGCCACTTGCCCAGGCCACTTGAGCTTTGACAATAGAGAAAATTGCAGGCTCATGCTGCACGCTGGTTCAAGAATAAAGAAATGACCTAGAATGGGGCTAATAAAAATATAATTTCTTTTCCGAGATAACATACCTGAAACACTAAGAATGTGATGGCTTATAGTGGTACACTGTAATTATTCAACATTAATTTAAAAAAATTAATTAGCTGCAATTGCTGCAAGTTTTACAATTTCAATTTCGATTCAATATGTAATTAAATAAGTAAACAAATATTTATTAGTAAGTTTTTAACGGAGCATGAAACAGTTGGCCTGATGTGGTTTGAGTTACAGAGCAAATGGTTTTCCACGTAGCTTGAACCACTGTGCATCATAGTAGTTTGTCGCTGTTCCTCGCTCATCGCTGAACCACTGTGGAGTATGGTACTCTGTGGCAGTTGGTTTCTCCTCGCTGATCCAGATTCTATTGCAGCTGCCCCATTGGAGACTGTGTTTTTTTTTTATTTTATTTTTTTGCTAGTTTGTTACTTGAGTTCTCAGTCATTATTGTTGTGGTTGTTTCTCTCCTCTTGCAGTGGCCTGGTTCACGTTTGATCCCGTATTGAGCGGCGGAGCCGGCTCTGGACTAATCTTTAGCAAAAATAATGCCACAGTCTCTGTTGAGGGCTGGGAGCATCGAGTGGCCCTCGGCTCTGTGGGATTCTCGCGCGGCGTCCACTACTGGGAATTCACCATTGACAACTATACGGCGGACACGGATCCGGCATTTGGTGTGGCCCGCATCGATGTGGCCAGGAACAAAATGTTGGGTAAGTACAAAACTAAAAGGAGATGATGGAAATTGTGAGAGGAAAATGGGAAATGCTCTCAGTGGGTTACTGAGTCCATTTGAAATTCAATTAAAAAGACGACTGCCCCAATCGAGGGGACAGAAACCACTTGAAAAGCTTTCAAAAACTTTGCGCCCATCCCAAAAGAAAAAAGCTGGTAAAGTGCAACTGAAATCGGTACAACAAATAGATTTGCAGCGCCACCTAGCGTTGACAAAAGGCCAATCGTATGCACCAAACTTTTTAGCTAATAAGTAAGTGACTGAAATTCCACGATAAGGACAAACAGAGAGAGAGAGATGTAGAAAGAGACGGACGCAGACGCGTCGCTGCTACAAAACTTTACCATTTCGCTCCGGCCAATATATAATGGCAAATCGGAGGCGTCATGTGGATTGGTGGGCGTGACGAAGAAAGTTTAGCCGTTTCTTGTTGCGTGTGCGTGAAACTTTTGGCCAAGAAGTTTCAGTTACCAAACGACGGCTTCCAAGTATCTGAGACCGTCTGTCTATCTGCCTCGCCGTCTGTCCAAGTGTAGGTAGGTGGTGCCAGCAAACACAAACAAAAGCAAGCGAGACGCCTGAAAGCAAATTGATTGAAAATGCGTCTGGGATGGAGGATTCATGTGGGTCGAAAAGGGGGGGAAGGAAAGGGTTGTGGGATTGTTAGACAGACAAAAGTAATTAAAAGTGCGACACTTCAAGTTTGAGCGTGACAAAAGTTTATTTGTGGATTCGCCTTCCATCTTAAATAATTCGCAGACTTTCGCAATTTATATTTAAAGCTTCGCACGCGCCATTTAACGCATGCCACGTCCCGGACGCCTCGACAACGGCAACTGCAACTCGCCTCGCAAGTATTCAAATTAAATTTTCATATCCAAACGCCTCAGAGCGAAAATGTGCAACTTTTGCACAGGTGGCAGCCTCAAAGCGACTGACATTGACACCAGCAATGCAATTTTGCCAAGTAATTTTACGATTTGTTCTGCTTAGTTGTTGTTGTTCCACTTGTCTTATTAAAAAAGTGAGGGACAGCCCGGTAACGAAAGAAAAATGCATCTGGCAAGGGACTAAAACTTTAAGTAAGAGTAGAAAAAAGAAAGAGAAAATGAAAACTGGTGACTAAACTTTCAAGTGAAGTACAAAGTCTAATAATATAATGCGAAACTGTTCTAAAATTCTATTGAAAGTCGTGCAAGCAAAATGCCAAGAGAATAAAACTCGTGCAAGTAGAGTGAGAAAATGAGAGTTAGTGCGATAGAAAATATATTGTTATATTTATCGGTCCAGCACTTCTGTCGCCGCTCAGCCGTTGATAGGAAAGGACTTAAATTCGAGTAAGCAGATGGAGACAAGGAAGTATCCGACACCCAACCTGGGAAACTAGCTACGTTCATCCAACCATATTGTTAAATATTTTCCCTTGTTATTTTTGTTCTTTTTTTGGTGAATTTCAGGCAAAGATGAGAAATCATTTGCAATGTATATTGATCGACAGCGGTCGTGGTTCCAGCACAACTCTGTGCACGAGCGTCGTGTGGAGGGCGGCATCACCACGGGCAGCACAGTTGGTGTGCTGTTGGATTTGGAACGGCATACGCTCAGTTTTCTGGTGAACGAGATGCCACAGGGTTCGGTGGCCTTTCGAGATCTCTACGGCGTTTTCTATCCGGCGGTGAGCATCAATCGGGGCGTTACATTAACCATGCACACGGCAATGGATGCACCCAAAATGGATTACTTTTAGAGTGTTGAGGGGTGGGGGAGTAGCTAATTGTGTACATATAGCTTGACATTTATCAGTTATCGGTGTCTATATACATATATACCTATTTGCACTATATGGCTTATAGCATAATCTATGACAACATAAACACTTACCTACTTAAATAATTATGCTTCTAAATGTAGTTTCGGGCAAAGTTTAGCGACATATCTACAGTCTACTCGTATCTATCTATCAAAAATCTACACATCGTTTTCAAAACGCTGCACAAAAAAATGAAAAAAATTATACATAAAAAAGAAATTAAATTATTTAAACAACGTTGCTTGAATCAAACAATTATTAAAAATAATTCAAAACGAAAAAAAAATGTGTAAAATATGATAAAAAGAAAGAATTCACAACTTTTAAAAGTATTTTCCACATACAAAGCCAAAAAATCAAGCACCCTGCAAACACCAAAAACAATTAAAATTTAAATCTATTTAAACAACATACAAACCAAAATAAACACAGAAATAGATCTGTTAGAAATTAGTGTAGTTCTGAAATTGCATATGTATGTATCAGTGTGTTAGTGCTTACAAAATTTTGCGTGTTAAATGGGAACCGAAACAATTCAGATTATTCTGCGTGACAAAAAACAAAAACATCAAATACAATTAATATAAAATACGCATTGAGTATTTAGTTTATAGACTGAATGCAAGTTTTTTCAGATGTAGAGATAGAAAACAAAATGCTGCAAAAAGTCACATAATATTCTCAATGTAAAATGTGCAATTTTTCAAATATTTAAAACACGTTGAGATCGCAAGAACACAATCCAAAAAAATAAAAAATGTTAACGAAACAAAGCATTTCAAAGCCAACTATGTTGCTTAAAAATTATATTTGCATTTACATATATATTTATAATATTAATTCATAAACTTACCATTAAGTTTCGTGTAAATATTAGCATACCTTATTTTACATATATATTTCCATTAAATGTAGTTACTTTATAAACATTGGCTATAAATGTGTTTTTTTATAAGATATATTAAACTTTATATATAAATATTTGCTAGTTTTACATGTGTAATATTTAAATATAAAACTCTATCTACGGAATTATTTATACATTTCAATTTAAGTCTACCCACAAAAGCAACGTTAACAAAAAAAAAGAAAAAAAAAGAAAGAAAACAGCTACAATTAATATATAATTACTGTGCATGTTTAATATTTATAATTGTAATAACATACTTACATAATTATAATAAAAAGGACCCCAAATTATGATATGCAACCATAAAAAGCCTGGAGTATTTGAATGGCATAATCAACCACAGCCACAAAAACACGCAAACGAGTTTATTCATAAAGTCATATGGAAAAGAAATAATAAATATTGAATATGCATATTTAAATACAGCCCACCTTTGATTTGCTCTATGGGAGTGTTGACTTGAAATACAAATTTGTCCCTACAAATTTCTATATATTTTGTGAATTGGCAGCTTGTGATATTTTACTTTTACTCTATTCAATTCAGGTGTTATTTTCATTAGGGGTCACAATTTATTTAAATTTTTAGTTAATTTCAGCAGAATCAATACAAAGTATTATATTTTATGAGTAATCTGTCTCTGTTTATTAGGTATACTTATTTCTAGAAGAGTTAGTCACCTCGTAATGAAGTGTGATTCTCCACTCGAAAGTCTATTGTTGCCCCTCTCATTTCTACAACTGCTCTCATTCGCTGAAATAAAAAAAAATGCACATGGAAATATCATAGTTAACATTTCTTAAATAACTTTGTGTTCCTGGAATTCCACTCTTTCCACTCCTTCTTTTTACAATTGTCTATACAGCGCATTTTTACTTTCTCCGTTTTCAAAATTGTTAACCATTAGCTAAAAACTTCACGCAAGCGAAAGTTCATTGTGCCAATTTTCAACTGTTGTTCTCCTTGTTGTGGGTTCATGCGAGAAATGTGTCGTCAACAATGAACAATTGCTGCTGTTGTTTTTGCATTTGCACACTGGCTGAGACACTTTTATAAATTACACACTTAACTTTACCCCACAACTACGGAAAAAACAAGCAAACAAACAAAAAGCGAGGGTATAGAAACTACAACAATAATATTCAAACATATAACGCTTAGAATGTTGCACATGTCAATTGCAAAAGCCGTCATTCTGTTTGCCTGTGTGTGTGGGTGGGTTGCATGTGCATACAAAAACTTTACCTCTCAGCGAGATTTTAATGAGCGCAGCGCAACAAAACCGCGAGCCAACTTTTATTATTTTGGCTGAGCATTGTTTGCTATTTTAGTTGTAGTTTGTGTAAGTTCTTTGGGGAAAACGCATCAGAGTGCAATTTTTATATCCGGGTTGGCATACCCATCAGATTTGACGCTGGAGACTACACTAGACGAGCTGAGCTAAGCTCAAAGCAGCTCTGGGGTGTCGGCCACATCCACTTCCGTCGCGTTGCCTCGCCTCGCCTCGCCACGCCTCGTCGGCCATGTTGCGTCCGAGGTGGCGCAGCTGGGCGCGAGACAGTGTTATGAGGCAGGAACAGAAGCTGCTTTTCAGCATCGGTCGTTCGCTTCATAAATCATAAAACTTTCGCTGCACGTCGCCTGCAAGGATGCCCTAACAATCTGTATAGCTGCCCCTTGACACCCTGCAACTCTCAAACTTGCAACAAACCAAGCTGCCAACTGACACTAAGTGTTGAGTAAATGTTTTCGCGCCTCGTTGCGTTCCCGAATTCCCCAAACATTCTCGGTTTTGCTCTTGTTGCCGCTGTTGAGGATGTGGCACGTTGTTGTCGCTGCTGTTACTTTACTTCCACATAAAATAACCATATTAATACCACCAGGAAATCCATCTCAAGATAGCAAGCAAGCGCCGGCTTAACTTTGACCGAGTTCCACGCAAACTAGTAGCTGAATTTAACAGATTGCTCCTGTGGGAGCTAAGTGAAAATTTATCTATAAGCTAGTCGAAACAAAGAACCATAAGCAAGTGACATCCGTAAGTAAGCATATAATTACGTAGGTATATAAATTCTTTTATTTAATGTTAAGATTTAAAAATTAAAGAAACAAATGTGGTTCAATATGTGACGAATTAAGTTTTTATTTTCAAATATCTGTGTGGTGATTAAAAAGTGAACAATGATTTTCTCAAGATTATACATATTTTTAAGTATTATTTTAAACATATCGAAAGAGTTTGCATCAGTCCAATTTTCTTTTCCTTAAGGGCCCAAATACTTACGCACTCATCTAGGAAATGCGAAACGATTAAGAAACAAAACTTTTTTCACAGATATGCCAAGAAATTTTGATTTTCCACCAATTTAAAAAAAAACATAATTCAGAATATTCCAATAATCCAATCTGCTATATATCAGTTGTGGCATCTGTCTGTGCCGTAGTATCGGTGAACGGATTCTCAGTTTCAATTGTGTAAGACGTTTGCTCTGTATATTCAGTGGTTACATTTGTGCCATTCTGCGGACCGCCTGCTTCCCAAATTTGCAACACTTGAAGAATTTGTGGCTGAATCCAGCTTCTGACATGAATGCCCCAAATCATGTCAATGTGATTCGATTTCTTGTTCATCTTGTATTTGAGGACAACATTGGGCAGCCGCTTCATCAGGCGCTCAACGTCCTCGACAGTTGACAGATAATCATTTTGGCCATAGTACAGAGCAACCGGTGCTGTAATTTTCTCCAGAGGATAGTCCGGAGGCGTGGCACGCCCATAGATACGTTGGTTCTCAGTAGTACCGTAGTTGTAGGCACAAAAGCGATTTGATTGCAGCACCTGCAAATAATGTTGACCCTGTTTGCTATTCGCACCGGCAGGAAAGTGACCGAATATCACTGGAACCATTGTCTAAAATGGGCACAGAACAGAAAATAAGTTGAAATTTTAAAGACTGCTTGGCATAATCTTTGCTACACACCATGTTCAGCTCAGCCACATTCTTGCCAATCACTTTCCACGCGAAAAACAAGCAAAGACGCATTGCTTCTGCAGAGCGGGTGCATTGGTTATAGAACAGATACGAGTGACGCGTCAACTCATATTGATCACCAATCACTTTTAACAAATTGATCGCCATGCCCGACAGTGGAGTCTTCACGTGTTCCATGAAAACCGCCGGAGCGAGGGCGTTCATCACATGCACCTTGGAATTGTACTCCGGCCGACTGGATGCCATCACAAAAAAGGTGGTGGTGCCTTGAGAGTGACCGAAGTAGCTCAACTTCTTGTAACCAGTTTTGTTCAGCACCGTATCAATCATTGCGGGAAGATCGTATACACCAATCTCATGCCATGAGAAGCTCCAAAAGGCCTTGTCCGTATCAGGATTCAGTTTGACATGAGCACGTGAGTAGCGATTGCCACGAGCATTTCCCATCCACACATCGTAGCCGGCATCAAAGAGATAGTAACCTAGTCCGCTATGCGGACCCATTATAATCCATGACGCGGAACTATCCTCGAGTCCATGGACCAGCAGCACAGGCTTAGCTCCAGGTCGGGCAATACGATGCACTTGCAGAAGATACTTGTCCTCGGTAGTGACAATATGCAACTCCCCCGGATACTTGTACTTGCTTAACAATTGCAGCTGCCATTTAAAGTAAATATGATTTAATTCCATTTTTTTCTCTACTTAAGTAGCATTCACCGTTGTCAGATGCGCATCTTCAATCACGCTTGCCGGATAATTGTCCTCTACATAACTAGCTTTACTTGTTGGCCACAGTTGGCCAATCAGATAGAGTAGTCTGAATAAGTAGCTCCATCGGCTGTTTGCGTGCTGCATGTCGTATGAGATCAAGTACACTGAACTGATTTTCAGTATGTTAATCACTCCCTCAGGTAGGAGTAATTAGTTACGCCAACATTTAGTTTAATGCTCTCTCAGTTTAAAAATATATTAAATTTAAATCAGCGTGTCGAGCAATTATTACTGTATCTATAAGTTTATATAATGAACATACAGTATTTCTGTATTATTATTATTATTTATATTATATTGTGTTAATACAACTAAATGCAGTGACATTTTTTTAATGAAAAACTCTTTTTCGTACAGTATAATAATTATTTGCTATAATTATCGCACAGCAAGTGCAAAGTTCAATACTAGCTAAATGTTAATAAGCCAATCGATCAGTTCAGCAATCGCATTAAAGCCAGGGCCATTCTTTCAACACATTAGTCAGTCAATCAGAACGGTGGCAATCCAAATGCTATTATAATGGAAATAGGACTGGGATTGAAAACGAAAATTGAAACCTAAATTCGGCTAATCAAATATCACACAGGCTTCCAAACTGTTTGCCGGATAGATTGAAAAATTAAATTTTTAATTCAGCTGTGGCCCGTACACCAGCCATGAGGCGCCATGAATAGTCGTTTTCTATGTACCCTGTAGCAATAATAAAATGAAAAGTATTCGAATTGAGCAACTAATCTTTGTATATACTTGAACGTAAACTTAATTTTTTTTATGTGATTAGCTTACAATTGAGCACATAATATATTGAAAAATACTGTAAACTTTTTGAAAGGGTATCCTTTAAGTAAGGCTGTAACTTTTAAGAGGCATTCTCAGTTGTTTTTGGTTGCTCTCCGTTCAGCAAATATTTGAAACGCTTTCGTTACAATTGGTGAACGTGGGGTTGGGGGGAAGGCAGCTCTTTTCAATGCCTATGTCATCGTGTTATACAATTGATTGGTAAAAATTGATTTCAGCTTTTGCATAAAATATTTGGATCCCTTTATTTGCGCCAACTGTTGTCACACTGTCACTGGATGACAGCCGCACAAAACGGCGTCGAATTTTCACTAGGCTCGTAGCCTCTCGTATTATGTTGACACTGATGCAGAAGCAGAGGACGGAACTGAGTTTCAGTTTGAGATTGAGTTGACTGACCAATGTTTGGACATTTGGCAAATAACTTAATTCGACGATGTCACCACATGTTGGCACCGACAGCAACTGACCAAGCAGGCCAGACCCCCTCTCGATAAACCCGTGCGAATTTTACAGTCGGCATTAAATTGAGTTTAAGATATAATATATTTAAAAAACATGTGAAAGTCATATTATTGTTGTTGTTACTCGAATAAACTTTTAAAGCCTTTCATCTACTTACGCTTAGACTTTATCTAAAGTTAAAAGTCATATTATTGTTTGTGTTATTCAGTTAAGTGGAAGTTTTAAGGCTTTTTCAAAACATATATTCATGTATAAGGAACTTAGATTCTAGTTAATTTAATTGTTGAAACTACTTAAACTCTTTATAGGAATCCGTAATATTGTTGTTAATATTCAGAGGAACTTTTGAAGCGTTTTCAACAATTCTATTTATACACAAATAACTGGGTTGATAGTTAATTGAACTCCTTATTAAAAGTCATTCAATTTTATTGAATTACAAAATTAAAAATATACAAAAGAAACTTTTACTACTTATATTGCATCGTCAATATTATTATTATTTTTAAGAAATGTTTCTTCATCTTTATAATATATTTCTATTGCTGATTAGCTTATTCGTTGTCAAGCCATTTTAGTTACAGTTTAAACACCTTTGTTCCTCATTGGAGAAACAGAATTAAGCCTGCAACATCAAAGTTGTACAAGTTATCCATTGCACTTTTGACCTATATCGTGGTAAGTGCACAAATTGCAAGATGTTGAAGAGAGTGTTGGGGGAATGGATGCGGAGGAGGTGAATTAGGTAATTCCCTTTTGCCCTGCAAGGCAATCAACATCAACTCGTTGAACACTTTGAAACGTGGCGCGTGTCCCGACAATTAGCTAGTCTCTATTTTGAGAGCGAGTGCCAATCAGACGACAATCAGCGTTGACTACACGATGTTGCCACAGAATGTTACCACACAGTGTTTGCAACAAGCTAGCCAAAAAAAAAAACCGGTTCAGTCCTTAAGGTATTAAAAACGAGACCAATCAATTGGCCAGCCCTTCATTCCATTGCCATTGTTGTTTAATAGGAGCAGCAGTTGCTCTTTAAGTGACTCTCCCAATCTCCTAGAGACCTAGTTCCCTCGATTTGGTGCAGAGTTCAGCTCGTTAAAGAGTCTGCGAGTGAATATACTTTGAGCATCTGTAGTTGCCCGATTATGATCAGCATTGTTTAGTTGCAGCATTTAGTCTGCTACTTGGCCATTAGTATCTGGCCAGCATCTTACTCCACTTCACTGACATTAGCCACGCACGTGACTTTTAATCACGCGCGCATAAAATTTCAGGCAAAATCAGAGACAACCCACCAAAAGAAGATAAAGCAAAAACCGAAGTAACCGAAGAAAACCACGCCTGGTGAATTTATAGGGGCGCTGGACTGGTTTATAGCTTTGCCAACTTTGACTTTGTCTAGCTCATTACAAGTAGCCATTATATATATATATATATATATATATATGTATACCCTTTAAAGAGAGTTCATTATACATTTTTTAGTCAGTCGATCTGATTTTCGGGGCAAGCTTTCTATATAGTAGTCCTTTTGTTTTTCATTATGTATTGGATGTAAGCTGATTATGCCATTAAAGAAGTTAAAGATATACGTTTTTTGTAGGAAACTAAAGTATTTACTTTAATAATTAGTTGTGATTGCAAGATAATTGAATTTTAAAATTAAACTTTACTTTTTTAATAAATTTATTTCTGAGATTTGTATAATTATTAATCTCACAGACAAAATGGTTATTTATCAGAGCATTTAGGCTTCAATATTAACATTTTGTCATTTCTTAATCGGAAGTCAAAACGAAATCTTTTTTTTGTGCGTAACACCAACCAAGTTGTATAAGTTGAAGTGGAGGCCTTGGAAGAAATCCAAAAGTTTGCGCTGCTTAAACTGCTGGGTGTGGACGAACTTTACGACTTGGCTGATGTTTTGAAGACCCATGTTCCATGTTCCCATGCTTCCCTCCACCTTCTATCCCTCAACTTCTTTGGCCTTGCTCAGCTGAAGCCGTTTTGTCTGCCCAGCGCGGCTTTAACCTTTTCAAGTTCTTGCTGTTATCCCCCTATACTATAACTGTCTGGACGTCCTGGACGGCCAGTTGTAGCAGCCATATTGCATTTGATTCAGATAGAGAGACGACAGTCAGAGCAAGGACTTGACTCCGAGCCAAATGGCCGTCGCCTGCGCCAAAGACATGGAGTCGGAGTCGGAGTTGGAGTTATATTATTATGCTTACGGGCTCGCCCAATGCCAATTACAATGCGTTTCGGGCAACGGGTCGGACCGTTGCTGTCAGGCTCATTCAATGGAAACAGCTCCACCTTCAGCTTCCACTTTGCCGCATTGCCACTTTCTACTGCCACGCCCAGCTGCCTGCCTTTTTTGCATTTTGTTGTAATTACTTTGGGCTCGCTTTGTGTGCACGTGGCACATTCTGTGTGGGTAGAGCCAAAGTAGCATAGAACAAGTTCAGGGTCAGGGGTAAAACATCTGCCTGGCTTTAAAAAAAAAGCTCTCTCGGCAGAGCTGAACTGGAGATACCCTGAAAGCAGTTGTTAAATGCAGGCTTCAATTATACAGATAAAAGTTTTCTCAATCTAGAAATTAAGTTAGTGAATATTCTTATTCCTAAGCTCAACATTTTTACATATTTTAATGTACAAAATATACAATCATATATAATAAATACATACACATATTTATTGGAGCTTCGCTTATCGCGCTGCTTGCTTCTCACATAACCGATATTGATGATATTATTCCAGTAATACGTAATATTCACTGATTACTTGATAGTAGATACTTTGCGGTATCAGAGATTCTTTATTCTGTTTGTACAACTTCATTACACCCATTTTGAATATATTTAGGGTATACAAATTGATTTCATTTGGCAATAGCCAATTGCCTGTAGCAGACAAACAAACGGCAATTTAAAATAATAATACGTCGATAACAATAATATTTAAGTTAATTAATTTACATATTTAATTCAATTTCACACACCGCCGAAAAGTTCGTTTAACTAACAGCAATTTAAAAACGAAAATAAGAAATGCTTCGCAGTTTTTAAAAATTGACATGGTCGAGCGCGTGACGTGCTGACAGACCGTGAATACAATCGATGAAAATAAAAACGACGGGGAACAAAGGAAATTATCATGCGCTTTCAATAATTACGACATTATTTGCGTATTGTCGCGGATGCAATGCGTAGCTGTTCAGGCATTATCTGTGATTTTAGTGGCACGCAGAGATGCCATTTGTGCAACGCGTTCTTGATACTGTGCCGGGCTGCATACTTGCGGCTGCTCCCGCTTATATCTGTCCATCATTAAAATAAATAAATGATAAAGGATTAAAGACAATGGCGGCGTCAATTTCTGATATGATTAATTTATGCCACATGAGAAGACATACAGCTGGGTGTGGCAGCCATACTCAATTCTTTTCACTGAACCACAAAATATGGCAGCAAGTAGCAAATTGAATATTTGACCAAAAAAACCTTTGGCAATAAATATTAAAATCGAAAATATCAGCAGGCAGGAGGAGCCACAATAGTAGTTTTACATTATACTGATAGTATCATCACTCCATTAATCTGAACTTTGATGTGCAGTGTAAGGTTCGTGTGATTGGAACGCTTGGAAATTTCTAAAAGATGCATCGGTATTTAATTTGATATCGCTTTCTGTTCATTGTGGCCAATAAATTAATTGAATTAAGCAGCATTCCATCGATGTCTGTCTGTCTGTCGGAAACAATGTTAATTAGTTTCAAAGTAATGAACATTTAATATGTGTAAAGTACACAGCTCTTGTAAACATTTATAAGCGGCCATACAATTCGTTTGCAATGAACACATTTTAATTTTTCAAATAAATTATTATGAATTGTAACACTTATTTGAAGTAGTTGGTTGGCATATTAAAAATTCTTTTATAAATACGTTAATAATATTATTCAACTATTTTTAAACTCTCCGGCATTGTGTTCTACTTAAACCTCAAGTGATTTTATTTAAGACTTTTGCTTGTTAACTGTTACTTTCATTAAACTCTTAGCACTTCAATTGTTTCAAGCTTGCCTGTTACCTCACTGAGATCCATTAAGAATTTCAGTGCTGCCCTTTTCGGGCACAACTACATTAAACTTGATCGTAAGTGTTTACGCTTGAAGTGAACAAAGCATGACCAAATTGTAAGCCCGAATCTACTTTTATTATCAATGAGGAAACTGTAAGTAACAACACACACACACACACACACACATCAAATCGGCTTCCAGCTGGCAAAAAATAAATGTATTTAAGCCCTTTTCATTACGATAATGAAATATTTCAAGAGCAGTTTATGTGGATTACTTGCTTAAATGTGAGAGCAGCATGCAAAAGTGGCTGCCACTAACCCACTCCACATGACGCCATAAACATGGTGTAAAACCCCATGACAGGAGCATACACACACTCACCCACACGTGTACACACACACACACACACATGTGTTCACATTAAGGACATGCGTGCAAAAATAAGCGCCCGGCCATAAGCCGCAAAATGGGCAAGGCACAAACCCGCCAAACCTACGATAGCTCATGCACGCCAAGAAAGGCAAAGGCATAATTATAGCATTATCACACACATGCACACACAAACACACACATATACATACATACACACACAGCACACACTAACGATAATCAATTGAGAAATGTTTATAATGAAGTGGCACGAGCAAAGTCCTGCCTGGCACAATGCCCGAGCGCTAAGCACTTCATTTACCCGTTTTCCAGCCATTTATCGTATCGTGTGTTTGCGAGTGTGTGTGTGTATAAGTGTGTACCACAGCTACTGCAATGGGCGTGGCATGCAAAAGCGCCAAACCAGCAATAAACTCTTCTTCCATTCCCCAATCGCCCTTCACCATTCATTGATACCATGTGCTAAGTACACGTTGACCAGAGATAAACATGGGCAACACGCACAGCCATTCTAACCAAATCACTCCATTCTCCCACCCTCAAACCCCTCGGTTCGCGCTTTCACGACAACGTCCATCATAATTCATTGGGAAGGGAGGACCTAACACAGAGGCAACTAGTAATAGAACTAGTAGAAATGTGTGAAAACAGGCCCGCACAGTCCATTGTAATGAAATTAGCATAGACACAAAAAGAGACAGAGAGAGAGAGAGAGAGAGAGAGAGAAAGAGAGAGAGAAATATAGGGAAAGCGAGAAGATCAAACTTGGGGCATTTTGCAGTAATTGACTTTAAATGAAATGATTTTAAAGCTACAACTGACATTGAGTATAGTTGCAGGAGTCAACTCAGACTCAGAAAGCGTTGCACAGCATCATCAGCTTAGTCGAAGTGTCAGTGACTCTGCAACTGAAACTGCAACTAGAAGTCGCAACAATAGTAATGGAAATGAATCGTGGCACCTCCTCCTCGAGGTAATGTAGGTGAAACCAGACTAGTGAGTACCTGGCTAATGGTTCCTATTGTGTCATTGGCTCGATGCAATGCACCGTGACTGGCCCCAGCCTGGCAACCCATTTTCAGTAGAGAATCTTTTATTTAATTTATGCCAAGTGCCAAAGGCAATGCCAATGTTGAGGTTGAGTTCGCTGCAGCCTTTGACTCCTTACCAATGAGGAGCATATGCCGGCGTTCAAAAGTTCAAAGTGCAATAAACTATGCAAATGAGCTAATTTAAAGTTTCTTATTTGAAAACAAAACGAATACAAATATACTTGAAATATATTAAAATATATTATTTGATAGATGCAACACAATTTAACATTTTTAAAATAACAACTCGTGTGAAAACAAACCAAAGCTGAACGGATTTCCGATAAGTAGCAAAGGATTTAGTCCACATATTTAAAGCTGTAATTTAAATTAAAGGATTTGTATATCCAAATTAACAAAAACATTCGATTGCTTTAACTGAAAATTACCCTTACATAAAGTCAATCAACGTCTAAAAATATTTGTAAAGCTTTTCAGATCAAGATCAATTATCTCCAAGCCATCATATAAATTATTTTAAAAATCGGGTTGTTTAACCAATTCATCATATCTTTTAGATCGCTGTTATTTTTGCTTGTCATTTTTTATTTATTTTTTTTTTTTGCTACTTGTGGTGTTAAGTTCGTCTTTGACTTAGCTCAACTCCTTTCCCTATCCTTCCTCTCAGCTCCTCAAAGTCAACACTTGGTGGCATCAGAGCATTCGCTGCTGTCTTTGACAAGGCGTTTTGTTAGAGAACCACTTCAAGGAGACAGCTGTACAAAGCAACGAGTCAAGTGCATTTTCGTTAGTTGCTTTCAGATTGATTTTTTCTTCTTTCTATTTATATATATTGTGTTTTTGCAATTCGTGCAATGCAACTAAGGTTTCAGCGAGTGCCGAGTCATTTTTTATGTTCTTTTTCTCTACTTCATTTTTTAGTATTCTCCGTTTGGCGCTTTCTTTCATTCGCAGCGCGCTTTCAATTTGTGTGTACATAAATTTCGAAATGGACTTCTCGTGTTGGGAATCGCGACATACAAAAAAAAAAAAAAAGAAATGAAAACATAAGAAGAGGAAAATGGTGCTAGACCCCTTCTCGCCCTGTTAAGAAATTGTGGTACGGAAACAAGTGGCCATGACTGCAATAGCGAGCTCTAAAAACAGAAGCAAAAACAACAACTTCCAGATAGTGTTGCAAAAGGCAACTGCATAAATAACCAGGCAAAACAAAAGCCTCGGTCCAAAGTCCAATCGAAAGTCGAGTTCGGCTGCGTCCTTGTCGCAATGCTGAAATTTACGACTCCTTCGAAAATTTCCACGCATAAATTTGGCGAGTTAAAAAATGCCAGAATTCCAGAAATAACCCAACAATATTGTTGACCAAATTCTTTTGTTGTATCGCATTTGTTGCATTTGTTTTAATTGGAAAACTTAAAGCATTACCAAAAAAGGCGACACAGTTTTGGGTGCGCCCACCCTGAACTGGGAACTGGGTAATTTGATTGTGTGGCGATTTCCGCACTCAATGGACCGTAAAATTACACCAGAGAAGAGGTAGCGCGGCAAGGCACATGTAAATGTTGATAACAATAAAAGTCTAAGGCAAAGTTCAAGTTGGAGTTTTTGATTCCGTCGCACCGTTCTGCTTGGTCGAGTAGGGAGGGATCTTTGCTCTGTGTCTTGAGAGCGGATAGAGTTGTAAGAAACGCTTCACATGCTGTTCTGACACCAGTGAAACCATCGGGGGAGGGTGGTAGGGAAAAGCACAATTCAAGCGTGACAAAAACTATTCGCTTTGAAAGCAAACATCAAATCTAACACAATGTGTGTTAAGAGGGAGTAATAAAATCTATATTAATGGTCATTCAAAATAAGCGATTATCAAATATGTGAACCAAATTTGTTCAGTTGAAAGTGGGAGAAGTATATTTGGGCTAAATAGAGGTCTGGTATCATCAAAGAAAATAACTGGAAACGATTTTTCTTCTATATATATATATTTGTTAGAATATTGTTATCAGAAAATGAAATGTCAGCATGAAATGCAATAGCTACAAATTGTATATCAATAAGCAATACGATGATAATTAAAATTGCAAGCAAATATCATTCAGTCATTGAACCATTTGTGTCAATGTCAGTCGAGGATTTAACCAAAGAGCGTAACATCATATGCCATTTGTGTGTAAATTGCCCTTTAGGACCGATTCTAGACGCTGTAATGTTAAGCCCAGCATATGCTTATATACTTATATGTATCTGGCAGCTCTTGTATGTGTTGTATGTGATCCGGCGTCATCATTACCATTTTCTGTCATCGTCATATCATCACACACACACACACACATGTCCTTATGACTTTCTCGCAAACGATAAGAAAAGTTTTTCTAACATAAACCGAGCATAACCCCAGAGCAGGAGATGTCCATGTCAAAACATATGGCATATTGCCAGGCAAAACATTTAATGGTCTGCAAAATGGCCAATGGCAGGCTAAGGGCGAGCACGAGATGACATTAAAAGTTGCTTAACCTTCATTAGACGCCCTATTCCAGCAGCCAGTGAAATGAAATTTAATATGTGGCATGACTTTGGGCATAGACAACTCCTCCTGCGTGCTGGGCGGCATCCTGGGTTTCGGGTTGCGCAATAAACGCGACTGTCGGCGGAGCTTAATATGCCATTTGTGCATGGCTCAGATGCCGGCTGCACTGCATCCTAATGATATGCTTGAAAAAAAGTTACGAACCACCGGGAAAGTTGGCAAACAAGGAGAAAACGCCCAACAGCTTTAAATAGTAAGAAGACCAGCCCAATTTGCCAGCTTGCTTCTCACATCGCAGGAAACACAGTACCCACCGCAGCCGGATCTGTTAGGTTGACTGCCTCTTTAAGTCCACTCGACTCGGCTTATACTTCCTGCGCCCTGTATCCTGCCTCCTACAGCAAAGACAAACGCGTTAATGCGGCGACACGGCATTATCCTCTTCTCCCTTTCATCCTATGCTTCCATGCTTCTTTGCTCTCTGTTGCCACTTCGGGCGCTTTGCGCTTATTTTGATAATCGAATTTGCGCAAACAAGCAGCGCCAGCAACAGGAGTACAACAAGCTTTCAAAGGATAACAGGACAATGCACAGGAGAACACTTGCACAGTTAACATGCACAAGGGCAAATAGGGCCGAGGATATCTTCGCTATGAACTTCTTCTTAATACTCATTAATGCTTTACAAGCTCTCGTTAACCTAATGAAAATACCATATGTAAAACTCATAATAAAATATTCAGTTAAGTTGTAAGCTCAAGTTTATTTTCGTTGTTTGGCATAAGTCATCAAAGCTCTATTGACAACTATTTTCAATTCATTCTGAGAAACTTTAAGTCCACTATCCGTTCTGGAAGATATTTGAAATCTCCTTAATATCCAGTAAACTTTTGAAATGACTTCGTCGCCAATTATTTATGCAAGGCAAAAGCTTCGTAACTGGTAACTTTTCCAAAGAAAACTATTTTTAATCAGCTAGCTCCTCTAAAAGCTTCCTGATTAGGAATAGTTTTCGGAAATGTCATATTTCGAGGCTTATGTGATTTCAGTCTACGAGATCTGGATAATGTGGCTTTCATTTTCTTATGAAAACACCGATGTTTCGAGTAAGCAAATTGCTGATCTTTGGCCTGTAATCAATGGGTTGTAAGAATTGAATTGAACGATTTACCTGACCATATTATAAATTTTCACCTGTGCGTCTGCCTTGATCAGATCCCGAACTTCCGCAATGCCTCGACGCATAAAGTCTATTTTCTCCTGTAACTCTCTCTGTTGCTGCTGGGCCTTATTCAGGCGATTTTTGGCGAGGCCTATCTGAACGTCCCAGTGATCCAATTCATTAGTTAACTTAATAGAGTATTCAATGATGCGAGCTTCATATTTCTGTTTAGATAAAGTGTGATTAATGTTGTAAGGATATTATGAAGAACGCTTGTTAATCACCTCGATAAGAATGTGGTTCACAAAGAGGTCAACGTGCGTAGCATAATTGTCTTTTTCAATCATGTCCTTAAGCTCCTCGATTTGCTCCTGTATTTTGAGCACGGACTGGTTGTCCTTCAAACACTGCATCTCCACCAGGCTGGCATAGTAGTCGCGCACATATCGCCACTCAATGGGCATACGGAGTGTAGCCTCCATGGTGTGACGCTTGCAATTCCTGACCATATTCCGTTCGTATCGGCTACGCCACTCAACGCTGAACTGCCGCTTCCGCTCCTGGATGTTGTATAACTCTTCAATTGAGATTTGCAGATTGTTGTCGAGCTGCTCGCCAATTTGCAACAGCTTCTGCTGATCCCAAATTGTGTCCAGCATCTTCTCATTGGTATTAGTTTCATATGCCACAGTGTAAAAGTATTTATAGTTTCGCAATATCTCCAGCAGATCTGTGCTATACTTGGCCTGATTCAGCTCATCCCAGCTGTATTTCCGGATCAACACATCAATATACACATCGTCGGCCAGCTTGGCGCGACTGAAGAGCCCATCCATGGACCACTCGAATATCTTGTGCGGCAAATCGCTGAGACTTATACCACCAAAGTCGAGAGAGATACTCTGCAAGATGCGGAGTCGCCGGATCGCTCGAGCGAACACAAAGTAAATCGAGGAGCGCTTCATTGATTCCAGCAGCTTGTCATATCGTGCTTTAGTTGGACCCATTAGAACACTTGGTGTGTCAGTTTGAGATTTGATGTCACCATCCACTTTGATGTCATCCAGCGATCGGATCGGATTTAACTTTTCCAGGAAGGTGTCTAGTGATAGTTGGCTATCATCGCTGAGAACTGATTGGTTCGAGGCATCTGCACTCGAACTTGTGCTCGTTTCGTCTAACTCAAGTTCGGCAAACAGTTGACGTAGAAAGGTGTCGCGGCACCAGGTCGGATCATATTCACCATCAATTGGCATTATGAGTTCGTATTGTTGCTCCATTTCGCTGAACTGTTTGAGCAGCAGGTGGTCCTCCAGTGAGGGCTGCGAATCGAAATTAAACATGCTTCAAGCTCACAAACAAATTAAAGAGAAAGAAAATCAAATAAAATATATATTGCTAAGGAAAAACAAACAAAACTAAATTAGCAAAAAAAAAGGAAGATAAATTCTATTAACTCAATGGCAAGTCCATCCAAAGCCTACTTTAACACATTTAAAACTCAAATCACAGCTTGAAGGTCTGATTTCATTTTAATATGTAAATCAAAATGGGAAAATAGAGTCCACTCCATATATTCTGCAAAGCTTAGTTCTGACAAGCTTTAGATCTAATTTCCAGCTTATATCCTGTGTAAGCAGGATCTCAAAATCACCACAATTAGCTGGTGAACTTAATATCAAAATTTAGTTGGTGTTTCAAACTAATAAATGATTGTACAAACTTCTAAACTTGATTTTCATTGACATTCTTGCTTTTTGGCTTATTACAACACTGTATTCTTAATCTGACTTAAAAGTTATTTTAATAATTTTGATGTTTGTATAGAAATATAGCTCCTGCTTTTTGATGTATTTAGTTTCAATCTCAATTATTGGTATAATTCAGGTGTGGTGCCTGCTGACAACCTAACAGCCCCTAATTCTTCTTGGGAGCTTGTTTTCTACATTTTTGTAATTTTCTTTATGAAAATCAATGCATATATGAATTTGCATACTTGGATGTGAGGCGATTCATAAATTTGAGATGCGACACGCATATTTACACGCCACAAGGCTCTGCTTTAAATTAAGTTTGCAATTGAAATGGTGCGCAAGAGCAGCAAAAGGACCAAGGACCAAGAACAGCCTGCCGACTTTAAATTGCTCACGTGTGTGACACAATTTGAGGAAACCGACAAAGGAGGCAACGACAATGACGGAAGCGGAAGCGAAAAATGTGCACAAAAATCGCACAGCGAACAAAACAGTTGAATGACAGAGAGGGAGAGGAGATAGAGACAGATGGAGAGAGAGAGAGAGGTACAGAGTCGGTAGGCAACGTGGCGCTTAACAGCTGGCACGTACGCAGTGCCACGCCCACGTCAGAACCGCGGGGCAAACAATTTGGAAAGCACACACACACTAAAACAAACTCGCCCTGCACACACACACACACACACACACACACACACACACACACACACACACACACACACACACACACACACACACACACACACACACACACACACACACATACACACACACACACACATACACACACACCCACACACACACACATGTAGGTCTTCAGTTACGTTCTTTATTCCCCACCCATATCTTGGGGCTATCAACGTCATGGGCCTCGCCATAAGCCTCAAATGCCATGCGTACGTGTGTTATTTAATGCTTATCTTTATCCTTTTCCCATTAGTGTTATTGATGTTGGCAGTCGTCGCTTACCACCCACCCAACCACCCAAGCAGTGTGGCACCTGTGCGTTTGCGACTCGATAAACCTGGCCGGCAGCTAAACGCTGACAATTGATGCCAGAAGATGCCTGCGGAACAAACTTGGCACAAAATCACGCGCTAAACATTATTTTAATGCTCCAGGCAGGCATTCACATATGTATATGGATACGTTTGTATTCCACACACTCTATAAAGCAGTCTGTCGAAAATATTTAAAGCTCTTTCCCATCATCCCCCGCATTTCCTGACAACCCCCCAAAGAGTGGGCCCTCTTGGGTCCTCGCGCTGCCACCACTGACATTTATAAATGCTGAACTTGGCTCTTAGGCTTTCAGATTGCCAGCCCAACAGCGGGTGGCAGCCTTGACGGGAGCCTTCCGAATTGAAATGGTGCTAAATTATGGCGGCAGATGGTTAAAGTTGAAGCTTAATGAAAAAATAAACACGCTCAATAAGTGATGGGATGCGTTAAGACTCAGGCCTATAATAAGAAACACCAGCAAGGATATTCACAGATAAAAGATGTGAAATATTTTCGAATGAAAAGTTCAGACGCATTTTATTAAATGTATTCACATTTGTCAGCCTAGTTTCATCATTATAATAGTGAGCAGCTAATGATATCAGAATTTAAATTTGAAAGCGCACAATTTACTTGACGAAAGGCTTTGGAACTTCGAAATACAAATAAGAATTGTAATTAAAATTATTTAATTAATTGAATACTTTTATTAAAATTGTGTCTAATATTCCAGTGGAAAATACTAACCAGCAAGAAACAAAATGCAACTGTTTTTGCAACAATAACCACTTCTATCGATAGTTATAAAAGGGTTGCATGGCAATGGGACAGAAACAAGTAATGTCAGATGAAAAAAATAAAAAAAAGCATAATCACTCTTAGCTTTGACATATGCGTAACAAGTCGTGTTTTATTATTTATTTTTAGATTGGTGGATAAATATTTAACACAATTTAAACACCAGTTTCAACAAATTCAAATGTACTGTTAAGTGTTAAGTGCTCGATCAAAAAAATTACGCGGCCCAAAGTGTGTGCAAACCATTTCGATTTGACGACAAATCGAGCTCTCTATTTTCTATGTAAGGCGTCGACAAGCTGTCCAATACTCTGCCGGCCAAAACGACCAATACAAATTAGAAATCACCATTAAGGGAATCGAAAATGCTCGCACGCAAATACGAACTGAGTCCACGGATGCCGCTGGTCCACGAGAAGATCGCTCTCCAGTGTGCACTGAACATCAGCAAGTTGGCTTCATCATTGCCGAAGCCGCGCAACCGTTTCGACGAACTTCCTGTGCTGGTGGAATTGCGTCGCTGCGACGAAGATGTCCTTTATCGCTATCAGGTCAATCTGCCTGCCAGCTGCCTTGATCCCGAGCCGCAGCAGATGAATGCCGCCGAGGTGACAGCACTCACCAAGCAGCTACAACTGCCCTGTATCGTGCACGGCTACACCAAGGAGCACGGTTCGAGTGCTCAGAATACACTGATTATGTTGCAGGAGGCGGTGCATGTGGTTCACAATCGTGAACGGAACGACGACAGCCAGCCAGGCATCAATGAAGCCATTTCAACATTCCAATGCTCGCCATTTGCCTGTAAAGCCTCCCAAAGGACCCAAGATCATTTCATGGCTGCTCTCCACCAATACGAGTCCAGGCCACTGGCGTCCAAGTTGCTTTCCGATAGACAGAGCGAGGAACATAACACAGAGGACGAGTTGCAGCCACATTTGTATCAGGTGTCACAAGGTACTTATATCAGCCCGAATAATGGAATCTATAACGGCTACAGCATAGTTGGACCACCCATTCGTCACCAATTTAACGAACCCCAGAAAACTGTAAACAGCCCAAAATCTGAGCAACAGCAACCCTTAAAGTTGCTCAATGGGTACAAATCCACCAGGTACCCTAATTATAATCACAACGATAACAGACACATGTATCGTGAGAAGAAAGCTGGAAATTGCAACCAACTATCAATTGTGGCAAGAGTAGCACCATCACCACCACAGTCAAAGATTCGCCCATCCAATGGCTACAACCCATCGATACCTAACTCGGCTCTCAGCCGCAATTTAAGGGATAACCGTGCCAAGCAATTGGATCCGATGCTGGAATGCGCGTCTCTGCGCAATGCTAAAACACATGGGTTGTGGATGGCGGAGATGCAAGCATCTTATGGATTTCTGCCGCGTGTTGATAATTATGGCCAACAAATCGAGCTGCAGCGAGAACTGCAGTTAAGAAGAAAACGAGATCAGGATATCCAGCATCAGAAGCTAATCGAGCAACGAGTCCACAAGGGTGAGTTCAAGCCAGTAACAATTTGCATATTGTGTTTACTGTTTGACTACTCGTTGCCGTATTCCCAGATTCCCAATTGATATCGCAGGTGCCGCAAGAGTTGCAGTCACTATTCCAATGGGACAGCTGTCGCCTGTGCCACACGGCACTGACATCGAAACGTAATGCTCTGGATCATTACTTGTCGCGCACCCATCTGCGACGGGTGGAAACCTGGCTAATCCAGAATAGCTTTGGCATGGGAAACCTGTCCGAGGAGATGTTGCGCCATCTGCGCAGCTCGGGACCCGCCATCCTGCACTGCGATCTGTGCGATCTGAAGCTATCCTCGATGTTGCATGCCTGGCAGCACTTCTGTGGACGGCGCCATCGGCTCGTGGAGCGTCGGATTAGCAAGCCGAATGGTGAGGGCTACTACGACAAGGCAGGCAACTGGGTCCGCACCAATGATAAATGGCTGATGTGCCATCTGTGCGATGTGATTGTCACATCGGAGTCGCAACTAGGTCTGCACATGGCCGGTCTGCGGCATCGCAAGCGTGAAAGATCCAACTTTGGCTCATCTTCGACAGATACGTTCGATGGCAGCTTCATCCATCGGATCACGGGGAATGGTACGCTGGTGCCGCTAAATCCATTCGGCACCTACATGTACGCCGGTCGCAACAGGCGGGACATTCACATGATGGATGACGTGAATGCCAACTATTATTGCGAGCTATGCAACAAAACGCTTAATCATAAGAAGTCGGCGCAACAGCACGTTGAGGGACGGGCACACAGTAAGAAACTGGAGAGGAATAAACAAGAAACAAGAACAGTATGCATCTAAATATCTGAATCAGGTACGCTGACCGATCATAAACAAATCGATCGATCGATCTCAGCCCCACCACGGCAATCAAACGGGCCGTATTACTTGCAATTTATATATTTGAACTATGTAACATTTCATATGTTTTGAAATAGCACTTAAATATAATATAATGTAATATAATATAAAATATGTATATGTACATATATTTGTAAATTTGTATGAATGTTAAGCAATGCGTATCTCTGCAGCTAATTTAGAATATTTCCATTTCACAGTATGTCAAGTGATCCAAATTGATTTATTATTTGAGCATTTAGTATTAGCAAATCTTTTAAACATAAAAAATATACCCTTTTTGATACAGAGAAAATACTATTGCACGCTCTTGGGCTGTCAAAAATGTTGTGCCTCAGCATGTTGCACCAATGTTGCCAAACACCAATGTTGCTAAGCACCAATGTTCCTAAGCACGCATGCTGCTTTGCAATAATTTCATGGTGCTGAAGCGTTGCTGCAGCTACAACAGAGTTTCAAGCCAACGTGTATAAAATGATATACTTAAATTAAGAAAAAGAAAGTCTTCTGTATATATGTATCTGTTAGGTTACTTAAGTAGGGAATTAAAATCGATATAATTAGCCTATGATACATTTTGTGTACCAAAAATTAAAGGAAAATACCGTTATACTACATCATTTTCTTAGCAGGTTGCTATTTAAGTTGACACGTAAATATGGTTGCGGTATTGACTAAGCAGCACTAAATTAAAAAATGTGGAATACTTTTGGGACCACAATGAAGATGAGAAAATGGCGGTAGCACATCAACAAAATATCTGTAAATCGGCCATGTATCTGCAAGGTCTTAAAGGACATGGTGAGTTAATCGCAAGGATATACTTTATAAAACTGAATTTAATGAATATAATGCCATCTAAGAACATAAACTCTTTCTCGTAACTTTATTAAAATAATCGTAGTTGCAATGGGTTTATGTCTAGATTTCAGGTTTGAAATAATATGTGCCTAATCTGAACTTTTTCCATGTCAATATGAATATAATTCTTTTTCTCACAAAAAAGTTAACTATGAATTTTCTATATAGGTACAAGTGTAAAAAACACATTTAAAACAATAATTACGCTCATTATATTGGGGAAACTTGCAGCACTTTTGGCTTCATTAATGATGTGGCACTCGCCGCAAACGTTGCATGCCACACGTTCATAATATGTTCTTGTGTTGCTTGCTTTTAATTGCCCGCCTGCTTATGCAGGAACACGTTGCCCTAAAGCGTCTGCCGTTGCCATTTGCAATTCGCCATTTGACATTACCCAGTAGCCATTTGCCATTTGCCATTTGCCTGGGCGTCCAGACGGGAATCGCATAAACTCTGCACAGGAATCGTCGCCAGCCGTAGACACTGCGAGGACCATAAAAACGGAGTTATCGTTGGGTAAATATCAGAAGTGCCCCCCGACTCAATTTTAGTCGACGTCTAGACAAAACATGGCATTAAATAAATAAATAAATCGCAGCAGCAGCAGCAGCAACATCAACAACAGCAACAAAAATAACAACAATGTCAGCGGATCGACAAACCGCAGAAACGGAAGAGACGCGAACAATTTATGGCCACGATTTGGGCGTGTGTGAAGTAAAAAGTATGTTGCACACACGTCCAATGAAGGTCAATAGCTGGGCGATGAGCGTGTGAAATTGTGGGCGTGGCCAGTCATCCTAGTCAGCTGCAGCCAACACATACAACTGCGTATGCATATCCTCCTGCTATATAGCTATCTGTTTATCTGACTGTCTGGCTGTCGCTTCTGGCTGGCTCAAAACATGTTTTCGCATAAATTAAACTTCTTATCTGCAGTAAAACATTTGACGCCATTGTTGTTGTTATAGTTGCTGTAGATGTTGATGTTATTGTTGCTGTGTAGCCAGGAAATGTATAAACAATCAGCACCAACATGCAACAGCAACAGCAGCACCACAACAATAACAATAAAACGGAGCAGCTTTTGTAAAAATGCATCTGGAAATTGAAGGAAAAATGTCGAAAAATAAATAAATTGACGGGAAATGACATTTTATCGATGATAATATGAATGATATGGGGCCAGTATGTGGGCAATAAATGATAATACTGCATTCTTAAAGGTGGCTTAATATATATTTTTTTCCATTTTCATTATATTACGAAATGGGAATTTAAATCAATTTTCAACTTTAGACTTACCTTGAAAATAAAAACATGATTTTACTATTATTATTTGTACAAGCCCCTTATAAATTATACTTTGTTTTAATTCCGGAGGTATACTGATATTCTTATATCCGACTTTTCAGTAGCTAAATATGTGCACATATGTATACGTGTAATTTTTGCATTAACATGTATTTGTTTTTGCGACTCGTCCTTGCGTTGAGCGACCCAAATTTAATTGCTCGGCGCTGAGTTTGTTTACAACTGTGTACACAAATTAATTATGCAGCTCTGTGATGTGATCTGATGTGCTTCCACACACACCCAAGCTACACACCCATCACCTGCACAGTTCGCTTAGTGAAATTGTTTTTAACATTTGCCAAAAAATAATCGCTTGACGCACTCAGCCTGAAGAAAATTTATGTGTGGCAAGCCAAAATACATCCTGCAGGCACTCGCTTGCCTCAAAATACCCATTTGCATAGCCTACACACAGACACAGACACAGATGGAAATGCAGTGAGCGCTTGAGCAAACAATTAACATCATTTTGAAAAAATTCACTCAGGCATCACTTTTTTAGATAATTATTATGCAACTTTCTGTGGTGCTGTTATTATTGCTTACAACATAATGCTAATAATTTCTAATTCGTTTTTATCTTTTTTTTTTAATTTTCTAAATAATTTTTGTTTAGATATCGAAAAAAAAAGTTGTAAGTCTTTTGTCTTTTTAACTCTCACTGTTCGCATATCACTTATGACATTTACGAATGTACAATGTAATTATAATGTAGTTACATACGTATATACATGTATATATATATATATATATGTATATATAATTTCTTTCTTTATATTTTATATTGCAGCCAGTTTGGGTGTGTGGCTCCCAAAATGTTTAAGGCGTGTGAATTGTTTTGCATTTATGCCACACTATGCGAAATATTATATAAAAAGCTATTAGCGTTTTTAATTGTTACGTCTTAGGAGTATTTATTGTTACTGTTGTCGGTATTGTGTGTATTTTGTATGTCACATGAACGTGTTTAGACTACCCAAGTGCCTTCATAGTTTAACATCGAGGTGTTTATAATTTTGGATTGTAGCTCGTGCAAGTGATTTGAAACGGTTTGGGCTATTAGAATCTGGCTTTTATGGCTAAGGTTGAAGTACATTTAAGCTTATCAGTTTGCATAGGTTTATGTTAATTCAAGTTACGTTTAGATTGAAACCAATATTCATATGTCGAAGAAATTAATGAGTATTTTAACTATGGAATTCACCATTGGGTTTCTGGAACTTAATTTGAAATTTTTTACTAAAGTCATTATTTTTTTTATGAATTTATTGATTGGCTTTCAAGGACTCTTCTCGCTTACGGCTTAAAAAAATATTAAACAAAAATTAAAAGTAAACATTTACCCAGATTAAGTAGGTTACAGACTAATTTCAGTGTTTTCACCTACTCCCAAGTCATTGGCCCTGAACGAAATCACATCCACAATTTATTTCAGCCAAATCTGGGACTCACCCACATCTTTTTGCAACATCATCCAAATAGAAAACACACAAGAAAAAAGTGAAAAGAAAACATGGAGAAAAACTGAGCTGAAGACGTTGATTAGAATTTGCCGGTTGGGGCAGCCGCAACATCAACACGAAAACAAATATAAATACAAATACAAACACAAATACAATACAAATACAAATAAAAACATAAGAGCCAGCAACAAATCCGATGGGAGCAACACATGACAAGCACATGACAAAAGCAACAGCAGCAACAAAAACAATGGCCGATAAACAGTCTTTTGGGATATATGTCAATCGGCCGAATGAAGCAGCAAAAACTGAAAAAACATATCGAAACTGGCTCGAGAAATGTGTTTAATGTTTTGCTTATATTGCAACAAATGTAAACAGGAACAGAGATCGCAACAACCAATAATAACAACAACAACAACATCAGCACGAAACGCCTCTATGACACATTTACCAACATTGTTGCTTTTGGCCAACGCTTTGAATGACAAATCTTGTTGAATTTCTTGTGGCAAGCCCCGTTCGTGATGCTGTTGTCATTGTTGTTGCTGTCGCTGTTGCATGGAAAACCAAATACATAAGCAACGCCAACGGTAGAGCTGTTTCTGGTCTCGTACTTTTTTCGACTATAGTTTTTCCCCGTTAAAATACAAAAAATTTTTTTTCTTAAATAAAAAAAATTAAAATGAAGAAAATTTAATACTCTTGCATATAAGCAGATTACTCATTATAATTTATCGTTTATTATTTTTAAGCCATTTCTATAGCGAGATGGAACGAAAATATGTCATTAAAATTTACTAAATCTTAAACTAAAATCTTAAGCCAAATTTCAGTGAATGTTGTTTCTGGTATTGGTGAAAACACCTTTAATATTTTTCCCCCTTTAAGCATAATTAAAATTATATTTCTAAATCTTTTAAAGTATACCTGTGCCTACTGCACTTTATTACCTCCATATGAGTGTAGTAACTATAACCTTTTACTAAACACAAACAACTTAAGTTACATGAACAGGCGGTTAAAATAGTGTGCACAAATCGTATATCCAAGTTGTAATACCCCCTATCGAATGGCATCGAAAACCACTTTCGATGTCGCCTTCTGCACCATTAGCAGATATTTCTTTTTTCTTATTTTTGGCTTGGAAAAAACATTTGTGGTTGAATCACGAAAAGAAAAATGCGGAGCCGACTAGGCTAGATGATTATATAATATTTGCCAGAGAGTATTGAAAATTGTGATTCAGGTAAAGAGATAGAGAGAGAGAGAGAGAGAGAGAGATCAACAGAGAGACAGTTGCAGATGCATGATGGGAGAGGCGCATGCGCTCATTGCATGGAATTTCTTGCCAAATATTAAACAAAGTTTGTGCAACAGCAACTGTGTTTCCAAGCGCACTTTTAGAAATATTTATTTTTTATATAATCAACATTTAGTATAGCGTATACTGGAGTGCTGGAGGCTGACGTTGGCTCACATGCCATTTAACAATCAAAACATCATTTCACTGCTGCTAAACAATAAAACTACACAACCAAAACTACCGCATAACGCAACCTAAAAGTACGCAGTTGCTGTTGTGGTAATTATTATTATTATTAATATTAGTTGTAGCTGCTTGATTACAGTCATTGGTTAGCTGGCGTAGGCGAAACATGTGGCGAGTGTCTGCCACACAATTAAATGGCGCTTATTGCTGAATAGACAGATGCAGATGATGTGCCTCTTTCTCTGCTAGGCATATATATGTGTATATAAAAGGAGAGGCGGGCTGCAGACGCAACTTTGGCAACCAAATTAAAGTTGGTCAAATATAAAGTTTTGGCCTAGTTTTGCTTAACTTGTGGCTAGAATTGCAAGAATTAAATTAAGAGTAGCACAAGGCTTCATTGAGTAAAGTAAAGAGAGATTTTATAAAGTTCAAGCTTTTAAATGTTAATATCTCTGATTTTAATTAAATCTAACTTTTTAACCCTTTTTAATACAATAATTAAAACTATACAAAATTGAGATCAAATCAGACTTTGTTTTTTAACTTATAAGATGTTTATTTAGTGAGGCAACATCATTATGGTTTAAAGTTGAAAGCCAATAAATATTGGTATTTCTAAAAACTCAATATTTGTTTTTAAATATATTGCTTAGAAAATTTTTGCACACAAATATTAAAAATTGTAATTTCACATAAATATTTATATTTGTCTGAGCTTCAAGCTTATTCGGTTTGTGTGGTTAATTTTTTGTTTTGTTGCAGTGTAGCAGTGCTCTGTAAATAATAAGCTTGCCTGCCCTTTTTGTGGTTGAGCGTTGAGTAGTCAGTAACATCAGTTTGCTGTTCAGCTTGTCAATTTCGACACTCAAGCAACTGGATATGGAAATGAGGCACCCAACAACTAAATGTGTCAGCTGAAAAGAGGCAAATAAAAAATTGCAGCGTAAATCACATCCTGACAAGGCCAAGAAACGATTTGCTGGCAGCATCTGCGTGTCAAGAGTCAGACACAAATATAACAAGCTTAAGAAACGACTTGCCCCACATGCACCTCGTTCTCTCTCTCTCTCTCTTTCTCTTTCACGCACTGACACTTACAAATAATTTCAGTGTCACGCAGCGAGTATGCCACAAAAAAAAAATACAGACGTTAACAAAAGCAATACAGTCAAAAGTTGCTACAGCAGCAGCAGCGGCAAACAATAAATCAGTTACAACTACAACAAAACCAACAACCATTTGCGCCTACTGACCTTGAGTCGTGGCATTAAATTGCAACATTTTTTTTTTTTTTTTTTTTGCTGTTCCCAAAAAAAAAACTTCGCAACAACTGGCAATTTTTTTTTTTTTTTTTTTTGTAGTTGTCGGAAACAGTGACGCCAAAACTTGCTGCGTAAACTGTTGCAAGAACATTCATAAAGCGCTAATAGTTATTATCGTCTCTTAGACACTCATTCATCTCGGATGATTCCTAAAATATGATTAATAATAATATTTTTGTCTCTCAATCTAAAAGAAAAAGTTACTTTCCGACTTAATATCTGCATGTAATTATAAACAAATATATCAGTTAGTCATAAGCATTTAATGCATTGTATAGTTAAAGGGTATCAAAAACAGTTACAGTAAAAAAAATACTCAAGTTAATTACATGAAGTGCAATTGCATCAAAAACAATTAAAGCAGCACCAAGTTGGCCAAATAGGCGTGCCGATATTTACCGCACAGTGGCTGGCCTTGCTCCTGGTCCCCGTATGGGGAGGGGAAATTCCGTTTTCATGACATTTTATAATGCAAGTGTAAGATATTGTCCATTCTGCTAGCAGTCTGTCTGCTGTCAACATGAAATATGCATATTGCATTACCTCTGAATCCGGATGTTGTAAGAATACATGTAATAATGGTGATTGAATTTTATGATCATTGGGTTAGTGTCTGTCTGTCATTGAACAGCACACGGAGTAAGTCGAATGCAGCCCTGATAAATTGGCTCGGGCCAAGGCCAACAGCAATAGCAGCAACGGATCATAACCGGATAATAATCACCATTATCTGCATCATAATGATGATTGTTGCAAAATCTGGGGAAGCCTTTACGTGCCTTTACTGACAACAGTTGCAATTGACGTTGCCCAGATGATCCGATAAGTAAGTTCACTTATAAAATGGTTTGTAATCAAAACAAATAGGCGGCTCAGTGTTTTCAGAAGTGAGGCGGGATAGGGAGAGGCACAGCGAATCAACGAATCAGTGACTCAAATCGACATTTCGCTTGCACATTTCTTTGAAATGAAAACGTAACCAAAAAGTAAACTCCATCTGAATCTCAAATACAGAAAGGCAAGCACTGCGAACTGCTGGCAGCTGATGCGGGCAGATAGACAGATATTTCAACCTATTTCGACAGACGCTGGTTTTGGGGGTGCAGTGGGGCGTGTTGTGGATGAGGAGCTTGAGGTTTGTGCAAATGCAATTACCTTGGCAGCAGCAGTAAACGTAACACCAAACACTGAAACCGAGTCAGTAAGACAGCAACAGCAATAACAGCAACAAAACAGCAACAACATCAATCACCGTATCAGCGAATAACGGCACGAACCGAAAAAGCCCACACGAACCGGGCTGAGTGCGAAAAACGAAAGACTTAGGCAAAAAACTTGCTTGGCACGCGCTGCATACAAAACAAAATATAATAACAACAACAGCAAACGTCACGCCGCGTCGCCAGCAGACAAAACAAACGTACAACTTGATAATATAATAGATCTGTGTCTTGTTGTCTGAAAGATAAAGCAAACTAGCTCGGTCGGTTTGTGTGTGTCGCATGGGGGTGTCGAACATGTTGGATCTGAAATTTACACTTTACTTGTATGCATTCAAGTGGGGCCAATTCCTTGAGCCAGGTCAGCCGCATGATGATCAGCAGCTCTAGATCATGGACTTTATATGGCCATGAAACATCATTTGAAACAAATGTGAATCAGGTAAAACGATACAATTAAATGTAAAATGATTGAACAATATATCACATTTAATGGAAATGCTTAAGATAATATTAATGCAACAGATTGTATCTTTTATTTGTCAATTGTAATAATGCCCACTGCTAAAACTGTTCATTCTGACAGTGTGCTAATTGAGGGACCCCCTCCAGCGTGCTGATAATCATAGAGCAGATCGAGTATCTTTGTAATTTCTTGTACTTGAGTAAGCAAATTTAAATAGCAGCTCTTACTCAAACGAAATGAACAACAAAACAACAAAATAACAACAAAGTTGATCACTTGCCATCAAGTTGCAACAAGTTGGCATCGAGCTTGCTGCAGCGCTTGCCTGTCTCAAACCTAGCCTGTCTGGTTAGTCGTGGCGATCGCTTCAAGTCAGTTGAGAAACGAAACTTCAGGAAATCGGTTGGCAGGTGAAACTTGCTCGAAGCGCGTGCGCGTAGATAACTCGTATATTGTTTATATATCATTTGCAATAACGATTCCGTTTATATCCTTGATTGCACGGAGAATGTCCCCAATGCAATCAGTTGCCAGCTGTCACAGTTTAATTTAAAAAAAATTCATATTAAAAAAGTGTTGCAAATGAAGTTTTTTGTTAAGCAGCTATAAAACGACGTAATCGTTACGCTTAGGTGCAAGCAACTGTTGCATTGCCAATTTTATCCGAGTGAGTGTGGTGCGTGCTTGTGAGTGTATAGGGAGACATTCTCTCTCTCTCTCTCTTTCTCTCTCGATCTCTGGCTGTTGCTCTCAGTGACTCTGTCAGATGGGAACGAATTGCGCGTATGGGTTTGGGCCATGGCCAACGGCGCTGCTGTTGCACTGCCTTGCGGCATTGTTGGTTTGCGGCAGCGCCGGCGCCTTCACAATACTCTCGCCCTTCAGCTACAGCTCGCTGAGCTTCAAGAATCTGCTCAACAGCGTCCTGCTCTCGAGCAATGCCAATCTGGCTGGTGGCGGTCGCAACCTGAAGTCCGATGTGCTCGAAGATGCCTCGCTGATAACTGTAAGTAATCTGCCCGAAAAACCACTCTGTTGTAACCTGAGTCAACTGCAACTCAACTAAAGCTTGAGTTGTTAGCATTGACACTTGTTATTGTTATTGTTATTACGGTTATTGTTGTTGTTGCTGTTGCTGTTGCTGTTACCCTAATTGTTACCGGTTGAGGTTTTCCTCATTTTCCAGCAGCTACCAACTTGATTTTTTAGTTATGATTTCGGCTCAACAGTTTTTCTATGTTAAACAAATTTACACTTGTGTATATATTTTTTTCACTTCTCGCATCACACTTTTCGTTCAAGAAAGAAAGTTTCTTCATTTTTGTATTTATAGTTTCTGCAGTTCGTTGACTTCTGTTGCGCCCATGCTTTACATGGGTTTCAGTGCCAGAACTTTATTACTACTGCCCTCAAGAGGTCTCTGTAATCATCTGCCAGCACGTGAAGCACTCACAATCGATTTATTGGCCACAGACAATTGCCATTTGCCGGTTCTTTTTTATTGAGTTATACTTTGTCTACGACTGCTGGTTTATGTGCAATTTCTACATTTTTTAATACGAGTATACCACTTTTCATTTTGAATCGTGCGTATTTTATGGAATAGTTGCTAGAATTTAATATCAGAAGCATAAATTGTTGAAGAAGGTCAGTCAAGTCAGAGGCTAGAAATGCATCAATGCATCAAATTTGAGACTAATGCGAGAAAAATTTGATCTTTCTTAGAAAAAAATTAAAATATATTGAAAATTATTTAATTAAACTAATGTGGCTCTTGACCTTAAAGCCCTATTGGCCGTTAGTTCATCTAGTTTATGTAGCTGCAATTAGATAATTTAAGTTCGGTTTTCCTTCACATCATTATTTTGAATGCAATCGGCGTTTATTTTTTGTTGGGTTTTATTTAAGGTCACACCGAAATTAAACTGAAATTTGCATTTCACGTCAATTAAAAAATTCACTTAAAAATACAGAAAATTGCTGTATTTATTATTTACTATTTTTATTATTATTTTATATTTTGGCAGCTTAGCATCAAGGGTAAGAGCAAAGTTTAAAGTCTGCAAATATTGCCGAGGATTACCAAACAAGTTTTATGGGTGGGGTTGCCATGTTGCCATCAAATTCAATAATATGTTCAATAATGACAAGCAGGCGAAAATTGACAAAGCCAATAAACTGGTCAAATACAAAATTATTAACCACATGCCAAACAGCAGTAGATACAACAACAACACCAGTGACATTACCAAATAGAAGAGGGCAAGAAGGTGTAAAAGGGTGTGGAAGGGGTGAAGTTACGTGATAATGTAACGTGCATTATGCGATTTACGTGCGTTTTAAACCTGACAGAGAGATAGATATACGAGCATTGTCAACCGGGTAACGATATAAAAGTCTTAAACTGAAACTGAAACCGAAACTGAATCTTATGCAAAGTCATGGCTCGGCTTTCAAATGCGAACAACAAGCTTGGCGAACTAAAAAGGCAAAAGCCCAACAAACTCTTCAACAATTTCTGCACGTTGCCAATTGCATAATCGCCTTGGAGTGGGGAGTGAGAGACACCTTTTAATGGCAGCAATAACAAATTGAAAATTGTCAACTATGCACACTCAAACACACACACACACACACCACTCTCTCTCACACACACACACACTCATAATAATCAACATGCAATTAGGCTAACCTGTCGACTGGCTGACTGACTTTGAAATATGGGTTAGGAGACCTCGCTTCACGAGCCCAACACTTACCGTACCGTATTTTCCGTGCCCAGCTCGGGGACAATGTCTCCGACCCATGTTTCTGGTCTCCATTATCTAGGAAAGTCAGCACTTTGTGCTCTACACATCACAACAATAAGGAAATGCGATTGCAACAGTGTTTTTTTCTTCTTTTTTTTCTTCGTTCGTTTCTATTATAATTTTTCTGTTGTTAGGTTTGGTTTACTTTGGGGCATTTGCCTTTGTTTTTCTTTTCTGTTTTTAGGTTTTGGCAGTGTCTTAATTTGAATTTGAAGAGTTTCCGCATAGTTTTCGCATGCCAAATGTGAACAAATTTGCAAATTGTTGTCATCAACTTGATTACGTAGTTTGACAAATGGACAGTTTAAATGTGTCTGGAATTATGACCATAATAAAGGAAAGTAATCAGAGATTAAAGTGGCATTTAGCATGCATCATCTTTAATTATACAGTAAATCTTTTTAAATGTACACTTGTAGGTAATGTACACATTGCGAAAATATTGCAAATACTTTATATTTACTTAGACAGCGCAAAAGAAATATAATTGCTTTAAAAAAAATTCCAAATAGCTTTTAAGATTGAAGGCATTAAAAGTTGTATTTAATTTAAAACCCAATTAGTCAAAATAACTGTGATAAGTGCGCTCTGCGCTTATGCTATTTAACTAAATTGAGCGGTTTGAGACAAAAGTTCAAATGTGATTAACCTTTGTGTTTTGATGCCATTATATTGATGTCAGGCCACCATAGTATAGCAAATTCAAACCGTGCCAAATTCGAGACAAGAAATATATGATATATATGTACAAATACACTCAAGACAAACTGGTTGGGACTCAGTCGAGACGTTTCGAACAGCTGCCGGGCAATTATAATGACAAAGATTATTATGATGATGCCGAAGTGCACGACAGACAAACATGAAAAGAGAAGTCAATATCAAGGTTAGTTACAAAATCAGCAATGCTAAGATCGATATTGAGGGAAACCAAAAGTGGCTCGATTTCCTTGCGGCACAACCGCAACGCATCACGAGAAATCAAAAGTGTTTTATGCAAATGAGCTCGGCCCAAAAAACACTTCAACAAATACAATATACAATCATAAATTTGCATTGACTCTACAAAAGCTTGGATAAACAATAATAATAACAACAACAGCGAATGCGTGTATAAACATAAAGCTAACAGCCCCGCCTTAAAGCCGCCCAGCACACACTCATTTGCACTTAGCATGGACACAAACCACCACAATACACTTAAATTATGTGGGTCATGATGCGACCAAAATATGAAAGGTGTAGATTATACTTTAGGTGATAACAATTTTATTATTTTCGCTAAAAAAAAAAACACTTAGTTTAATTAGCGACACGGCAAATTCCATGAAATTTCAACGAAAAATTATAAGTAGCAAAAGTTTGAAATAATTTTCATATTGACATCGGTCGCAGTACATTTAACTCCCTCTTTCGATGTATTCGCATTTATTTAATTATAGTTTTTGACTCTGCATTTTTATTTGTTTACTTTGCTCTTGTTTACTATTTAATTTTTTGTATTACAGTTTTTAATATGTTCAAATTGGAGCTAACATAAATATTTGAATATTTGTGCAATATTTTTATAGCTCTTTTCACAGTGAGTTTTTGAATTAATTGCTGGCGATTTTTTCATGCATAAAAAGTTTGTATTTACTTTTAGAAGTTGTCAGTTAGTCAATCAAAATTTCAGAAACTCGCAATTAAATGCCAATAAAATATTTAAATTTATATTTGTTGGCAGTAAAGTTAAATTAAAATTCAGTACTTTAGTCTTAATAATAAAAGCGTTGTCCAAATGCCTCAAAGCTGCTTATAATTGTTTTTTTTTAGAGGAAAAAATTAGCTAAAATAATAAAAAACATTTTACAACGATTGCCAACATTTTTAACATATATAATAAGATTTATTACCTGCAATTTAATAACTTTATTTGTAAGAAAAACAAAAAAAAATGAATAACTGCAACTTGTTGCTTTTCGATTGCTAAACATTTTGCGTAAATTTCAACAGCTTTTCAAATTTTCCAACACCATGCGGTTAGTCAATGGGTGAGGGGAAGAGATCGCCATCGTCTCCTCCCAGCTACTTGGGAGATGCGACTGCAACTTGGCAGTATTTGGTCATTTTAACATCTTTACCAACCAACGCCTTATGGCTTGAGCAAATATTGGTTGTGCCATTTTGGCCAGCACGCAAAGTGTGTAAAGCGGCTATTTGCCAAGAAAAACAAAAGCTTACAGTGTGGCCAGCTGTTGAAATAACGCAGCCCAGGCCTTTTATTCTTTGTATGCATATTTTTAAAAGAAACTACAAAAGAAATTGCATAACAAAGACGCTAGGAAATTGCCAAAAAAATAAAAGATAAAAAAAAAACACCTAAAATATATGCCCCAACATTAGCAAGAGTTTGGAAAAGGAAAGAAATATTTCAGTGGCTCAGTTCGTGGTACCACTTCCTCATGTTGGCCAACCAGCCGGCAAAGTCAGTTGGCCAATGCAATTGTTAATACTTATTAAATGAGCGTTTGGCTGTTGTTGCTGCTGCTGCTCAGCTGTGGCTATTCCGATTCGCTGCCAAGGTTAATTAAAATGCCAAACAGCTTCAACTGTTTGTATTTTATGCATGCTTTCTTACTCTCTCATTCTCCTGCTCGCTCTTTCTCTATTGTTTGCTCTCTTGCTCTGTCTCTCTCTCTCTCTCTCTCTGCTTTTGTGTAATCGCGTGTTTTATACATTTTTTAACTATTGTTTTATAAGCCAACAATTATTTCGGCACCCCTCAAAGAGTAAAAAAAAACTGAAACACACCAACGATTGTATAACTCTACACAGACTTATCAAATTTATCACGAAACATTAAAAGTCTATAAACATTATGTACAGGCGGAAAAAGAGAGGTACAAGTTTGCATGTATGCCGTCATACTCAGCGTATGCGTAATACGTGACTCTTCTGCTAGCTGCGTCACCTCGAATATAATTCTTATGCGGAATACTCAATGATATTTATGATATTTGACAGCTTGTGGTTTTCCAAAAATTTATTATGATAAACTTTTTAGAACTTGATTTGATTTTCGGTGTTAATAAAGAAAATATTTTTGCCGCAGAAAACGTGATTCAATTTTGAAGGAATCGTTCGAAAAATACCCGATTTTGAAATGCGTTACAGGTTAACTGCTAAATTAAGGCATCGACCTGAAGCTTGAAATTTTGAGAGCCACTTGTAAACTTCTACGAAATTCAACATTTTCATCTTTCTTACTTAAAGTGCAATTGGCTTGCTATTTAAACACACTTTTTACTTTAAATACGCATTCACATTTGAACTTGTTTTGGATGGATTTTGTGCCCCAAGCTTGTCGATTTTATAGACTCATGTCTTTCATTGTTTCAGTTTATTTTCAATAATCGTATTCTAATCAGCAGATTAAATTTGTTTTTACTCTCCCAACAAGTAGGTCTTATATAAGTTGAATAAGTTGATTATTCAGCATGACGACAGCAGGCAGTGTGTGCAAGAATCATCGGCTTGTTTAACTTGTTGATGCCACAAATTAAAATTCATTAGCCCAAATTGCAGTGGTTTGGGCCCACAAAATGTCGCTGCTGGCACCGACAACAACGCCACCTGCGCGGCAGAGCTATGCAAATTGGAAAAGCTGAAAAAAGGCTACTGAAGGGAATGAAAGGATGCAAAGGGCTGAGCTGCAGCAACTCAATTTCACACTGCCATGACTTGCCCTTGCGATTCTAATGGAATTTTTCTTGTTTGGTTTTCTCATTTTTTTTTTTCCTTCATCGGTGGTCTCTTTGGACAGCCGAAATTAATACGCAAATACGGGTATCCATCGGAGACGCACACCGTGGTTACCAAGGATGGATACATACTGGAAATGCATCGCATACCAAAGAAAGGAGCTCAGCCAGTGCTGCTAATGCACGGCATACTGGATACCTCAGCTACATGGGTGCTAATGGGTCCAAAGTCGGGATTGGGTGAGTGAAGAGTACTAAATATGGCATATCATTTTAAATATATTAATTCCAATTACTTTTGACAACAAATTCACTTTCAAAAGTGTGAATTTTATTTGATAGATATGTCATATGCTGTAATTTAAAGTAATTGGAAATATTAAATGCAAATAATAACGCAAATATTTTTCTTTTTAGGTTATATGCTTTCCGATCTGGGCTATGATGTGTGGATGGGTAATTCGCGTGGAAATCGCTATTCAAAAAATCACACGAGCCTCAACAGCGACTATCAGGAGTTCTGGGACTTTACGTTCCACGAGATGGGCAAATATGATTTACCCGCGAATATTGACTATATACTGAGCAAAACGGGCTACGAGCAGCTGCATTATATTGGCCACTCCCAGGGCACCGCCATCTTTTGGGTGTTGTGCTCCGAGCAGCCGGCCTATTCGCAGAAAATCACATCAATGCACGCATTAGCGCCCATTGCCTACATTCACGATATGAAAAGTCCGCTGTTTCGAACACTCGTTTTATTCCTGGATTTCCTAACGGTAAATGGTGAATATTTTGCATTCTCTTGATACGATTTAAATGGGTTTTTTGTTTTCGTTTTTCTGTTGGGGATTATTTTGCAGGCTGCAACGCGAATGCTGCGCATCACGGAATTCATGCCCAACACAAAATTCCTTGTGGACCACAGTCAGGTTGTATGCCACGACAATGCCATGACGCAGGATGTCTGCTCGAATATCCTGTTTCTGGTCGCAGGCTACAATTCCGAACAGCTGAACAAGGTAATGTGGCCAACACCTCCAGCTCCAGCACCTGTTTCAGGCATTTTCCGTGTTTTGCCCAACATTTTTGTGGACAACGATTTGAATTTTCCATTTTCACATTCGATTACCCATCGTTCCTGCTACAGTTGTCGATTTTTTTTTTTTTTCATTTCGTTCCGTTTTTGACTCAGGCGAATATCTTCATTAAGTTGGCACTTAATTAGGGTAACCATTGCGGTAGATGCAGTATGTTAGCCCATCGAACTGATAGAATGTGATGGAAAGGCCATTGAAGGGGTCAGTTTGTATCTAATTACAGTAACTATTTGAAATATTTAGTTCGTTAATCCGTCAAACAACCGGAAAACCGAAGAGAAGTCGGAAAAAACAAAACTGGCATCAAGAGGCTCCAGGTTGGAATTGAAAACCAAAAAGTGGGTTTCAGATTTGAAGAAACTAATTTACTTTCAAGCACGATCCAATTTATATCAGCCTTCATTTCTGTTTACAAATTGAAATTCCTAAACAGCTCGGTACAGAACAGTATTTTGTGACCAGAATACTTGATCACCTTACTTTTCTCTCCTCTGCATCTCTTTCTATTTGTCTGGTCTAGACCAACCAAGCGCTTCATTAACTAATCCAAATATGATAGTTACTTGTTGGCTACAAGTGACTGCAAATTGAACACCCGCAGATTTGAAATTATGACCCACAAATGGGTACAGTGGATGCTTAAATTACATGCACAACATGAACAGCAGGTGTATTGTGTGTGCTATAATGTTATTATCTACAATGCAATTGGGTGGCGTCACATCGCCTTGTTGTTTTAGGGTAGGAGGTGGGAATTTAACATAATTGACTGGCACAGGCAAACAGCAAAACGATGACTAGCCAAATAAGCGACAAGCTATGCAAATTATCTACATTTCAACCCTTTAACCACATGACCCTTTGACCATGGCATCTATGTATTTGCGGGGCGTTAGATGGGAGAGGCAGGTCAGCATTGTCAAGTATTCACGTAACATGGTTGGGCGATGAAATAAAAATTTTACTTAAATATAATCCTAAATGATGACTGTGGAAAATTTGGAACCATCCCTGTACATGAATTAAGCTCGAATATCTCCTAACTCATTAGAAAATTGTGTATTTTATTAAAGTTGATTTAATAATATTGTTATTATCTACCCTTTAGACAATGCTACCTGTAATGCTTAGCCATACTCCGTCTGGTGCCTCGATCAAGCAATTGGAGCACTTTGGTCAACTGATGAAGTCGGGACACTTCCGTAAATTCGATCGAGGATATTTGAGGAATCAACTGGAATACAATCGCATGACGCCGCCGGATTACGATCTATCACGTGTGAAGGTGCCGGTGGCATTGTATTACTCCGTGAATGATCTGCTCGTGTCGACGACGGGTGTGGATCGGCTGGCGAGGGAGCTGCCTAATGTGATAGATAAGTATCTGGTGCCGATGGAGCGCTTCAATCACTTAGACTTTCTGTGGGCCATCGATGTGAAGCCGCTGGTCTACAATCGTCTGGTACGGAATATACGACGCGTTGAGAACCACAGGGCCAAGTTGACAGCCAATTTGGCCAGTTTCCTGGCCATGCAGCTGCAGCGCCAGCAGTTCCAGAATCAAATACAAATGCAGACAACGCTCCAATCAGCTCTGCCGCCCAATGTTCACTTGCCTCATATGCTGGACGAGGAGTTACCTATACCAGCTGCCACAACAACACCAACAACAATGCCAGCGACAATAACAACAACAGCGTCGATAGAAGAAACGGCAACAACGATGGAAGATGTTGTTGATACCGCAACAACCACATCAGCATTGGACGTAGCGTGACTTATCTGACACCCAGCAGCGATGTGCAGCGGGCAAGGTTCTCTCTTGTGTAATTTCATTTGACTGTGATGACATTTTAACAAAATATATGCTCTGATCCCAGCGTCTGGCTGCAGATGCAACAACACCAACTCAGGCACGCCCAGCATCCATACAATACACACAATATTATCATTATATTCTTGACTCAGTGCACACACAAAACCCCTCCTCATCCAATAAGCCAGCCAAATCAACAACAAACATCTATTTACTAAGTATTCCCCTCTCCATGTTACCCACATTTCAAATGTTTTATGTTATTTATGTATGTGTACAAATTTATGTAACTCTTAATAATAAAGATATATTTAAGATGATTTTCCAAGCTTTTGATAGTAGCTAATTTTGCCGAACAATAGAAAAAATACATTTTTGCTGCAAATGAGAAAGGAACTAAAAATATATTTGCTATGCGTTGCACTATTTCGTCGTCTTTAGATTATAATAACCCACAATGCATTTCCAGAATGACTTTTTATGAAACCTTATGCCGAATAGCATGTGACAAATATCACAATTTATGTGTTGGCTAACAAAAAGAAACCGCCTGAAAGTAGGCAACAAAATTAATGCGAGTGTTTGGCGCATTTTAAAACACGTGCAGCAAGTCGCGTTTGGCAGCTGTTGCTGCGAATTGCAAACCGCAGACAATTCAATGACAAGGAGACAGCCCGACACTTAATTGCAACTTAAAACGCAACTCATTGCGACAAGCAGCGCGAAAAGTTTATCCATCGCAGCTGGGGGCGCCGCAGGCAGTCTCTGCAGCAATTCCTGCTGCTCTTCTTTTCTGTTCTGGATGCAATAGTTGCGCACTTCAAAAGACAAGTTTAAGCCGCATGGCAAATGAATTGCCATCATTTGTCGTCGTCCTCTGGGCGCCATTTGCGAGTCGCCAAAGAAATGCAGCAACAGGACGTGCACCCGCTCAGGATCCGACTGTTGCTATATTAAGTCGTATAAACGGTAAGCTAACTTATCTCGTGCACTGTTGCTAAATAAACAGGCAAGCAACGAGCATTGCTCACCTGCAATGGGACTCTCAACTCCATTCGTTTCATCATCATTCGCGGACTAGAATCTCTGACTGCAGCGAAATAAAAAGACATTGACACAGCCGCTCCCTTGATTGCTTTTTTGCGATAGTTTGCGTAGGTTTACAGCAATGCTGTGTGTTTGTTTGCCACGAATTGCTTCCTTACGACACCGAAATGAAAAAAGTTCCGCAATCAACAAAAATAGCATATATTTCATTTTAGGACATTTAAACTTAGTAAAGGACCCACTTTTACGCAAATAAAAATATTGCAAATGTACATTTAGCATATATATATTTACAGCTTAGCTTAACTTTAATTCTGTAAAATCCCTGATGAGTTTTAAAGTAAGGAAGAGAAAATAATTGGGCACAATTAAAAATGCCCCAATTTCAGGAAAAGTTTCTGTTTTTATAGCCATACTCCAACCCAAAGATATCGTATGAATGATAAATTCAAAGCATTATATTATTTATAATCTGTTCGTTATTGTTTAAGAATTAGTTGGCCGTACTAGCTTAAGTTTAAGCTAGATCGCCAACTGTTGACTAATGCAACCATAGAAGGATAGCAAGTGACAAACTGCCACAAACACAAGTTTAATAAGTGTGTGTTCAGTTGGCAGAGTTGCCAAGCGTTGAATGCAGCCCACATGTTTGCACATTAGCTCTAACTAACTTTTGCAGTCATCTCACTCTCCCCATTTGTTCTTCTTCTCTTTTGCTTTTCGGCTATGCCTTTCTTCCCTCTTTTGTTGCTGAATTTTGCCCACATTTTGTGTGTACATTATATGCTCTACACAAGTGGCACAAGTGACATCGATTTGTCACTGCCACGCCCACGACGCCATCTTGCGACGCCATCCCCGTCTTTCTCTATCTCTCTATCTGCTCCTCCGAGCGCTTGCCAGTCTGTGTAAACAAGACATTAACTACAACAAAATAATTAAAGTCAATTAGAGCTCCTTGTCGTGCCATATTGGAAGTCCTTGGCCTGGCTTTCAGTACTCGTTGACTTAATTTGGCTTATAATGCTATTGTGCAACCTCTGATGCTGTATTTGCTGCTGGCTTAGCTGCAGTTGCACAAGTGCATTTAGCTCAGGTACGGATACATTTGCAACAACAGCGTTGCACATCATAATTTACATGCACTTAATCACATTACATTTCGTTGCGAGTGACTTTCGAATGTTAAACTTGAAAGATTAAATGCAAAGCCCATAAATATTAAGCCACTTACATTTTTCGAACAACATTCCTATTGGCACAGCTTTTTAATCACAGATTAATTTATTTACATGATCTTCGCATCCCTATCAACAATTTAATTTTGTGCATTATGTTAATTTGTGTTAATAATTTAATTACTAATAAACTCGTTAAAAAAGTGTATTTTTAATACAATTATATTCCCCTTAAATGCATTTGCTTTTATTTGTATTTGCAATGCAACAAAAAGCTTTACAAGTAGCAGCTGAATTGTATTTTTAGGAACAGTTGCAAGTTTCAAGTTGTGGTTGTTGCAAATTTGTTGCACGAGTATCGAAAGTGCCTTTCAATGACAAAAGGACAATGCTTCAGAGGCAGCTAATTGGTTTTCAATAACCTCCACTGATGCAGAAAAACAAATGTTGTTGAAGTGTTCTTTCGGTAAACACATAATTTCAGAGCTTATATACACTGAAATGACTTGCGATGGGAGGGAGTGGCAAAAGTGGCAACGTTCTTGAAATATTGCTTTTTATTCGAAAAAATCTTGGTTAAAACCTTTTTAAGTTGAGGGTAATACCCGATATTATTACTTTACGGGTTTTTAAAACTCAACCTCGATTTTTCCCTACAGATGTATCACAGTCGAGCATTTGTGTAGCATGTTCTTTCTGTTTAAAGTTTGCCTTAGCCACTCATATGTTTCAGTCCTTAGCTGTTGCAGCTATTTACATACCGAACTTTTAATGAATTCCACTCAAAAAAGGTGCAAGTTAGTTGCAAAAGTTAAATTGCAAAATCTAAACCAAAATATGTTCTCAGCTTTCTGTGATTCTCTTAATCTCTTAAATAATAACAGTTTCAATTATGTGAACCACACATTACACAGAACGAGAGTGTTGGAGGCACTGAATGCAAACTCTAAATTAAACAATAATATGCATACATCGGATTACACAAGATTGCCAAACATCGTTATGGGTGATTGCTTGAATTGTTTTCATTTAAATAGAAAGGAGATTATTCATCCAGTAAAGAAAATGTTATTGCTAAAATCATAGAAAACATTTACATTTATGCAATGAAATATTTTACCACTTCAAAATCCATTTGAGTTTTGTCTTTTTTTTATATTTGTTTAAATTGTTTCAGTTTCAACAGTTTGTAAAACTTTTGGGTGCAATATTTTGGAATTTAAAATAACTTTTGATTGTCAATTCATGATTAAAAGATATTTTATCTAAATGGCATTTTTTCAACATCTTTAACAGAAAAGTTTTCAACTTTATTTAAGTACAATAATTAGCTGATATCTGGCCACAAAACTCACCAAAAGCAGTTGCCATTAAAACTTGAATAACAACGTAAATAATATTGAGCAGCAAAGTACACAACTATTTTTTGTTGTCAACTCAGCAGAAAATGTTTGACCATTGCCACAGCTAATAATATTAGCCAAAACCAGCAGAAACAAAAGCAAAGGGAATTGCTATAATAATCATAAGAGTAATAACAGCTACGAACTATCGAACGACATTTGTGGTTGACTTTTTCTGTTGAGGTCAGCGCAAAATTTGCAGCTAGAAAAACCAAAATAAAATAAGCCAGGAAATCTTCTTGGCGAGTGTGTGTGGATAAGTGTGAGTGTGTGTCAGTGGGCGTGGCCAGAGTACATTATGCGATATGATTAATACACAAAGAGGAGTTGAACTTTCTGCTGGGGCTCGTTGATTTTTACGAGGCTGGCGATAAGGACTAACGAGCAAAGTTGGAAGAAAATTGGGCGCGTAATCGCCCCTAATGAAGAGTTCTGTAAGAGCGTGCAACAATGGCAACATCACTCAGGTGGCTGACAGTGTAAATACAGTCAACACCTTTCAGCCAACGACAAAAACTTCAATAACATCATTAAAATGCACTGACAAAGGGGCCCTGCAGGGGGGAAAAGACCAAGAGCGCTCACTTAAATTGAGCACCCAGTAGTAGCTGGCAGGACACTTACCACTTGGCTGTCAGCCAACATAAATATGACTTATAAAATGTCCAAGAGGACTTTGGCAAGCAAATTAGTTTGTCAAAACTGAAGGAGCTGTTCGAAACCAGCAGCAGCAGCAGCAAAAGCGGAGTCCAGAAAGGACTACCTTTAGAATTTGTAAATTTTGCGCGTTTTTTGAGATATTTATGCAAAACTTGGCATTGTTGATAGAAAGGACTTTCAGTTGGGCGCCTTCAAGTGTAAACAAAATATTAATCATACGCAACGTGCCACGCCAGCCGCACTCAGTCCAAGCTCATTATGAGCGCTGCAAGTGAGAATTGACAAGTGAAAAATGGAAAGTGGAGAAGCATTTAAGTAGCAGCCAAATCAGTGAAAACATTTCCAATTTACCCAAGCAAAATGTAATTTAAATACAAATTTTGAGACCGAGTGCCCTTAGGCGCCACTTTTTGCGATCATCATCAATTGGCTTTTTGAAGTGGTCGACATTTTGGGTGGAGGTAAGCAATTTCGATTGCGAGGGGCTCCAACTGTCAACTACTCAGGCATTCACTCACTTTTGGCCTTAGTTTTATGGCTTGGAAATTCATTAGGCCAATATTGAGCCAAAGCACTTCGTATGCAAATTTGTTTTTAGCTCAAAATGTAATTTTCAATATGCGAACTCTCTCCTCAAGCCCCCTGCACCGTAGTCTCATGCTTTGAACCGACGCCCAACCCAACATCTGGGCTGGTGAGTGGGCGTGGCACTTTATTGCTTAACGATTATCGTCGCTTCATTGGCATTAGCTACAAATTACTTTCAATGGAAATGGAAATGGTATCCGAATTGGAAATGGAAATGCAAGTTCTGACAAACTGAAATCTAATATAAATAAACAAACATGGGATGAAAGCAAGTGTCACATTGGAGACATAAGTATACCAAGGAAAGCATTTATTAAACTTCATTCGCATTTTGCAAAATACTTCAATTAAATTGAATTGTCATTTTAATGTTTATGTATTTACGTGTGAGTCAGAGAACACGTAAAAAGATTTAATTATAAAAATATTCTCGACATTAATCGCGCAGTCAAGGAAAAATGCACTTATGAGTTGACACTTACGGAAATAATTTCCTCACATTTATTGCACAACTAAAAAACATTTGTGTATTTATTTAGTGTCTATAATTAATTTCTAAATGTCATTTGACTTAATACCTTTTTTTTAAGTTAGTGTAAACTTAAATTACTTAAGCACAATTGTTTTTTTTTTAATTCTGCTTGGTAATAAGTTGTCTACAGTTTCATTGCAATATATATATATATATATATATATTAGTTTTGTTTTCAATATTTTTTTCTATACTGACACTTATTTATGATAAAACAGTCAATGTTATTTCATAATGCTTGATAAAAGTATTTCAAGTGCCGGCGATCGAATGGCAATCAATAAGAGCAAATCACAGTCAGCAAAACGGTAAATAATGTCAAGTAATGAGTAACGAGAGAAATATTGGCATTAAAAGCCGGTTTTCAAGATGCTTGTAATCAATAGCAGGTTGAAAGTGAAATTTACTGACCGGGAAGCGCTATTAAAAACAATTTTTTTTTTTGTCGGACTATCAAACTGGGCCAAGTGTGCAAAAAACAAAAATAAAAACAAATTAAACAACAACAGCAACTAATCATATTAAAAAAGATTGTAATTCATTCAAGTTCAGCTGCAGGCCCAGTGCCAAGAAAACAGTTGGCAACGCGAGCGCAGCCAAGTTACCAGAAAAAAAACCCAAAGCCACAGCCAGACTGAGAAAGAAACCCAAAGCCAGAGCCACACTGAGACTGCGACTCAGAGTCAGAGTCAGAGTCAGAGTCAGGCCCCAAGCTGGAGACTAACCGTTTCACAGTGTGTGTTCGCTGTGAGTTGGTTTGGCGATTTATAAGCTCGAGTTGAGGCTACAAGCGGTTTAGTTCCTCGCCGTAAACATAACTAGTCACAACAGTGCGGCCCAGAGCGGAAGCAGCCAATCAGTCGATCAGCAAGCAGTTAACAAGTTGATCAGTTAACCAGTTAACCAGTTGAGAGCGAACCGGAGCTCTTTAACAGGAGCAAGTTTTCTCAACAAAACGAACGAAAAGGCCAATGCGGGCAAAGTGAACGTGCGACTTGTTTGGCGGTCTTTCATTTTTTATTAATAACATTCTTCTTGTTGTTGGTATTATAACATTAAACAACAACAACAAATTCATTGTCAACGCTGCCCTCGCATTCCAAGCCAAAATGACGCGCATGCCAATGAACGCAGTCACAGCGACGCCTCTGCTCCTAATGCTGCTGCTGACGACGATGCCGACGCAAATCTTTGGCAGAGCTGCCGGAATAACGAGTGTCACAGAGACAACTCCATCGGATGAGGAGACAACATATGCAGGCGATTTAGAAACAAATACAGTTACCATCGAAGTGGACTCGGAGGTTATTCTAACCACCGAGGAGGGCATACAGATGTTCACCCACATGCCGGAGAATGGACAAGCAACCACGGAGGAACCATTGCCGGAATCGGTGAGACAGCAGTTGGAGCAGGAGCGGGCCGAGCAGGAACTGCGCAATCCAACTACAGAAACGACAACAACACCACTTTCAAATATTGCAGAAAAATTGGTAGCAAGCAATTTGACCACAACAACAACAGAACAAACATCAGCAGCAAACACAGAGCGATCAGCAGAATTGGCACAATATCGCGACTATCTGCAGATGCAGGAAGATTTACTTATGGAAACGGAGAAACTTGCTGCCTACATAGAAACAGCAACAATTTTGCCAGATATAGCAAAGCCCATCAACAATCTGGAAGCCCATTTCAACACAGAAGACACAGCTATGATTGCCGAGTCAGCCAAATCGATCGATGGTGATGATGAAACCACCCAGACAGAATCTCAGCAACTGGATTCCAGCACCAACGAACCGATTCTGTTTGAATCGTTCTCAACGGCAACCGATTCAAACCTCCTGATGGAAACCACAATGATGCCAAACAATGATACGAACGATTTTAAGACATCTCCTGTAACCGAGTCAGACTCAGAGCTTGTCACAAACAGACCCACTGAAAGCGACTACGACCCCATTCAAAAGTCACTGTTGCATTTCCTTGGCGTGATGAGTTCGAATGCGGTTGCCGAAATGCCCAAAATGGAGCCAGAAGCTCAATTTAGCAACAACGAAGAGGCCAAGCTAGAGTTTACAACTGACAGTGCTCTACCAGAAAGTAGCACTACAGAGGCAATGCCTGAAACAACAGTATACATCGCACCACCAGAGAGTAGCACCATCCATATTACTGAAACGGTGCCTGAAACAACAATTGCCCCACCCAGAGAACAGTCCATGTTGGCAACCATTTTGCTGACAACTGCAAGAGCTTCTGAAACCATGACGACACCATCAACCATCAGCAGTAGCACCACCACAGAGTCAGTTCTGATTCCAACAACTAGTACCACTACTTCAGAGTCAGTTCCGATTCCAACCATCAGTAGCACCATTTCAGAATCAGGTCCAATACCAGCCACCAGTAGCGCTACTACAGAATCAGTTCTGATTTCAACCACCAGTAGCACCACTACAGAGTCAGTTCCAATACCAACCACCAGTAGCACCACTACAGAGTCAGTTCTGATTCCAACCGTCAGCAGCACCACTACAGAGGTAGTTCCGATTGCAACTGCCAGTTGGACTACTACGGAGTCAGTTCCGATTCCAACCATCAGCAGCATTACTACAGAGTTAGTTCCGATTCCAATCACCAGTAGCATCACATTAGAGTCAGTTGCAATACCAACCACCAGTAGCACAACTACAGAATCAGTTCCGATTCCAACAACCAGTAGCACAACTACAGAATCAGTTCCGATTCCAACCACCAGTAGCACCACTACAGAGTCAGTTTTGATTCCAACTGCCAGTAGCACCACTACAGAGTCAGTTTTGATTCCAACTACCAGTTGGACCACCACAGAGTCAACTCCGATTCCCACCACCGAAGTGAGACCACAGCCAACGCGTGCCCCACGCATCGAGCGCATCTTAAATACGGATGGTGTTGAGGTGCTCTATGGTTACTCATCGGTGGTGCGCACGAATCGATCTTAAAGTCGCACCACACGCAAATTACCAAATATAACCTTGTCAAGGTCAACTTGCCATACAACGCAACATTGTCGTGGATTTTCCAAATTCTAAACGAGTTAAATATTAAAATATGTATATTGTGATAAACGAAAAGAAGAGAGAAAAAAAAAAAAAGCGGACACACAAAATGATACACAAATCATCTTGCACGAATTATTGTGTTGCTATAGAAACGATTTTATAAATTATAAATAAAGCTTGTATTACAATAATCCATGTCGCGTATGGCTTACAGTTTGCATAAACAGAAAAAAGAGAAAAAGATATATGTATATATATATATATTCATATATAGTAAATGCATAGACACGTGAAGTATTTGTTGTTGATCCACAAATGGGCTCGGCGTTGCGTTTGCATTGCTGTTTGTAAATATGAAATGGCATAATATCGGAGAGAGAATCGGTTAACGTGGAAGATTAAATACGCTACGCTGTTTAGCTTTTAAAGTTAAGATTCAATGGCTGAGAGAAGTTAACCAAATATGTTAATCTATTCCGCTTAGAGGAGTGGCAACCAGTCCGAACCACTTAAGATTTATGAGTATCATTCGAATGCCACTTGAGGTCATACTAATACTAATCTAAAGAATTAACATTTACTTATAATTTCCTAGAGCTATTCAGCGCGAACTCTCTCAAAACTTAGAGCACTCAATATAAAAATCTCAAAATGAACAAGTAAGAGTTCAAATATTATATGAAACTTACATTACATATAGATATCGGTCCCGGAAAGTATTATACTCTCATTTGGTTTTAGAATGTCTTTAAGGTAATTTGGTATTAATATTTTTGTGAATATTTTAAGTGAATCATAAATACCCAGTTGATTTTTTTAATATTAAAGGGTACTTAAAAAATGTTCAGCGAAACAACTTCAGGAATCGCTCTGCGTCAACCCACCAGCGAAAAATGTATACTGCCCACCTGTGTTGAAAACCGGCATTAGCTAAAGTAATCGGCATACATTTTTTGGCTTATATGTTCCGGCATTAACAGACGCAAGCTCAGACACAGACGCAGATTCCGATAGAGACTCGGTTGCAGACACGTGGATGGTGACTGGTCTATGAAATTGAAGCTACCGATCTGGTTTGGCAACAACCGACTGACTGCGGTTTATTCATTCATCGATGTCGATGTAATAAATATATAATACATAATCACTGATATATATATATAGGGTTTTGTGTTTAACAATGATTATCACGTTGCGATTCGAAAGAGTGAGCAATAAAATAAACATAACGCTCTTATTTCCATTTGAACTTGGGACAGGCGCTAAAATGCATATTGAATACGGGCTGTATGGAAGCAGAAGAAGAAGAATGTGTGATTGAAGGTTTTCTACCGATGCGGGTTTTTTTTTATTTTCCTATGCGCTGACTAAGTGAACAGTTTGCTAACTTATATGCCGCTTTGCTATTTATCATGTGTAAACGTGTTAAGATATTGTCAGATCATTTGTATTCCGAAAGAGATAAAGATAAGCATTAAATATTTGCCTCAAAGCTTTCAAAAACTTTTGTAGCTTTCGCAAATTTTCAACAATTTCAGCTACACCCAAAAGAGCGCTTCAAAATACTTAACTAATCCAGAAGCTTGAGCTTTTTGAAGCACGACTTGCAGTTGGAAGGCCAGTTTATAATTAAGGTAAGTTTACACACGTTGGCAATGTTGCCATATAATTTATTTAGTTAATGCCAAGCTGCGAATTGTATGTTAAATTTATACTGGCAATGGTCTGGCAATAGGTCTTTGCACACACTGGCATTGCATGCATCTATGCAAATAATAATAAATTTATTATTTGTATTTGAATACATATATGTATATACATTTAATTCATAACAAATTATTGCATTGATTGAAATATGGCGATGAATTGCAATCACTGTGGGAGCGAAACGTGACTGGCAATAAAAATGTCGAATATTCGATCATATGCCAGCATGTGTGAATGCATCCTTATAATCATAGTGCTTTAAGTCGATCGACCATTGGAACTTTAATAATACTCAAAAATATGAAAGAATAAACTTATATTCAACTATACTATTTTAGAAGTTTGAATGGAAAATGTGTCGGAAACCAAAAGAATCTCGAAATTTGTATTTAATATTTGACAAACTTTGTGTTTTTATATATGAACGAAAACTAAATTGAATAAATAAATTATTAAGACGATCATATTAATATTCTTTACCAGAAGGGTAAAGCCTCTCTTAAGATACAGTTGCTGAAGATAACTCTTTTTATGAAATCTTTTCTTATATAGACTGAATATTAATGATTGAATACCTTCCTATTTCCTATTTTTACCTTTTCAGAAAAATAAAATCAATATGATTTGCATACGATTTATATAAAAGCATATGTTACATTGCAATATCCTTGCAGAAAGTAGAGCATAGAGTAGTAGTAGTAGAGCATTCTTAATTGCGAACAGAATTTCGATATGTTTTTGTTTTCTATAGTATTCTCTTAAAAATATTCGACAAGCAAAGCTTGTCAAACATGAGCGCTAATCAAATTTATTTCGGGTTTTTATCGAGTCTGACGTGCTTGAAGATTATAGACATAAACAATAGTCAAAATATTGTGAGGTAGCCAAAAACAAATTTAATTTTTCTTCACAACCTGTTCTTTTTTTAATTTGTGGCTTAGATTTGCTTAACAAATTTGCATAATTAATGGGAATATAGCATTAATTAGCAATAGGCCCCATTAATATCAAAATAAATATTTAGATTTAGCTCACATCTTAATAACAAACATCAGCAGATTTCTTTAAGAACAAGATATGACAAAGCTTCAGTCATGTATTTAACATCTTAAAATATATCTAATGTCAAAACTGTTGAAAAACAAAAAGTCAATACAAAATATAATACAAAATGAAAGCATTCAACTAATTAGGGCGAATTAAATGTATATTTTAGTATTTGATCATATTAAGTCACACGTGTAGAAGCCCTGCTTTACATATTAATATTGAAACTTGTTTTACGAGCAGCTGAAGCGCCTGTATTTTTAATTAAACGATAGAAATAATTATATTGTTTTTCGATATTATATATTCCTATTCGTATCCTTATTATGTCAGAATAGAACCAAATATAGTTTCTGACATTTTATACATTCAATAGAACAATTAGATCATTAATTTATAAATAATAAGATAAACAATATAATAATAAATTCAAATGCGATGCTATATATTTTACAGGCAGTTTTTTCCTATATTTTTTATATATTTTTATATTTGGTAAAATGTTTACTTATTTGTTTATTGAACTAAAAATAAAATAACCTTTTAGTAAACACTTACTCAGACCTATTTCTCCAAACTTTGAATATTCCTAGCAGCTAAGTGAATTTCCAATTAAATTTGGCAGATTCAACAGCAGTAGTGTATATATGTGAAAACTCACATCCCGCTGCTAATCAACGTTTGTTTAACAGTAGTAGAGAAAAAACAATTCTAAACAAAAATAATTGAAGCCTAAAAAATACCCTATAAATATGCGGAATACACATTTATTGCGAGTTTCCTTTCTTTCAATTCTTTTATTTGATCTACAAATAGTATACATATTAAATCACTCAAGAGAATTTTTCGGAAATCGAGTCTTTTATTTTCCAGCCTTAGCAGATGCGGATGCATTCGATGTGGCACTAGCTAAACCACCACCACGTGACGAGGAATTGGCGCTGGATGAAGCATTGGCGTTGGCACGGCCACCATTTGAATTCGCAGTGGCTGCAGAATTGGCATTGGCACTGGAACTGCCACCACCACTGCCAAGGTGATTTCCGCCGCGGTAGCCACCATTACCAGTGAAAACGCCACCGAAACCGCCGGGTCGACCGAAACCGTTGCCACCGGGACGACCGCCACCGAAATCATTGTTCCTATTGCCTCCATGAGATTGGGCATCGGCACCAGCATTGGCATTTGCACTGCCACCACCGCCAAATTGTGGTGCTGCCACAGCGACAGCCAAGAAAATGCTGAGTAGGACGATAACTTTCATGACTACTGCCCCTGACTGTCCGAACTGTGTAAAATCAGCTTACAAACTTATTAATGTTTAAAAAAGATCTCTCATTTTATATGATTCAATGACGGCCTGAAAACAGCCAGACAGTAAAAAGTCAAACGAGCGATGACGACATCAATTAACATATAAATGATCATATATATAGACATAGACGAAAATCATAAGCGGAGACAAAACAGTAAAGCCGCTGCATTATAAGCAATAGTGATTGCACATTAAAACCTACAAAAATACCCTCTATTGGGAAAAACATTAGACTATATCGATTTTTATTATATTTTTAATCCAAAAGTAATATACAAACTCAATCACTCAAGAAAATCATTCGGAAATCGTTGCACTTATTTTCCAGCCTTAGCAGATGCGGATGCATTGGATGTGGCACTAGCTATGCCACCACCACGTGATGCGGAGCTGGCGTTGGATGAAGCCTTGGCGTTGGCACCGCCGAAACCACCACCACTAGCATTGGCAGTGGCTGCAGAGTTGGCACTAGCATTACCACCACCACCACGACCACCACCACCATTTGCTACGGCACTGGAACTAGCATCGGCACTGGCACTGCCGCCACCGCCACCGCCAAATCCACCATTGTTGCCTCGGAAATTACCACCGGGTCTGCCTCCGATACCTCCTCTGCCTCCTCCAAGCTGACCCTGAGCTTCGGCATTGGCACCAGCATTCGCATTAGCATTGCCACCACCGCCAAACTGTGGTGCTGCCACAGCTACAGCCAACAAAATGCTCAGTATAACAAAGACTTTCATGACTTCTGCTTCTGCTTGTCCGAACTGTGTGAACTCAACTAACAAACTTATTGATATGAGCAAAAGATCTCGTCTTTTATAGAAATAATCGATGTCTGAAGTTAGCCGGACAGCAAAATGTCAAACGACATCAATTAGCATATAGATATCTATAACGATATGTATATGTATGTATAGACGAAAATCAGAAAGGCAGCCTAAACAGTTCATCCACTAAAATATTATAACATTAATGGCCCGATTAATAGCACAGGCTAATCAAATGGCTTTGTAGTGGTACTAAGGAAAGTAGGTAAGTCACACGATTTAGACCAAGCTGAATTTCTCCTAAACCGGTTGAAGGCTATATACATATTTATACTTCGCCGATACTCTCGCTCTAATCTCTACTCGTATTATTGTTTGTTCTGTAATTGACGTCTTTCTGTGCATTAAGCTGGTACTTCACTTAGGGTATTTTTATTTATTTATTTCTGCATAATAGAAGTTCAAAGAATTCTACCAAGGTGATCAAATATTTATGTATGTGCATATGCGTTTTGATCATAATTCTCTATACTATATACAATAATGTTATAAAGTGATTAGCGTTTTTTTATTTGCTTAGTAAATTAGCCGTATCACCGGTTTTTCCTGTAATTTGGTCACTACAGGAAACCCATCAAAACCAATAAAAAATTAATAATTTTATGTTCATTTGCGAAACCAAAGCTCTTCCGTAATTTTTCACAAAAATATATTCAAATTTGTAACTTGATCCATAAATTGGAAATGTCTAAAACGTTTATATTTTATTATTTGTGTATTGGTATACGTGGTGTGAGTTATGTCACATCTGATCGAATGAACAGCTCATTCCTCAATAGTTATCGAAAATTTGTTTTCGAGTACTCGGCAAATGAATTTTTAATTAAATAAAGTGAAAATCGAGCTTGTGACCTCGAGTCCTAAGAGATGGATTGGATGTTTAAGTAAATTTATATAATTACAAGAGAGAACACTGCAGTCGGACGTTACCGACTGCGAAATACTCTCTGATATTTATACCATCTGATAACTGGAGCTACAGAACAAGGTGAGCGTAGCCAAGAAATACTTATCTTGGAAGGAGGTTCCTAGTAATCTATCCAACAAGCTTGGCCTCAAAGTTATAGCAGACATGGGCTTTTGTGATTTTGGGGGCGAGAGTGGGTGTGGCTTAAAAAATGTTGGAAAAGTTTCCCAGTAATCTTCCTTCCAAGTTTGATAACTGTAGCTCTTAAAGAGCCAGTAAATGTTCAACGTTTCAAGTCTCTATCTAAATTGAATCGCATATTAATATTATTATAATATAGTAACGACAATTACACAAAGTGGTTTGGTTCGAGGTCTAATGGAAAAAAAACTCGTTACCAATTAAATAATTATTATAATCGTTTTATATTCCATTATTAATATTTTATTCTCAAGTGTGTGTTATGAAACCATTTGTATATATTTTGCAATTGTTATTAAATTTAAGGCATAAAAACGGCATTTGAAAACAAAATCAACATTTTTTTTATTGTGACCATATTATATATTATTGCTAATTTAAAATGAATTATGAATGAATATAATCGCGTTTCCATCCATTTCAAATCTGTTTATTTAAATTGTATTCTAGAAGACCCAAAACTTTTCATTTAATAATAAAATAAACTCTTCTTCATTTCACTTATATTTGCATCTTTTATTTTTATTCACATTCGTTTTATTTTCAGTTATTTCACAATCTTAAGTTTCATCTTGGCAGGCTTAGCCGGAAAAATGGGCATTCGCGTTTGAGTTAGCGTTGGCGTTAGCACCACCACCACCACGTCGACCACCACCGCTGGCAGTGGCGCTGGATGACGCGCTAGCACTCGCTGAGCCGCCACCACCACCACCGCCGAAACCGCCGCCGGGACCACCGCCGAATCCGCCGCCGGGTCTACCACCGAATCCGCCACCATGTCCGCCGCCGGGACCACCGCCGAATCCGCCGCCGGGACCACCGCCGAATCCACCGCCGGGTCTACCACCGAATCCGCCACCATGTCCACCGCCGAATCCGCCTCCGGGTCCACCGCCAAATCCGCCGCCGGGTCGGCCACCGAATCCACCACCCTGAGCTTGTGCGTTGGCATTGGCGTTGGCGTTAGCGCTGCCACCACCGTGGCCAAATTGAGGAAGGGCCGAGGCCACAGCCACCAGCACGGATAGAGCAATAAACAGTTTCATCGCGAGGCTTCAAGTTGGCTTCACAAACTTAACTGAGCGATCGACACGCAGCGGCATTTATATAGCTCACCGCCGGCATGCTCAGACACTCTCCAACCCCGTCTATCACCAGGCAACAGATAGAGACAGAAGAGGACAGCGCGATAAAAAGAGAGATCACGAGCGCAGTTTTGAGATTTGAAAGCTTATTAGTTCTGTGCAACTTTTGAGATTTGATTCTATATTCACCACAAACAACAACTTGAAACATTAAATGATCGTCACAACGAATTAGTAATGACAATTAGTTGGCCCATAAATATACCCTACTCCCCTCTGGTCAGGCACAATAACCGGTTAGTTATCAGCATTTGCGTTAATCTATCGCTTCTTTATTATTTTCATCCTGATCATCATCAATTTCATAAGTTAAACATGCCCACAGCTCCCTGTTCTTCTTCGGCATTATAAGCAAAACGAAACTAAGTATTTTAACCTGTGTATGCACGTAACTCGGCTTTATATCAAGTGTTCAATTATCAAATAAAAAACACGCAATATAAACAGTATGTTATTATAGGATAGCCTCACACAAGGTGTGTATACAGAGAATGACAGCAAATATTATTTTCCTTTTGATGTTCATATGTACTAGCTCACGTAACTGGTTTACTGAACCATAAAGCGCAGATCTGTCATGCATAAAGTTTTTTATTTTCAATATGCATCCAATTACAAACTATAGATCTTCCTAATTAAACCTTTAAGAATTATAATACGTATACTTACTAAATTTGCCGATTTACAAATCAAACCTACGAATATACTTTTTAGGTCGCTCGAAAATTATGTTTAGTAAATGCTCCAAAAAATATACAACACTTAATTCTGTGATACTGGTTGGTTTTTTTTTTTAATAAAATAAAAAAGAAAACAAGTTGAAAGAACAAAAGAAAAATTATGCACTATATCTAAAAATATTTTTTTACTTATTTTTAATTTATGTAAAAAAAACTACTATTGTGATGCAGAATGCGTTTCTAATAGTAAACAAATGGTAGAATAAATCGCAGATACGGCAAATTATTATAGAATTCTTAGGTTTCCCAATACACAAATAAAGAAATAAAAATACCCTAAGTGAAGTACCAGCTTAATAGACAGAAAGACGTCAATTACCGAACAAATAAATTACAAACAAACAATAATAAGAGTATAGATTAGAGCGAGAGTATTAGCGAAGTATTAATATGTATGTAGCCTTTAACCAGTTTAAGAGAAATTCAGCTTGGGTCTAAATCTTATGATTTACACACTTTCCTTAGTCCCACCAGAATGTCAATTGAATTGAATCAATTGCCTGTGCCATTAATCGGGCCCCTAATTTTATCATAATGTAGTTGCTCAACTACTTTGGCGTATATATACAAATATATATATATATATATATATATATATATATATATATATATATATATATATATATACATATGGTTATTGATGTTTTCGTCGCCCGTTTGACTTGTTATTGTCTGGCTGACTTCATTTTATCTTCGTTAAGTCTTATAAAAATCAAATTAAATACACGCAGATCATTCCTAAATAGTTATCAAACCAACTTTTTTGATTAATTCTATTTAAATCGTGAATCTTGTGCTAAGTCCTAAGCGATAAAATGAATGAATAAAATAAAAAGAGAAAATCAAAATAATTTCAAATTTCATTGAAACCACAGATATTTGGAGATTCCATGATATTGAAATATTTCAAATACATCTTTGCAAGCTTAATCAAACCGATCAGCATCGTTGGTACTGTTGGTCAACTGCCGAATCCGACGTGTATATCGCCGAATCCGCAGCTGGGCTACCACCGAAACTTGGTCGGCCACCGTGTCCAAAGCCGAATCCGGGACTGTAACTACCTGCGTAACAAGGACCCTGTGGCCCCAAGCCATGTTCGGCTCTTTTGTATGGTAAGGGCCGAGACCTTTGGCTAATGTGTTGAAGTTGCCACCACCAAATTAACAAAGGCCCGAGGCCACAGCCCCCAGCACCGGCAGAGCAGAAGTCAGTCTCATCGCGAAGCTTCAAGTTAGCTTCGCGACACACATTGACTTTTATAGAGTTCTGAAATAAAAAAGAAAGATCATGAACACAGTATGGGGATGTACCCAACTAAAAACTAACAAATAACTTTAAGATCTTATTAATTGTATGCAATATCACAGATTTGATTCGTCAGTAACCACAACCTGAAACACTAGATAATCGTCACAGCGAATTAACAATGTTAAATAAATATACCCCAGTCCACTGATGAGGGTATTTTGGAATGAATATAATCGCGTTTCCACTAAGTCAATATACATTGTTACACGGAGAATTTTTCATATAAAAATAATATAAACTCTTCTTCAAATAACTGTTACTTGGACTTTTTTTATTCACATTCGTTGTATTTTCAATTGTTTCAAAAGCTTGAATTTCTTCTTGGCAGGCTTAACCAAAATGACCACCGCCGCCGCCACTGGCGCTAGCTGACGAGCTAGCTGAGGCTGACCCGCCACCACCACCGCCACCGCCACGGAATCCACCGTAAGGTCGGCCACCAAATCCGCCGCCGTGGCCGCCTAGTCCGCCGCCGTAGCCGCCCAATCCACCGCCGTGTCCACCAAATCCGCCGCCGTGTCCGCCAAGTCCGCCGCCGTATCCGCCCAATCCTCCGCCTCCAAATCCACCATGTCCACCATGGCCAAATCCTGGGCCGCCACCTATTCCACCGCCGAACCCGGGACGGTATCCACCTCCTAATCCGCCGCCATGGCCGCCGCCGTATGCGTTGGCGTTGGCATTGGCGTTGGCGTTAGCGCTGCCACCACCGTGGCCAAATTGAGGAAGGGCTGAGGCCGCAGCCACCAGCACGGATAGAGCAATAAACAGTTTCATCGCGAAGCTTCAAGTTGGCTTCACAAACTTGACTAAGTGATCGACACGCAGCGTCTTTTATACATCTCCGAGTCGGGATGCTAAGGTATAGAAAAAATTGAAAGATCATGAACGCAGTATGGGGATGTACATAACAAAAAACTCACAAAGAATTTGAGAGCTTATTAGTTCTACTTCAACTTCAGATATTCGATTCATTATTCGACAGTAAGATCAGATTGAAATACTAAATGATTATCAGAACGAATTGGTAATAGCACATTAATATACCCTACTCTCGGCTGATCAGACATAATAACCAGTTAGTTATAATCTTTGTATTAATCTATCGCCTCATTATCATTTTCATCCTCATCCACCCTGCTCTCCCTGTTGTTCTTGAGCCTCTTTTGCTGAAGCCGCTTACCTAGCTTAAAAAACAAAACAAATAATAATCTGACTCACTTAATTCGGCCTCATATCAAGTTTTTAATTATCAGATGTTTTGAAAATATACACGTAATCAGAGGATAACCTCTCACAGCAGCTTAAAATGTATAAATAAATGCTAAATAATAAAAAAGTCTTAAAATATTGACTACAATATAGGATAAGTTATTAAGTTAAGTGCACCTTATACTACTCACTAAAATCAATTGTTAAAATAATGAAAGCAATAGTTATGAAATAACAATTTTATTATTATTTTTCTTTCGATGTTCAAATGTACTAGCTCACGTAACAATAGAGCGCAGCTCCATCAAGCATAAAGTGTTGTTTTTGTGCAAATTTTGATTTTGTTAATTAAGCTTTAAATGGCACTTTTTTTGGTTTTTATTTACATTAGAAATGTCAATCAACATCCAATTTCATAACTATAGATCAACCATTAAAATTTTTAATACGTATACTTATTGAATTCGGTCATTGGCAAATCAAACCTTCGAGTATACTTTTGAGGTCGCCCGCAAATTATGTTTAGTGAATGCTCCAAAAAATATACAACACTTAATTCTGCGATACTGGTTTGAATTCGAAATACAGAATATGCCTGTTTTTAATAATACTAAAAGTGACGTGAACGAATTCTTAAAAGTTCATAAGGTACTAAAGAACCTAAAAAAAGGTTGCAAAAAATATAATTTTTAATTTGTATACTTTGGTGGGAACTTTAAAATTAGCAAAGCTAAAAGAGGATTATAATTTTGTTGTGACAAGCTTAATGCAGACATCTTCTGCAACCCCATAAAGTGTATATATATTCTTGATCAGCATCACTAGTTGAGTCGATATAGCCTGGTTGGTCTGTACAATTTCTTTTTGTTTATATAAACAGAACTTCATTTTTTTTTAAGCTGTCTTGACGAAACATGATAATTAGAAGAACAAGTTTCAAATTGCGTGATCGTGATAGGCGTTGAATAGTGGGGAATAGAAAAAATATTAAGAAAACAGAAAATAAGATAAAATAAAATACAAGGGTATTTAGTCTTCGGCATTTCTAAGATAGCACTTTTTGTTTTGCCTTTGTCATCTATTGTTTTCCATTATACTTAGCTGAGTGTAATAGAATTGTCATAAAGTTTCATGAACATTAGCAGAACTGAAGCCAAAAACTCGAATGTGCAAATATTTTAATTGTTGTTCTCACTTATATGCTGAAATTAACGGGCTTTTTATGCAGCACACATAAAATACGATGAGTAAATTTACTTGTGCAAAACATTATAAACAAACCTGAAATATAAGCTTAGAGATAAGTTCTGAAATCTTTTACATCCTATTAAAAAATACTATATATTTTATGCATATTAATACAAAGTATTGCACCGAAATGTTGAAGCGCGTATAGAATTAATTATGGTAGTTGCGATACATCTTGTTACGCACTTTAAATTTAATGAAAAACACCGCATATCTTATTTTACGAACATATTAAACCTTTTTATTCTTTAAGATTGAGTATTTTTGTAATTTGTAGGATTTGGTTTTAATTGTTTAAATTTTAATTTAAGAATAACGCAATAAACGCTTTGGTATTTTCAACCTTTTAGCCACGGAAACGACCTCCACCTGAGGCAGCAGACGCAGAGGCAGCAGCTGAAGATGCACCATTGCCAGCTGCCGATGCACTGGCCGAAGCTGAGGCAGAGGAGGAGCCACCACCACCGCCACCGCCCCTACGGAATCCACCCTTGCGGAATCCACCACCGAAGCGAGGACGTCCAAATCCAAACTGAGGCACTGCAGACACGGCAGCTATCAGCAAGATAAACAGTATAAGAAACTTCATTTTGCTTGAATTAATAAATATAACTTGTGTTGACGCTAAACAGGTAAAAAGTAAACTGAATGATTTTTGCCGTACCTCCACAGCTATTTATATAGTGAGCGTTAGACGATCGAGCCAATAAATGATTCTTAATAATTAATAGAAACCCGTGTTCCCTGTTCCAACATCTCAAGTTATTCACCTGCTTCCCATGACTTAATTATAGGAATTAGCTTCACATGCATCACCATCATCATTATTATCAACGTAAACAAGCAGGAATGTTGGATTAGATTAATAATGATCGAATTGCCAATTCCCTGCGGTATTATACATGTATATTACAATAAGAGTACAGATGATTAATTTTGAAATAATTCCGTAACATTTTTTATTTGCTTGAAAACGTCTCTGTTAATTCGATATTTTATATAATATGCATACAATATCTGAATTTACAAATACTTAACATATCTTAAAATTCGCAGAGTATAAAAAATGCTTACCGGCTTCACCCTAAGCGCCGTCTATCGTCTACTGTTTGCGTAGGTTAACCCCAGAAGAGCTCAAGAGAGTTGATCAAATGGCGTAGATTAATTGATTAATCGAGAGTCTTTTCCATTCACATAAATCAATTTGACATTTATTACAAGTGTTCGTCGGTGAATTGGAGTGAATTAGAAAGTGATTTGAATTATCTTTAACAACAACCGCTTTGCAAAACTCTCCGAAACGACACCCGTATTGCTGAACCTCAAAACAGATCAGTTGACTGGTTGACAACATATATACATATGTCTATTTAATATTTCGTTAATATTTCTTTTCGAAAGTAACCCAATAATTGTTAAATCAACGAGACGTGTGCATCTGTCAGCCATTTGCGTATGAAATAAAATGTTGATTTATGGCTTCTACATTTTCTTTTTATTTTTAATTTTCAGACTTTTTAATATAACTTATGGATAACTAAAGAAACATTTTGTAATCTCGTGTCGGTGCACTTGGCACAGACCCTGGCACTTTAGCCACGGAATCGTCCGCCACCTGAAGCCGCAGCAGACGCAGAGGCAGAAGCTGAAGCAGCACCATTGCCACCTGCCGATGCACTGGACGAGGCTGAGGCAGAGGAGGAGCCACCGCCACCGCCACCGCCGCCACCGCGGAAGCCGCCGCCGCCGGGGTAGTAGCCACCAGGACGTCCGTAGCCGAAACCAGGACCACCACCAAAACCACCGCCGCCAAATCCAGGGCGACCGCCAAAGCCTCCTCCAAAGCCAGGGCGTCCGTAGCCACCGCCTCCAAAACCAGGACCGCCGAAGCCACCGCCTCCGAAACCAGGACCGCCGAAGCCAGGACCGCCAAAGCCAAACTGTGGCAGTGCCGCCGCAGCACAAATCAACAGAGCGAACACAATCAGACTCTTCATATTGCTCGATTCGTTAGAAAGAAATAGTGTTTGCTCTAAGCAGGGAGCAGTCCAACTGATGGACCAATGCAGAATCTCGCAAATATTTATAGCAGATCGTGCGTGAATGTAAAACTCAAATTGTATGTGTTAAATGGAACACAGAGCTGGGAGTTCGCTCAGCTCAGCCAACCATTTACCGGTTTTCTTTGCTTTTATTTGTAATTATCAACTTTGCCTACATCATGAGCATCAAGATCATCATCATATCGGCTTTATTTTTTGAGCCGCCGTTTGTCTGTCACTTGACCAGGTGAATCCCAAAGCAACAACAACTGAAGCGAAATTATATTTTAATACATAATTATGTCTGAACATTGAATATATTCAAAGTGTGTAGTCATGGACTTTAGCATCAATGTGAATGCATAGCAAATGTCTGATATATTTGTTTACACTTGGCTAATTGATTGCTTGCAGTCAACAATGTGCTTATCTTCCTGGTCTTCGGAATTCCCCCCTCCTACACGTACATAATATATGCCAAATTCTAGTCAACTGACAAGTTCATCTTGAAGAGTTTATTCGCCTTTTACTGCCAAAGCGGTTTCTATGGCGTCGTTACAAAGCAAAAAAAGAAGACAAATCAAAACGCAAACATAGTTTTGATAAAGTGGAGTCAGTTCACTACGTTTGTAGTCTAACAATGTGTACGATTATTGTTGAACATGTTTGCAAACTATGTGTTATGACGCACTGCGTTATGACGCACTACAAAGCTAACATTTTATTTTATAATTAAATAATATATATATTTTTTAATTACGGCTTCCATAAATAGTTTGTATATTATTTAGCACAATGTAGAAGCTTCTGTTATTTTAATCATTTTAATATTAATTCTTCTCTAGCCTAATATTCTACCTTCAATAATTTCTTTCATATCATATCTTCCAGTCAACATCTAATAACTTGTTTCTACTCTGTTGTGAGTAAACTAGATTCATTCATGGTCGATTAACGGTTGTAATATTAATCAACCTTATATAGTATTGCTTTCTGTAGTATGCAAATATAATTGTTTTCATTATCATTCTCAATGATTTTTATTACAGCATTTGTATTACACCAATCAACAATAAAAGGTGTTAATATACAGTAATAATGCATAATAAAAAATTTAAGTGAATTTTGTAAAGCGTATTATATGAAGCCTATGATTTATACGCTGATTTGATTATCAACTATTAGTAGAGGGGAAACACTTTGAGATACGTTGCACAGTTTGTAAATGTCATAAAAATTAACAAAAGCAATTAGTCTTCCGAAGCTACATTAGAATACATACTTCAATCAATATCCGTTCTATTATTTCATAACATCAATACAGAATTTACACTCATATTAAACAGGGTATCCGTGATGCCTACCATCATTTTAATATTCTCTACAGAACTGTGAACACGTAAATATAATGGGGCTAAAAAAAAAAGAACACATGCTTGAAAAGTATTTAATATTCAATTGTTAATTAACAAATAGCAACCTGTGCGAGCAACAGAAGATTCTAGTATAGAATCAGCTGGCTAAACCAGTTACAACGTTGTCATTACTCAGCTAAGCGCAGGGGTTTTCCATATGACGAAAATAGTTTAAATAGTATAAGTTTGTGATTTTTTTGTCAAATGTTAGGTAAATCAATATACATACATATACATTTATACGTATAATTAGCACTAAAGTCTCGGGGAAGTCCGGAGGAAAGCATATAAAGTCGACCTTTCCAAAGCTTTACTTAACATGCTGTATGATAAATGCACTCAATTTAAATGTTTATTCAAACAGATATCAAACAAAATGTAATCAAAACTCTGCCTAATTTCTCTACTTTCAAATGTATCATTATTTATTTATGCAAAACTGGAGCCCACATGTTGGAGTATCGCACAACTGTTTCATACAACAAACCGGTTTGCCAATCATTATTTTTGTATCTCTTAAATTGATGATGTTTTTAAATATTTTTTGTTGTTTTTTTTTTATATGAGTGTGCGCTAATTATTTTTATTTTTTTGCGTTTTACCTTTATTGACTTATTAGTTCCACATATGATTAATTATATTATCGGCTCAAAAATTACGTTGTTAAAATAAGCTCGAGTATCGTTCAGTCATTTTAAATAGAATCAAATGAATATCTAGAAGACATTGGGAAAATATTATTAAAAAAAATAGAGATTAATTTTCGAAATTAATATTTCATGTATTTATTAAAGTATCTACGCATTGCTTATACTCATGATTCATGAGATTAAAGATGAGAATTAAACTTCGTTCATTAAAATAAAGTGCGTAGATATAAATGATTTTGAAGCGAATTAAATATTAATGACACACTTTGTTATAGATGCAGTAAACAAATCGAATTAATTTAAATTGAAACTGCGGTCACTGCTAATATATTGTATTTAATGGAAAATATTTACAGCCAAATTCAAATAATTTATACTAGTAATATTATCACATTAACAGCCAAGGCAACCACCATGCCATATGAGAGGCCCATGTACCCAAATGCCAACTAAATACCGTGTTAATTATGTAAACTCAACAACAGGAATTAGAAATCGGTGCTTTTGATTCCTCGCTTACATACATACGTAAATGTATATTTCATTTGCGTATATTGTTATTGGCTTTTTCTGACTCTCTCTGAATTGCCCGGCTAGTTGGCAACGGCGCAAACTTTTCAATTATGCGGCGCTCGGCTAATGAACAAAGCAGCCTCAAATGACATATGCGATATGCGATAAATTTTGAATTATTTAATTTTAATTAAAATTCTGATATTGCTTGCGCACATTCTAAAATTAAGTGCATACTTTGAGGCAGCTCAATATATTATATTGTATTCAATGTATATTATTTTCAAAGTATTCGACATCCATATTATGAATGTATTTCTCTATCAATAGTAGAGTATGCAGAGTAATTATTATTTATATTTATATCTTTCAATTTATTCTCATTGGACGCTTTTTATTTCTTACTAATTTAATGCTAGAAGCAAAGCTTCAATCTCAAATGATCTTAAATGACTACGATATTACAGCTTAAATATGTACTAAATCCGAAAGTTCGTTAAGACCAAACTCATACATTTATGTAAGCTTATCCCATGCTCTTACCTACTTTGGACAGGATATATCAGTAAAGTTGCAAAACAGTAAAAACTAAATAAGGAAAAAAAAACTTTCCCGAAAAAAAAACCGATTTTGCAAATGTCCGTATTTACATTTATTTTATTGCCTAACATAAATTGCGGCAAACAGAGAATAGCAATATTGTCAATTCGACAACGATGCAATGTCCAACAGTGGCAACAGCAACTGTTGCCATCACAGTACAACAGAAACAAGCGAAAACACAAAGCGACAGCAGCAGTCGACAGTGTGGCAAGCCGCCAGGAACAGCAACAGGAACTGCAAGAGGAACAGGAACAGCAGGAGCCGCAGTTGTTGCCCAAGCCCTGGGTGAGCTCATGGCTGATGCTGTCGTTGTTCCTCTGACTCCCGACCCCTCAATCAGCGCGTGCTCTTTCGCTTTATGCTCCAAAGTGCACCACAGGGGTTCAATGTCCTTGTGCAAATTGGTCTGAGTTTATTGCCAATGGCTGTTTGCAACAGACGTTGTTCGGCCACCAACTGCTCCAAGCCGTCTCTTTGTCTCTTGCCCTCTCTATCTCTCTCTCTCTCTCTCTCTCTCTGTCTCTCTGCCTCTCTGTCGCTCCAGCTGAATGGGATGCGTTCTGGAGCAATAAAACTGCACTTTGAGGCTGCTCAAAGTTTGCTTAAGATTTCAATTTGTTGCTGGAAGCTGCCGCCGCATTGTGTGCAACAATTTGCAATAGTAAAATTGCCCCAGCGTGGCAACTTTGCCTCCTAATGATAAATGTTTTCTAAATGCCACAGACGGCAATCGAGTCGTTTTGCTTTGCGCCATTTTTATAGTTCATATATCCAACAATGTTATCAATGTCTTGAGTTCTTTAAACAACGCGTGCGACTCTCCAGCACGGTAATTTCCAATAAATTGGAATATTTTCATTATAAAAACAGAATTATAAATTGTTGAAATAAAGTCTTCCATAAGCTATTAATTTGCACTACAATTTATAAACTTCACCTGATATACAAACGCTTAACTTAAATCTTAAATATTCTGTATTTCGAGTGTTTTTTATCCAAATCCGAATCCACCGCCACCGAGGCCAGTATTAATACCAATTGATTGACCGCCACTATGGCCGCCTGCAAGACCTCCAAATCCAGTACCTCCAATACCTAAACCAATTCCAGGTCCGCTGACTCCATAGCCACCGCTAGCTGATCCTCCAGCAGTTGACAATTGACCAGTACCAAATCCAGGGACGTGGCCATTGGAATTGTAGCTAGCGCCGCCTCCATGAGGCGAAGAACCAGTTGTGATGCTAGCACTACCGCCTCCTAGACCCACGCCCAGACTTCCAGCACCACCTCCATGGTTCCCGCCAGCTGATACTGAAGCTACTCCAGCGCCAGCTGATCCACTACCACCTCCGTGGCCAGTGTTTAAATGGACACCGCCAGCTGATCCTGTAGCAATTGAATCTTTCACCGTCTTTTCCAAAATTCCAACCGCTCCATGGCTACCGCCAGATGATACTGAAGCAACACCAGAGCCAGTTGATCCATGGCCAGTGCTATGGCCACTGACTCCATGACTGCCACCAGATAATAGTGAAGCAGCTCCGGAGCCAGTTGATCCATGGCCAGTGCTATGGCCACTAACTCTATGACTGCCACCAGATAATAGTGAAGCAGCTCCAGAGCCAGTTGATCCTTGGCCAGTGCTATGGCCACTGACTCCATGACTGCCACCAGATGATACTGAAGCAACTCCAGCGCCAGCTGACCCATGGCTAGCTGATCCATGGCCAGTAGTATGGTCACTGACTCCATGACTGCCACCTGATGATACTGAAGCAATTCCAGCGCCAATTGATCCATGGCTAGCTGATCCATGGCCAGTGGTATGGCCACTGACTCCATGACTGCCACCAGATGATACTGAAGCACCACCAACGCCAGCTGATCCATGGCTAGCTGATCCATGGCCAGTAGTATGGCCACTGGCTCCATGACTGCCACCAGATGATACTGAAGCAACTCCAGCGCCAGCTGACCCATGGCTAGCTGATCCATGGCCAGTAGTATGGCCACTGGCTCCATGACTGCCACCAGATGATACTGAAGCACCACCAACGCCAGCTGATCCATGGCTAGCTGATCCATGGCCAGTGGTATGGCCACTGGCTCCATGACTGCCACCAGATGATACTGAAGCAACTCCAGCGCCAGCTGATCCATGGCTAGCTGATCCATGGCCAGTAGTATGGCCACTGGCTCCATGACTGCCACCAGATGATACTGAAGCAACTCCAGCGCCAGCTGATCCATGGCTAGCTGATCCATGGCCAGTGGTATGGCCACTGGCTCCATGACTGCCACCAGATGATACTGAAGCAACTCCAGCGCCAGCTGACCCATGGCTAGCTGATCCATGGCCAGTGGTATGGCCACTGACTCCATGACTGCCACCAGAAGATAATGAAGCACCACCAACGCCAGCCGATCCACTGCCACCTCCATGGCCGGTGCTTAAATGGACACCGCCAGCTGATCCTGTACCAATTGAATCTTTCACCGTCTTTTCTAAACTTCCAACCGCTCCATGGCTGCCACCAGATGATACTGAAGCAACTCCAGCGCCAGCTGATCCATGGCTAGCTGATCCATGGCCAGTGGTATGGCCACTGGCTCCATTACTGCCACCAGATGATACTGAAGCAACTCCAGCGCCAGCTGATCCATGGCTAGCTGATCCATGGCCAGTGGTATGGCCACTGGCTCCATGACTGCCACCAGATGATACTGAAGCACCACCAACGCCAGCTGATCCATGGCTAGCTGATCCATGGCCAGTGGTATGGCCACTGGCTCCATAACTGCCACCAGATGATACTGAAGCAACTCCAGCGCCAGCTGATCCATGGCTAGCTGATCCATGGCCAGTGGTATGGCCACTGGCTCCATTACTGCCACCAGATGATACTGAAGCAACTCCAGCGCCAGCTGATCCATGGCTAGCTGATCCATGGCCAGTAGTATGGCCACTGGCTCCATGACTGCCACCAGATGATACTGAAGCAACTCCAGCGCCAGCTGATCCATGGCTAGCTGATCCATGGCCAGTGGTATGGCCACTGGCTCCATGACTGCCACCAGATGATACTGAAGCAACTCCAGCGCCAGCTGATCCATGGCTAGCTGATCCATGGCCAGTGGTATGGCCACTGGCTCCATGACTGCCACCAGATGATACTGAAGCAACTCCAGCGCCAGCTGATCCATGGCTAGCTGATCCATGGCCAGTGGTATGGCCACTGGCTCCATAACTGCCACCAGATGATATTGAAGCAACTCCAGCGCCAGCTGATCCATGGCCAGTGGTATGGCCACTGGCTCCATTACTGCCACCAGATGATACTGAAGCAACTCCAGCGCCAGCTGATCCATGGCTAGCTGATCCATGGCCAGTAGTATGGCCACTGGCTCCATGACTGCCACCAGATGATACTGAAGCAACTCCAGCGCCAGCTGATCCATGGCTAGCTGATCCATGGCCAGTGGTATGGCCACTGGCTCCATGACTGCCACCAGATGATACTGAAGCAACTCCAGCGCCAGCTGACCCATGGCTAGCTGATCCATGGCCAGTGGTATGGCCACTGACTCCATGACTGCCACCAGAAGATAATGAAGCACCACCAACGCCAGCCGATCCACTGCCACCTCCATGGCCGGTGCTTAAATGGACACCGCCAGCTGATCCTGTACCAATTGAATCTTTCACCGTCTTTTCTAAACTTCCAACCGCTCCATGGCTGCCACCAGATGATACTGAAGCAACTCCAGCGCCAGCTGATCCATGGCTAGCTGATCCATGGCCAGTAGTATGGCCACTGGCTCCATGACTGCCACCAGATGATATTGAAGCACCACCAACGCCAGCTGATCCATGGCTAGCTGATCCATGGCCAGTGGTATGGCCACTGGCTCCATAACTGCCACCAGATGATACTGAAGCAACTCCAGCGCCAGCTGATCCATGGCTAGCTGATCCATGGCCAGTGGTATGGCCACTGACTCCATGACTGCCACCAGATGATACTGAAGCACCACCAACGCCAGCTGATCCACTACCACTTCCATGGCCGGTGCTTAAATGGACACCGCCAGCTGATCCTGTAGCAATTGAATCCTTCACCGTCTTTTCCAAAATTCCAACTGTTCCATGGCTACCACCAGATGATAGTGAAGCAACTCCAGCGCCAGCTGATCCATGGCTAGCTGATCCATGGCCAATGCTATGGCCATTGACTCCATGGCTACCGCCAACTGATCCACCATTAATTGACAATTGCCCAGTGCCAAATCCTGGGACACCGGCAACGTAATTACCGCCCCCTAAGTGTGGTGATGAGCCAACTGAGATGCTAGCGCTACCATCACCACCTCCCAGTCCCAGGCCTAGGCTTCCACCACTGTCTCCATGCTTGCCGTTGCCGCCCAGTCCCAATCCTATACCGCCGAAGCCACCGTTTCCACCGCCTATGGTAACCGCGTCATTACTACCAAAAAAGCCAGCGGAGGCTGCCGCAACGCAAACACTTAGCACAATTATTAATCTCATCGGATCTTTAGACTAGAAGTAAATGAGTGTGCTAACTAGAGATTTTTCGGCTTTTATAAGATGGCTCTAACAAAAATAAAAAGTCCCCTAAACCAAACCAGAAATCAGAATGAATATAAAACATAACTAGAAAACAAAATACAATCAAAATAAAGAGGGAACTGAGGCTACAATTAATAATTCAAATTAAACACAAGCAATTTATGCAAACTGTTGTTTAAATATGCTTGAGCATTGGTTATCTTAAAGGCATTATACTCATAATTAATATGTGATTTAGTCATTAGTTTAATAATGATTATGTAACTTAAACTTCAGTGTTGGACAATATGTCAGAACTATTAATAAAGTTCTTAAACATAAAGTGCGTAGCTAAATTAATTATTATGAAGGGCAAACTGTTCAAGTATTAAATGTTAGTAACACACTTTGTTTTAGATGCAGTAAACAAATCGAATTAATTTAAATTGAAACTGCGGTCACTGCTAATATATTGTATTTAATGGAAAATATTTACAGCCAAATTCAAATAATTTATACTAGTAATATTATCACATTACCAGCCAAGGCAACCACCATGCCATATGAGAGGCCCATGTACCCAAATGCCAACTAAATACCGTGTTAATTATGTAAACTCAACAACAGGAATTAGAAATCGGTGCTTTTGATTCCTCGCTTACATACATACGTAAATGTATATTTCATTTGCGTATATTGTTATTGGCTTTTTCTGACTCTCTCTGAATTGCCCGGCTAGTTGGCAACGGCGCAAACTTTTCAATTATGCGGCGCTCGGCTAATGAACAAAGCAGCCTCAAATGACATATGCGATATGCGATAAATTTTGAATTATTTAATTTTAATTAAAATTCTGATATTGCTTGCACACATTCTAAAAATAAACGCATACTTTTAGGCAGCTCAAAATAATAATAAATTCTTTGCATGCGAATTTGTTGTTGCATTAAAGAAGCAGCAACGCTGAAAATCAATTAAACTCATTGAAATCTACTGAATTTCATCATTTGTCGTGTGTAACTAACTATTATTTATTTTCAAAGTATTCGTAAGCCATAATATAAGTGTATTTCTCAATACAAAGTTTTGAATGATTTTATTTAAAAATTATTTTTTTATTCATTTATTTTATTGTTTTTTAAATCTACAGCCACTTACACAAAAGAATACTTTAGCTTAATGAGGAAGCTTTCCACACGGACTACACGGGACAATAGAATATAAATTATTATTATTATTTATTAATATAATTAGCTAATAGAAAAATTAGACACGCGCTGGTAAATGACTTAAGTCAAATTAAAAAAAAAAGAAGAAGAATGCAGTCAAAATTGTTGCTTAGACTCAACGAAATGTAAAATTAATTGTTGGAGAATCATCACTTTTAATTCTGCGATTTAGCACTGCAATTAAATGTGCTAACCCCTAATACAAAAATAGATACATATACCCCATATTATCTGCATTTAATAAAAAAGCAACCATGATCTGATCTATAAATATAACGTGTACATCTATAAAGGCGCCGTTGCCTCTCTCAATTTAATAAATACACTTACACGACTTTATATTACCATAAGTACTTACGATTTTTACATATCCAATAAGGCGTTTCATAAATTAAATGACCCCTGTCATCGAATGCGCTTAACCCAACTAATTATATATAAACGCTAATGAATGTTTGTTTAGTAAAAAAATTTATTGGATAGATCAATATCGCCTGGGAAATACTCTTTCGCTGTTTAGTTGGTACAAATTGGGAAGCTTACGACTTAAAATTAACGGCCATAGCTGCCTGCAGAGGAAGAGGCTGACGCGGAAGCTGAGGAGCTGGCACCACCTTTGCCATAGCCACCACCACCGCCATGACCTCCAATGCCAATGCCTCCGCCATGTTTCCTACCACCACCGTAGCCACCGCCTCCATGCTTGCCGCCGAGCCCGATACCGCCTCCAGGGCCTCCAATTCCGAAACCACCACCGTGGCCGCCACCAATGTTACCTCCGCCATGTCCTGCAGTTGCACTTGAGCTCGCTGAGGCGTCTGCACTGCCTCCTCCAATACCGCCACCAAGTCCATGTCCGCCGCCCCCACCGCCTAAATGACCACCGCCGAGTCCAATGCCAGCATGGCCACCACCAATTGGTCCTCCGCCGAAGCCACCACCTCCATGGCCGCCGCCACCACCTCCATGACCACCTCCAGCTGATCCTCCAGCAAAACCACCGGCTCCATGGCCACCTCCAGCTGATCCTCCAGCAAAACCACCGGCTCCATGGCCGCCGCCAGCTGATCCTCCAGCGTAACCACCTCCAAGTGATCCACCACCTCCATGGCCACCGCCTCCATGGCCACCGCCAGCTGATCCTCCAGCAAAACCACCGCCTCCATGGCCACCGCCTCCAAGGCCACCGCCTCCATGACCACCGCCAGCTGATCCCCCAGCAAAACCACCGGCTCCATGGCCACCTCCAGCTGATCCTCCAGCAAAACCACCGGCTCCATGGCCGCCGCCAGCTGATCCTCCAGCGTAACCACCTCCAAGTGATCCACCACCTCCATGGCCACCGCCTCCATGGCCACCGCCAGCTGATCCTCCAGCAAAACCACCGCCTCCATGGCCACCACCTCCATGACCACCGCCTCCAAGACCACCGCCAGCTGATCCTCCAGCAAAACCACCGCCTCCAAGGCCACCGCCTCCAAGGCCACCGCCTCCATGGCCACCGCCAGCTGATCCTCCAGCAAAACCACCGCCTCCATGGCCACCACCTCCATGGCCACCACCTCCATGGCCACCGCCTCCAAGACCACCGCCTCCAAGGCCGCCGCCTCCATGGCCACCGCCTCCAAATCCAGGGCCACCTCCACCGTAGCTACCGCCGCCTCCGGTCGCCGAAGAACCAGCTGAACTGCTAGCGCTGCCGCCACCGCCACCGGCACCACCTCCTAGACCCAGGCCCAGGCCTAGGCCTCCATGCTTGCCGCCGCCACCGCCAATGCCGATGCCGCCTAGTCCCAATCCTAGGCCGCCGCCCAATCCACCGCCGCCCAATCCACCGCCGCCCAATTTACCGCCTGCATCGGCGCTTGAGCTGGCCGAAGCGGATGCCGCGGCCGAGGAACCGGCACCACTGCCACCACCATAGCCAGCGGAGGCTAACGCAACGCAAATACTTAGCACAATTAACAATCTCATCGGATCTTTTGACTGGAACCAACTGAGTGTGCTGGCTAGAGATCGCTCAGCTTTTATAAGATGCCGAAGTGCGATGCGAAAAAATACAAATTACAATAAATTGCAAAAAAAAAAATAAAAATTAAAAGAACTTTAAACTAAAAACAAAAAACAAAACCAAACAAAATGAATAAAAAAAAATGTAACTAGAAAACAAAATACAATCAAGACAAACTGGGAACCGGGGCTACAACTAATAAGCAAATACAAAACTCTAGTCACGTTCTGAAAACCGGGATCGATGCCGGGTCAGTCGGAGCAATACTTTGATAATTAACCCATGGAAAGAAGAGAGAAGAGAACTACAATAATGGCCAGATCGGGCAATAAGCAATAAGGCATTTATCATCATTTAAATATTATACATTGTCTACAATTCTGGCTAATTATACTCTAACCAACAAATTTGAATACAAATAAATACAAACAATACAAATAAAATGCAAACCAGATCCCAACTTTGAGAGAACATATATTAATGGGTTTTCCTAATAACAAATGGAGTCATTAAAAAAATTTAGCAATCGAGTTATTATTTGGGAAGTACTCGAAATATATGTTCAATTATAACAATACAAAGCAACAAAACTAATAATTATACATCTTAGGAATAGAAAAGTAAATACATATAAATATTTTGTTCGTCGCTATTTTTATGGATTATAAATCAAACCAGAACCAGAACTTTCAGAACATTAATATATATAAAAAATATAAATATATATCTAAGTATTTCTTGGTTCTGATTTCATCATTTACTTCAAAAAAGAAATGGAAATAAAGAAGTGAAATTCCCAAAAAAAAAATCAACACACTTATGTATTCAATTGAAATTCTGGTACGCTCAGAGCATTCAAGATTCGTTGATTACTTTTGCTTTGTTTTTTTTTTTTCTCACATAACGTGTTTATACAAATCAACGATTCGACATCATTTAGATCGGAAATAGCAGCGCTGATTGTATTTGTCTTCACGTTACGAGACTAGAATTTTAATTTAGCAGTACTTAGTACTTAAAAATACTTGATGATTATGAAACTAAGTGACCCCATAACGTATTCCACTCTATTAGAACAGATTAAAAAGCGATTAAAATTAATACTGAAATTCGAGGTAACATATGTGTTTTATATAGTATTTCAACAATCTTAACACTTTTAATCTTGTCGACTAAATCAGCTTTCAGTTTGATTTTAAATGCGTTTTTAGCTCAAGTACGAATGTTGTCATTTATGATTAGACGACAATGCATTTTCCATTTACCCGGCACCCGGCTTCTTAGCCAACTTCATAATATAAATATATATATATATATATATATATAAATATATAAATAAATATATATATATATATATATATATTTATAAAACAACAAAAATGCCATCACTACGTTTTGTATATATTGTTTATTATACTAGTCTTGTGCATTGAGTTTATTCTAATGGAAAAAAAACTTTTTTCCATTCTGAACTTAATGCTTGGTTCATTTCGGGTGTAGTATTTTTAGTGCTCATGAAAACACAGTTATCACACGCCATGTACACAGCTTTTCACTTAGTTGGTTGGCCGGGTAAACTGAAATGCAAATGTCAGGACCTGGTAGCCTGAAAGCATAAGCAGCTCAAGGAAGTCAGTCACAAAACAACAACCACAATGCCAGCAGACACAACAATAACAACCACAATAGCAACAGCAAAAGCAGCAGCTGCTGAGAAAATAGCAAGTGCATAAGAAAATAGAAATTTTCCTCAAAGAAATCTGCTTAGAAATGCATGTAGTTGTTGTTGCCAGTTGCTGCTGCTGCTGCTGGTGGTGTTTAAGAAAATCTGCTACAGTTTCTGGGCCAAGTCATTGTTAGCCTCAAAATAGAAACAACGTCTCGACTTCCGTTTCCGGTCGAAGAAAAACACGGCTGCTACATATTTAAAATCGCACAGCTTTATGCAAATATCTATTCCATTTTTAAAGCAAAAAATAAATAAAAGGCAGACAAATAAATAAATATTAACTATTAAGCTAGACAATATATACTACATGCGTCCTATCACTCGACCTCGTATCCGTAGACCTCCTTTGCCCTCGCCATCGGCATCCTTTGCCTGTGGCTGCTTGCCCAGCACTTGGAGCATGCGATTGTAGAGCAGCTTTCGCACATCGACAGCCCAAAGGAAGTCCATGTGATTGAAATCTTTGAGCGGCACCAGATACTTGCCAATCACATTGCCCAAGTCATCGCACATGGACTCCACATCATGTGGATGACACAGCAGATCGTTGGTCGAGTAATAAACAAAGGTCGGCACAGTCACCAGACTCAGATTATATCGTGGCGGCACATGCTCCCTGTATAGCAACATATTCTTGTTCGAACTATAGCTATAGGGTGCAAATCTGCCACTCTTGATTATCTGGATAAAGTGCTTGACCTGCTTGGCCGCAACGCCGGCGGGATAGTGGCCCAAAACAACGGGAAACATTTTCTACAAATGAAATCATTTTCAGTTTTTTCTTACAAAATTTGGATGAGTTTTAAATTGGGCATACCCTGTTGAACTCATTCCAATTGCGACCCACAATGCCAAAGACAGCCTCAATGCAGAGTCGCTCAGTCTCTTCGGTCATGCGGCACAGAAAACGAAATTCCCCGTTAAACATTTCAGTTATCGAACTTCCAACCAGAGTCTAGAATTAAAAAAAAAAAAAATGAATTTTTAATTATGGGAGAGAAAAGTTGGTTATTAAATTATCAAGACAATCATTTTAAATTACTATAACAACCTCTCACAACTGACAATAGTTTTTCCCATTTAAATTAAACTTCAATTATTCTAAGTTTAGATTATGCTTCTCACCAATAAACATATTTTTAACAGTTTTGAACAGTTTTAAAGGTTTCTCTTACTCACATTAAAGTACAAACTGATGGCACGTATATAGGGATGATCTTCGGTTTCCTTGGCATAGACAGCTGGTGCCATGGCCTGCATGGAGATGAGCTTCTCGTTGTAAGCCGGTCGCATTGAGCACATCACAAAGAACGCCGTACAGCCTTGGGAATGACCACCATAGTGGAGTTTCTTGTAGCCGGTGGTCTTGAGCACATGATCGATCATAGCTGGCAGATCATACATGCCAATTTCGTGCCAACTGAAATCCCAGAACTTGGATTCATCCGGATCAAGCGATGTGTGATTTCTCGAGTAGCGATTGCCCCGAGCATTACCAAGCCAGACGTCATAGTTGTGGTCAGCCAGCAAATAGGCTGCACAAAGAGAAGATGAAATTATGCCATGGTAATCACTTGACCGACTTGGCTACACATTAATCACACAGACACTCACCCAGACTCACATTCGGGCCCATGACAACGAAGCCCGCTGAGCTATCAACGAGTCCGTGCTGGAGCAGAAAGGGTTGGGCGCCCTTTTTACGAATGCGATGCATTGTTAGAATGTAGCCATCGTCTGTGGTCACATGATGCACTTCCGCTTGGTAGCCATATTTGGCAATTAATTTATCCTGTTGATGAAATTTATAAATGGTTGCAGTTGATGATGGAAACTCATGGATTGCCATTTGGATCATTTATCTCCGTACCACTGATAGGTTGGAGTCCTGCTTGATGTTTTTGCGTTGCAGCTTTTCCTCGAGCGTCTCATCTTCGATGCTCTCCTCCTCCTCCTCCTCCTCCTCTTCCTCCTCCTCCTCATCATCCTCGCCGCCAATGAGCTGTGCCTGCGTCCTGCTGATGAGCAGACACAAAACCAATGCTAATAGCAAACGACATTGCATTATTATTTAATTGCAAGTTGCGCTTTAATTAAATCGATGCAATGCAAAGTGAAATTCGGTTTTATTTTCGTTTATTTGATATTATTGTTGTGTTTGTTGGACTCTTCACTTGTTGGTCAACTCGAACGCTGCACGTCGCGGCCTCAACTGAAACTGAAACCAAAACCCGGCGACGCATTTCGAACTTCCGCGCTTACAAAGAATGCCGAAAACTTTCGATCAGCAACAGCGACAGCAACAACAATCATTTTAACAATATGCGTAGTGACGTGTTTTTGTTTATGTTTCGCGTGGAGTTACTTCTTGTATCCGCCTCGACTATACTCTGTACCTAATAAGGTTGTCGCGCTAGATAAGGATATATTTAATATTGTAAAACTTAGCTTTCAATTTTCAAATGTTTCAAAATAACTCATATAAAGAGTATGCTTTTGTTCAACTTAAGGTATCAGCTCAATTATACTCAATTATACACCTAAAAAGTGTGTTACGATAACAAAAGACATTTTAAACATTTTTACTGAACAGCTTATGATAAGAATATAGTTAAAATACTTTCAATTTTTAGTATATAATCACACATAATATAAAAATATATATATATCTATTTATATTTACATATTTTAATGCATTTTCCTTTATACATAGCTGGCCATCAATTGGTAAATGTATTAAAATAAAAGTAGTAGAGGGTATCTTTTAGTCACACACTCGAACTTATCTTTTTTTCGCTTGCTATATTTTGGGACAGGTAATAAAATTGACAGAGAGAGAAAGGCTGATTAAAACAAGGTAAAAAGAGAGACAAATTTGGATGCGTAGGGCATTGCTATCAATAAAGAATTACATGTGAAATTGAAGAACAGGTGTGTGTTTTTCAATTGAAGCTGTGCTAGATCTTATGTAGGTCAAATTGCACTGATTAGCTTTGTTATTTGGTAATTTTCTTGCCGTTAGTACCAGCACAAAAATTGTGTCAAGTTTTCCTTTCGAAATAATAAAAAATATGTAAAATATGTATAAAACTTTAGTTGTATCAACTTCACTTCACAAAATCAATGAATTTTAATTTTTGCATACAACAAATTCCAAGAAATATATGTCAAAACATATTTAAATATTTAGTATTCAAAATCCACATCTGATAATTTTATTTACATATCTATTTATCGTCCACAGAATCAGAGAGCATTCAAAATTTTCCTCACAAAATTTATTCGGGAACCAAAATCAATCCGTTTTTCTTAAGAAGAAATATTCAGTGCTTATAACCATGAATGTGCTGATCACTATTGCAAAAAGAAGGTATATAAATGTATGAGAATACTTTATTCAGTACAACACCTATACAAATAGATTATTTTGTGTCATATTTACCAAATCATGCCCAACAATATTTAAAATTAAAAGATACACAGTCATTTGAAGAAGTACTTCTAAAAGTACGGTGAAGTCAATCGAATTTTGTTAAATTGTTAGAGCGAGCAGCGACAAACAATCATATTTCCATTTGAATTTTTGTTTACTCATGCTTTTGGCCAACTTTCAAGCGAAATGGCTTAATAACCTTTTTGGCTAAGCTATCGTTACCACAGTTGTTGTTAGCGCTGCCGTGTCATCTATTGTGGGTCACATACTTAGGCGACAACCAAAAGCAAAGACAACAAAACCACACGAAAAAGAAACAAATAGCATTTTTGTCGTTTGCCTCTTGAGTGGGCAATCAAAAGAAAGTAAAAGTGTTCAACCCAAATGGCAATTTGTCACATTTTGTTTTGTTGTATTTTTTTAGTGTTTCGTTTTTTTTTTTTTTCTCTTTGATTTTTTATGTCTTGGACAACGGCCAACCGATTACATAATTGCCATTTGGCTATTTGGCCGGTTGCCGTGACAAAATAAAACACATTTCGTTTGGCTCGCGCTTTTAATGAGCTTCAAGTGGCGCCTTTTATGACAGACAATTACTTAGCACCACCACTCAAAGACTTATTCAATTATGTAGGGTAATTTGCCGTCGAGAAACTTTTCCATTAGCTCGATCAGTTTATCGTTAACAAGAGTTTTGACCTCGCCAGATATGAGAAAATCAAAATGATTAAATTTAGCTGATGAAATTCGTCGCACACTGCGCACGGAGTTCAACATTTTGGCATAGATAGCATGGACGCCCTCGGGCGTGGCAATTGCATCCGTTTGCCCAAAATACAGTATGATGGGCACACTGATCCCACTGAGATTATAGTTGATGGCCTCCACGCTGTGATATATCTGCATATTCTCAATGGGTCCATAGTCGTACGAGATGAAATCACCCGATTTCCAAATCTGTTGCAGATGGCGCAGCTCCCGCGTGGAGCCTCCCTGCAGAAGATAATCATAGTTGAAGATCTCAAGTAACTAGAACGAATAGCTTATTAGTTGTTAATTGGATTTGTATTTAATACAAATTTACCTTTTTATTGCTTTGAGCACTGCCTGCTAAATGTTTGGTATAATATTCACAGCTTTCGCGCTTTTTGTTACACATTTTACGCAGCTCGCCAGGTGGAAACATTTCAAAGTGTTTGGCCTTGTGGCGTTTCTGTTAGAAATTAATTTTGAAAAGTATACGAAGATATTCGAATTAAATATAATTATTAATAATTGTACTAAAATAAGCAGATTATCTTTAAGGTCGATTTTCAGGTAAACATTTCTAAAGATCTGTGAATATGTTTTGCGAACTTTTATAATCATAGAATTTATTTATATAAAATTTCTAAAGCCCCCATAAAATCTTTGAGTGTAATTTAAATAGAGTGATTGTATTCGTTAATACTTTCTCTTATTTAATTACTTTGCGCTTTTACAAAAACAAATTCATTATTTAATTCGTTCGCTCAAAAATGCTATTCAGAATGCTCTCTGGGCTGGGCCCATCTGATTCAGCTCTCGATCAACGCTAATCACATTCGAAGTGCGCTCTGTGGGGGGTTATCAGCTATTTTTGAACCTCGTCGTGATTAGAGCTGCTCTTCTATACATTGTCACCAGGTCTGCTCAGAGGCTCTCCCTCATGATGTCAGGCGATGTCACGAGGCTTATCATCAGCTGGTAGTCGGAAATGGTCCATTTGCTAGTTGCTCTTTAGTCTAGCAATGATGTTCAAGCTAAGCAGCCGCCTGCAATCGCATAATCGTACACTGTCATTTGGCTGGCAGAGATTACGGCACGCCTCCTCCTCCAGCTCGGGCGGAGAAGGTGAGCGGACAGCACTCTATGACTTCCATGTGCGTAAGAGCGGCAAAATTGTGAACTTTGGCGGATATGCGCTGCCCGTGCAGTATGCGGATCAGAGCATCATTGCCTCCCACAATTACACACGTCGAGTGGGTTCCATATTCGATGTGTCGCACATGCTGCAAACTTATGTGCGTGGAAGCGATGCGGCTGCCTGTCTCGAATCCATATCCACAGCTGACATTCTCGGCATGCTGCCCGGTGCCGGCAGCCTGACAGTTTTCACCAATGAGCAAGGCGGCATTTTGGATGATCTGATTGTGAACAAAGTCAGCGACAAGGAGCTCTATGTGGTCTCCAATGCAGCCATGAAACAACAGGATGCTGACATCATGAGTTCCGCTGTGGTGAGTAAATTAGTAGAGTCAAGGGAAATTTCATTGTGCTCCTCCTCTTATTGTAGAGTTGGCAACAATTGTGGCAGTAAATCGAGTCCGTCTCTCATTTTCTGTGTAAGCTTGCAACTCAGTATATTCAGGGAAATCCAACTTTCCACATCCATAACTTCCACAACATTTAAGCGATCTTCCCAAACAAAGCAATGAAATTCTCCTACAAATTATATCCCAATTTGTTGAATGTTGATTTTATAAATAACAATCATATTTAATCTGCAGTCCTTCTTCAAATCGCAAGGCAAGGATGTCTCTATTGAATTCTTAAGCCCCGTCGATCAATCCTTGATTGCGGTGCAAGGGCCACAGGTGGCCCAGGAATTGGCCAAACTGCTGTCACAGCCAAAATCATTAGATCAACTCTATTTCATGCGTTCCGGCATCTTCGAGCTGGCCGGCATTAAAAATGTGCGCATTACGCGCTGCGGTTATACGGGCGAAGATGGCTTTGAAATCTCCGTGCCCTCCACAAAGGTGGAGTCTTTGACTGAGGCACTTCTCGCTGCTGGGCAACTGAAGCTGGCTGGCCTCGGCGCGAGAGACTCACTTCGTCTGGAGGCTGGGTTGTGTCTTTATGGCAGCGACATTGATGCAAAGACAACGCCCGTGGAGGCAGCACTTGCATGGCTGGTGGCCAAGCGTCGCCGCAGCACCGGCGACTTCCCAGGTGCTCAGCTGATTCTCCAGCAATTGAAGGAGGGCGTTCAGCGTCGCCGCATTGGACTACAGATGCTGGGCGCCAAGCCGCCACCTGCACGTGCCGGCGTTACCATCTACAGTGGTGGCAAGCAGGTGGGTCAGCTGACAAGTGGTTGCCCCAGTCCCACCACTGGACGCAACATAGCCATGGGCTACGTCGCCGAGCAGCTGAAGGCGCCCGGCACCCAACTGGAGCTAAAAGTGCGCGACAAATTCTACGAGGCCGAAGTGACGAAAATGCCCTTCGTGAAAGCTAACTACTACACTAAACCCAAGCAATAAAATAAGTTGGAAAAGTTAAATCCGAATTAAATTGTTTGTCTTTAAGTTTAATAATGTAATTTGATTGTGAGAAGGCGACAATTTAACAATCTTCGCTGCACATTTGAGAAATGACGGAATTACTTGTAAGACTGCAAGTAAGGGAAAATCGGAGTATAGATTCATTTCTTTCCTTTTAATGAATAGAGTGTGCAGAACAGATTTGTATGCATAACTATTAACATTTCTACCTTGTGCAACTTTATAATAATTACTTAATATCGAATAACTTTGTAATATGTATAAATATTTGTATATTTGATTTTTGCTAAAGTTTAGTGTATTTGCCCGTGCTCAAATTAACTACACATAGCCAGCAATTAACCTCTAATCGAAAATTGAAATTACCTTGACAAACTTCATTATGGCTCGCACCAGTTTGGCATCGAAGCTCACCTGTCGGTGTAGCCGGGCCAGTGGCGCCAACGCTTGCATGAGCTGAATGTGCTGATTGAAACGTGGATGCAGTGCGCAGAGTACGAGAAACGCATTAAACGCCTAAAGTAAGGTATGAATCAACATCAGTTTGTGGCAACATTGTTTGTGACAGTGACCCATTCCAAGGATTTCCTTTCTACTCACCTGCGAATGTCCAATTAGCAGAAGTTGATGCGCTTGCTGCAACTGTGCCGCCGCATCTGCCCCAGCATCTTCCCCGGCATCTGACCCAGCATCTGCTCCAGCATCGGCCCCACCATCTGCCCCAGCATCGGTCCCAGCAGCTGCCCCATTATCGGCCCCAGCATCTGCCCCTGCATCGGTCCCAGCATCTGCCCCGGCATCTGCTCCAGCATCGGCCCCACCATCTGCCCCGGCATCTGCTCCAGCATCGGCCCCACCATCTGCCTCACCGTCTGCCCCACCATCTGCCCCAGCATCTGCTCCAGCATCGGCCCCACCATCTACCCCAGCATCGGCCTCAGCATCTGCCCCAGCATCGGCCTCAGCATCGGTCCCTGCATCTGCCCCAGCAGCAGCCCCAGCATCTGCCTCTGCACCGCGCTCTTCGTCATCCACGTGCTGCGCCTCGCAGTTTCGTCAGCTCCACAATGTGGTCAATTATGGCGGCCAAATCGTATGCGCCATGCTCGTGAAAACTATAGCGCCAAAACTCCGGCATGACATCAGTCAGCTCGAGGTGATGTCTGCCATAGGGAGACGAGCCGCGCAAATTTGCAAGCCACACATCGTAGTTGCGCAAATGGAGCTAGAAGCCTTTATCAAAACACAGTAAGTAAAATCGTGTACTATGATATGGACAAAAATTAATTAAAGAATATAAAAAACAATCAATCAATATTGAAACTATCGTTAAATGGAATTGGAAATATAACATTTTATTGAAAAAACTAACTTTGTCTTCAACTAATATAACGTGAAATTGAATCATAACTCGAATTTTGGACAGTGCACACATTAAGACAATGGGTTCTAATGCTTACCTAAACTTTTGCTAGGCCCCAGGCATAGCCAGCCCAATGAGGAGCCCAGCAGACCATGCACTAGCAGCACGGGACGTGCCCCAACCCGGGGCAGTCGCTGCAACTGCAGTTGATAGCCATCAGCGCTGGTTACATTGTGCACCTCGTGGCTGTAGTTGAGATGTTGTAGCCAATCCATCTGCAAGCAGACAAGGCTCAGCCCAATCTCCACTTGATCCCCAACCCATCATCCATCAGCTTACCGTCGTCCATTTGTAACGCTGCTCCGACTGGGCACCGGTCAGGCTAATGACAATGACCATGGCCCCGATGATGCAGCGCGTCGACCTGCCAAATTCACACATTTCACCAAGCCGACTACTGGGCTTTGTTTTTACACTAGCAAACACTATTGTCATATGCGCAGCCTAATTGCCCACCAGTTGATAATCTTTTCGCTTTGCTGCCGCACACACAGTCTAACAAAGTTCACGAAATCAACATCAACATAACTCCAGACAGTAAGTGTATAAATGCAACAAATTTACACAATTTGTGAACATTTTTCATTTTGAATTGTTATTATAATTTGTGCCACCTAATTTTACATAATTTGATTTGTAATTTTGACTTAAAATTACATTTAAAATTTATATTTAATAAATCCATTTTTAAAATCTATGGATTGTTATTAGGCCTCATTCAATAAATAAAATAAAATAAAATTATTACCGAGTTTAAGCTGACAAATCATATTTTCTATATTTTCAACAATGTTTCTTCTATATTAATACTTTAAGCTTGCACTTTTCCCCAAAACACTGTGCTATTTTACCAAGATTTAGTCTAAATCAAAATACCCACCGCACAGTGTAATTGTTTAATTTGATATTCCGCTTTTGACTTCGCTTTAAAGCGTTGGCATTTAAACTGCTGCACTGCTAACTCTGTTCATCTACACTTCTCTGAACCGCACTTCATAAATTCGCAATTTACATACTCTGCTCTCAATGAAACATAGTTTAATTAGCAGTATACGCTTGTCTGTTAATCTGTCATGTACTGTACTTGTATTCACGCAATTGATATACCAATAAGTGTTAAAAAAAACTGCGTATCAGAATTAAATAGAATAGAAATGAAAATTTCATGAAAAACAGTATCTAGCCATCGAGAACATTTTGCTACAAAGACTGAACAGTTTTTATTTATGCACGTCTCGTTGGGCCGAAACCACAATGAAATTAATTTCAGATTTCGTTTGGCGCGACAAATGCAACAAACGTAAATTGTTTAATTGCAGCTTTATTAAATTTAATAAAAATGCATATGCCAGCAGACACGCCACGCCCACTTACATACATGCCCACATCATTGCAATTTGGAGTCAGTCACAGATACAGAGAAAGGAGTCGCTCTCGGGGCTTCCGTTAATCGACTGCACTTTTGCATCCTGTTGGCTGCACATGAGCCACATACTCCTGCTCCTGCTGATTTGGCCAGCATATGCCACAGCAAGGACCCTTTTTTGTGTGGCGGCCAATGCGTGTCCTTTGTTGCCACAGTCAGGCTGTTGGCTTTCCACCATTTTTACCTACACCCAGCCACACACTTTTCTGTTTCCCATTTAATTTGGCGATTGCTTTTGGCTTCTTTCACATTCATTTTTTTTATTTTCTCTTCTTTTTTTTGTTTTTCATAATTTTAATAAAGTTCACTGGGATTTTTTTCTGACAGTCAATTGTTATCTCCCTGGCGATAAGTAAATATGCAATTGCAATTGGCGACTGCCTCTGAGTGCTTCGTGTTTGTGTTGGAATTCATAATTCTCCACATTGCAGCAGACGGTATTTTTCCTCTTATTTTGTATAACGTGTATCCATTCAAAAAGGATAAAATGACTGCAATAAAAAAGCCAGCGGGCAAATTCGGAATGCAGCACAAGAATATCTTATTTTTTCGATAATAAACCAATTAACGATGTGCAAAAAAGAGAAAACGTGGCCGAACATTTCGGAGGTGGTTACTGAGTATTCCCTAGTCGGGTTTCAGAACACTGCAACCGGTTTGAATATTATATAATCACAACAGTATTACTCACCACCTGATAGGCCCAATGGCCAGGGATTAATTTTGAAACGCATTTTGTGGACTTTGGGATAATTTCATTTAAGCTTCACGTTAAGCTTTATTCAATTGCATTTTGAACACAGTTCTACCATTCAGCTTATAAATGAAAATAATTAAAATATCTTAAAAATCCAATGCCAATTTTTGCTTTAGAGCTTAACAATAATTCAAAGCCTTTAAATTCTCAGTAAGTATTTAGATTATTATAAGCTGGGACATGACATCATGTAACATTTTTTATCTATATCTGATCTCTGTGCACTCTAATGACATTTTTTACGCCTCATCAAACATGTGGAAAATAAAATTCGCCAAATCTGTGCGGTTTTTGTTTGGTATTTATTGGAAGCCCAAGCGTAATGTCAATACCTCTGCAAAGGTGAAACGAGTGCCAACAACAATAATTTCGATGTTAAGCGCCTGATAGCAAAAAACATTACGTCAAAGTCAACAGAATAGAATAAACAACAAAAATAAGCAACTCACCACAACAAACCAGACGAAATAAAAAATAATAATGGAAATTGTGCACAGGCAAAGTCAATCAGTGGCATTTGTTGTTGTTATTGTTGCCGAGGCGGCGGAAACAGTCGAAAATAATAACACAAAAAAAAAGGTAGACGAGTACGAGTGGGAGTATCAAGTGAAAAGAAAAGAAATGAGAAAGAGATACACTTTGTATTATTAAATAAGAGACAGACAGAGAAATCAAAATGTTCCAAGCTGTTGTCTGTCGAAGTTGTCACTGCTGACAATGGCGATGACGACGTTTCCGTTTCCGCAGCTGGGTGACAATAATAACAAGTAAATAGGAAACGCGAGTGTGATCGACGGCAAGCCTACCCTAGACACATAAAAATATTAATATGACACATGGGTTGCATTCCGATTTTAGTTTTATTTATAGCCGTACAAAAGGGTAATGGTAAAAGAGTAACAATTAAAACAAATTGCTTACCAATTAATTGACTCAATAGTCTTTGCTGTCAACAGTTTATTTTAGGAACTTTAAAAAGTACCAATTATTTAATTGTTAAAATATATTTTATCACTACAAAAATCCTTCAATCGATCATTTTTTATTCCACTATATGCCTATATATCCCTTTTACACCTGACCCTGCCTTATCAAGCGCTTTTCATTCACGTATAGTCTATGGTGTATAACATGGAGTACTTGACTGGCAAAAATGCAAACAAACCGCGCACCAAATGCACGGAATCAATGTAATTGACGAACTGACTGAATGACAGAATGAATGGCAGCGTTTATTCTGGCCACCCTACACAGCCCCTACCACACACAAACTCACAACAGACAAAAACCACAACCACCCAATCCCCCACCTCAATATCCAAAGGTAGGCATGCAAAGCTCTCGCTTTGTTTGTCTTTCAACTCAATTGCACGGCAAGTCGACAACTTGTTGGGGGTTTGTATTTCTTTTTTTTCTTGGGTGGTTTTTCGCCTATATGATTTTTTATTATTTCCTATGGTTTGATGTGATTGCTTTTGAAATGTTTGCGTGCCATTTGTTGACAGTAAACGCCGCTTAATGATTTCATTTTGTTGTAAATAGGATTTTTGTGGAAATAATACTAAGTTGAGCTAGAATTTGAGGGTTTGTTATGCGGTAGCGCTTGTTCACTTGTCTTCTTCAGCTGTCCTAAGTGAAATGAATAGTCTGCAATAAATATCAAAATAAACATTGCACGAGTAGTTGGTTGGTTGTTATTTGCACATTTTATAATTTTAATGCAGAGGCATAAATTTAATACTGTATACGAGAATTTTTAATAGCGACAATTAAAAATTTAATGCTATGATGTCATATTATAAAAACAAGTCCGATTTGCATTATCATAATTAAGATATATGTTTATTTTTATAATGGTATATAAATGCAAATTAAATAATGACGAGAATACACTTTTGAAACTTGAAGAGTCAGTGAACATCATTTTAATGAGAGTAGTCTTATAGTCCCATTTCAGCATGCCCAACATTTCTCAAATTCTTGACTATTTTTACACACCGTTGCCTTTACATTTTCCGATAAGGGACAACATTCTGTATATTAAACATTCGCGAAGGTATTCTGAAATTTAATATACATGACAATTATCTGTCTAAACAAGCTAAAGCTTACAATTTTACTAAAGTTCTGCTAATATTGGCATAAAACTTAAGACCTCCCTTATGATACATATTTTAGTAGACAGGCCATCAACAAAGCACTCAACTCTCTCACCATCGATTAGGTCGCCATTTGACATTCATCACTTGAGCCGATGGTAAACAGCCGCCTCAAATGTTGACTCTGGTGCTAATGGGCATTAGCGATGGCCTCAGTGCTGGTCATGAGGTGTCCTATCGAATTATGTGCGCCTTTTAAATAAACATAAGCGGAAATTTTAATGCAAAGTTAAAGACTTAAAAGCTAAGTTTTTAGCATTCACTAGATCCGAAATAAGGGCAAAGTTTTCACATTTTTGTTTAACATTTTTGAAATTCTTCTTTTTTTCATTGTTTCCTTATTCCTGTACTTCTTCTTCAGCTCCTTGTGTACATAATGGAATTAGTTAAATTTCGTCTTGCTGCAAAACTTTCGCTGAACTTGCGCCAAAAACTTTTTTTGCTGTTTTCCACAGCAGCTTTCATTTCGATGCTTTTTTGAATGTTATGCGTTTCTGATGACGTTGTCGACCAGTTTCCGCATTGCTGTTAATGACAGCGAAGTTGCAACTTTGGAAAAAACTTTTTACTTAGAACAATGTTGTCGACAATCACTCGATTTTAATTAAAATATTTATGAATTTGTCTTTCAGCGGAATATAGAATAAAACTACATGCTAGAAGCGACTAGGAGATGCCCTATAGTTGAGCTTCGAATGTATGAATCTAATACTTAATAAATTATATATGAGACGTTGAGTTTAATGTTGATGCGAAAAAAATTATTTATATACTTGAAATGTTGACTGACTGTTACATAATAGGCACAATTTTTTGTCCTTAGGTGTATAAAAACAATAATTAAAACAGTACAAAAAAAGAATGTGGCGAATTTATCTTGATCAAAGTCGTGACAATGCATGCATACAATGATGAGTCATCATCATTGCTGACGGCACAGATTGCTTCAATCAGAAATTACAGCTGAAATTATTCTATTATATTCCTCAGTTGGCGTTCTAATTAAAAACCCATAAAGTTCCACACGCAAGGCCCAAAGAATAATAATAAGTAACTGAGTGGTATAGCATTTTTT